CGCTGCCAACAGTTTGTGCTTCAGCCACAGGAATGGGCTTCGGCGTGACTTTGCGTATCCAATTTGCTAGCAAAAAGGATCGGCACTCCGGGAGTCCCACGGGCCTAATCTACTAGCGCTTTCAACTCAGAAACTCATTTCGGAAATTAGAAGTTGTATGTAGGTTAGAAACTCATCTTGACGTTGAATCCAGAAGCTAGACGGGAGAGAAGCAGAAATGAAATTTGAATCCAGGTCATGCAAGAAGAAATGACGCATTGCCACGTGATTTTTTGTACGTCTTATTTTTTTTTCGATATCAGGAAAATGAAACCATGCCACGGGGTTCACGTTTTTTTTTTTTGCAGCGATTGAAATTTCTATTTTGAATAAAATTCTGGGTCATATGACGTGAAAGGTAGAGCTAGTGGAGACGCTAAAAAACGTTTTAAAGTTCAAAGTTTTCAATTTTTGGGCTCCAGTTTTTTTTTCCACGGTTTTGTATCTGTGGAGTAATGCCAGAGACGCAGAGGAAGACCGCCTCCTACGTATAAAAGGCAGGGACGATCTTCAGCTGGGTCGAAAACCTCCCGGCCTGAGGTCAATCCCTCGATTCTATTTTGATTATATAATATTTTCCAATCGTCTAATGAATTTATTATAATATAATCAGTCTATATTCAACCACATTAAAACTATCGATGGAGTCCCGGCACACGGCAGCACCACGCAAGCCAACTGATGTAAAAAAAAACAACGCCACGCATTTTTCAGTATAGTATATAGTCTGTTCAGATTTTGAATGTCAAGTCGTCGCTCAAGCTCCGCCCCTAATAGAGCGATGAACCAATCAGAGAGCGAGCCATCCACAGAGCGTTTTCGAATGACGTCATTCTACTTGACATTTAAAGTCTGAACGGACTATACTGTTAGAAAACGATGATTACAAATTTGGCTTGAAAAGATACATAAACTCAATTTTCTCAGCGGCTAGAGCGAATCTTGGAAATCTGTCCCATAGAATTGTGCTCGATGTTATTGGCTACAGTTTGACATCAAATGCGGATGTTTTCGTTGTGGGTGGTCAGAAAAAGCGTTGATCGAAAAAATCGCGAAAATCAAAAAAATTTTTAAAAGATAACTTTTTGGTATTAAATTGTTCCTTTTAATGAATAAATTATGATATAGTGAACGCGCAGTCGCAAGAACTTTTCTTTCAAGGAAAAAATCAGTTTTTATAGTCTGTTCAGATTTTGAATGTCAAGCAGCTAACTCCATCCCCAAGTCTACAATATCTTTCGCGTCAATGTTTTATATCCAAATGACGAATGCCATTTAACAAGGCTGCATTTTTGACTCCTTTTTCTATCTTTCAAATCAAAAAAGATCAAAATTAGTCCCGCGCGATCAAACATCGACGCGAAAACGTATAGGTCATTCCGCGCCAGCTTGTCACGATTTTAATTCTCCTCGGAGCTAGAGAACCCCTTTCGGCGCTTCGCTTCGATGCTATCGATGTTCCCCCTTGCGTGCGCCTTTAATAAAACATTATTTCTGATTAATGCCGTGTTCAAAGTGATTCCGCGAAATTCAAAATAGCCGTCAGAGAAAGAGAAAGATAACTAAATTTTGGAGGGTCAGAGACCATTTTGCATTTCGCGGAAATTACTTTGAACACGGCATAAGATATGGTGGTATGAAAAAACCACCAGCGAAAATTCAAACGGCGACTTTTCCGATTTTTTCATATCGCTAGGGAACTTTCCGACGGCCACCTTTCCGACGGATCCCTTTCCGACTTTTTCTCTCAAGTTTTTCGGTTTATAAAACATCTATAAACATTGTTTTTTTTTTCTATTTCTTTGTGTTTTAAACATGAATAACTTGCCTACTTTATATAGGGAGATTTAAAATGAAAAGTTTATTGAGAAAAAAAGTCGGAAAAAGATTCGTCGGAAAGGTGGCCGTCGGAAAGTCCTTAGCAATATGAAAAAAATCGGAAAAAGTCGCCGTTTGAATTTTTCGCTGGTGTTTTTCATACCACCTAAGATATTGCTTCAATTTCCTCTATCTCTTTTATTAATTTACGAGGTTGTTTTCAATGGATTGATTTCATTTTTCGCTTTAACTATACACACTCAGATTCTGTGCTGGATTTGTAAAAAAAAAAGAAAATCAAAAAGATTGAATTCTTACTTTTCAATTGTTATTAAAGAAACCGACTGTTCGAGATTTTTTCGCATATAATTTTTGGGTTAGTTTGATATGACATTTGATGTTTCAACTGTTTTTGTAGAATAAGAAAATTCCAAAGTTCGGAAATAATGAGTTTTAATAAAGGCGCACGCAAGGGGGCACACCGAGAGCATCGAAGCGAAGCGCCGAAAAGGCTATTGGAGCTCCAAATAAACTGGAAATCGTGACAAGCTGTAGCGCCGCTAAATCCAGACGTGGGGGCTTGCCTCACGCGCGCGCCAATTCAAAAAAGTGCGCTGGCGCACAGAACCCAATATCTCCCATTAATGTATATCCTTTTTTCAGTCAATCTTTCCGTTTATATTTTTGTCGAAAGATTTTTTTTCGGTTAATTTCGCCATACAAGTGAATCAATAAAAAATAATCGAGTTTTTTTAAAATGAGAATAGTTTTTTCGCAAATTTTTTTCCACTGGTCAATCATGATAGAGATACAAATAGTTACCGAGTAGCTACCTTTTTTAACTAGCTCAGCAGGTCTTAGCACGGTTATAGGCCATTCCGCGCCAGCTTGTCACGTTTTTCTTTCCGCCAAAAGGCCAAATTTGACCAACTTCGCTTCAAGACCTTTGTTTCTTGCCGTTATAAAAGCAGAAATTTGATTTCATTTGGTATACGGTCTTTTTGGCGGAAAGAAAAACGTGACAAGCTGGCGCGGAATAGGCTATAACAAAAAATTGATTTAAGTAAACGACCACTGATTAGCCTCGCGGTAGCCTTAGTGGCGCTGCTACCGTTTATTAGTTACAAAAGAAGGCCATCTACAGTCCTAAACATAATGATGAGTCCACCCTTAATTTTTCCAATGGTTTTTCTGTTTTCTGAATTGACATGGGGATTCATTTTGCCTTTCGAACTGGAGTTATTTGTAAATTTGCCAAGAACTCTCTGATGGACTACGAATAAGATTCTCTACTGTAATAGTGAAAGAGCAGTGCCAATGCCAGTCTTCTGCAAAAACCTCATGCTTTCTGCAAATAAGTGCTTTCAATTTCGCACAGAAGCACCTCGAATTTTGCATTTCTTTTGAGCTTACTTTTGTGCAGGCAAAAAAACGAGTGCAGAAAAACTTTTTCAAAAAGATGTTGCCGAAAAAAATGGGAATATTCACGATTATTATAAAGTATACCTGAGGTTATGCACTTCTTCAGCAAATTTATAACGGTGAAAGACAAGGAATTATGAGAAACTATAGAATCTTCACCACTAATATCCTAATGCTATTGCCATTTGCGATGGCTAAGGGGGCTTCAGAAAGTAGATGTTCAGAAGTACAGTGTGCGCCATAGGGTACTGAGAAATAGCCTGTCAAGAATGTTCAGTGAGATCTCAAAAAAACTTAGTTGTTTTCTTTTTCGATTTCTAAAAAGTCTAGTGTTGTTCATTATATCATAAGAAACGCGAGAAAGTAACTCTCTACGAAAAAAACCCAAAAGATAATTCGTTTTTTTAGATTCTCCTGTACATTTTCGTAGGGCTGTTTCTCGGTACCTTAGACTTAGCAGATCATTTTTCTGTTTTTCCAATACTCATACCTGAGACTACCTACCACAGAAGTTTGAACCATATCTGTGATGCTCACCTGACACATTGCCCTCGTCAGGCTTCTAAAAAAATCTTTGTTTTTTATTGTGTACTTCGACAGTCTTCAAAAAACAAGAGCGTCTTGAAGGAAGCGTCGTCATTTCCATAGTAATGGTATCTGAGGAATGGATTATTTTATAGTGAAAAAAATAGTTTATGCGAAAAAAATTACAGAGAATATTAATCTGAAAAAAATGAACAGCAGTACTTTTGAAATTTGTTGCAATTTTTTTATGGGCACTTTGTATGCTGTCGAATAGCACTCCGATAGCTATCGCACCGTTTATTCTATACATTTACTGATTATATGGATACCTCGAGTGGCCTTTAAATGTAAACGTGAACTACATTTATAGTCAAAACGTGACATAAAGCACTAAATTGTGAAAAGAAAAAGAACCCCACTGACTATTTTTTTTATTTCAAATATTTTTTTATCGATTCACTTTTTATGGCGAAATTAACCGAAAACAATCTTTCGACAAAAATATAAGCGGAAAGATTGACTGAAAAAAGGATATACATTAATGGGGGATATTGGGTTCTGTGCGCCAGCGCACTTTTTTGAATTGGCGCGCGCGTGAGGCAAGCCCCCACGTCTGGATTTAGCGGCGCTAGACAAGCTGGCGCGGAATGACCTCTAACGTCTCAGCAGGGGCGAGTTAGCTGGTTGACATTCAAAATCTGAACAGACTATAAGCAGTTTTGAGTCGATTACGCGAACGTCGTTTTTGAAATTTTCAGTTGTCCTTAAATGATATTTTTTATTTATAATGAAGAAATGACTTCTAAACTTAGTTTTTAAACAAGGTTTTCCCAAAGAAAAAAATTTTTCTGGTACGAGAAAAATCCTATTTTTTTTGACCATTTTTTTGATTAGGTTTTTATCGATATTCAGTCGGTTTCATGTTATATACAAAAAAATTTTTCTGACAGAATCCTGTTTCTTATTGTCAGTTCGAAATTTTCACTAGTTTTTAGAGGCCAGATTTAGTTCTAAAAGGAGCTATTTCTCTTCATTTTAATTCTAGATGGGATTTTTTCAAATAGCAATATTTTCGAAAATTTTCGGCGATCCCTTGATAAATATCAGCCAGAAAAATTGATTTTATTTATTATTCATTCCACGCTTCTCACTTCGTTCCACGCTTCTCACTTCATTGGAAGCGGTTGTCTATCAAAATGGCCTCTCGTACAACGAAAGATCAGCTTGAATGTCGCCTCCGCGAAATGGAACAGAAGGTAAAAGAACAGACTGCCGAAATTCTTTCCTTAAATGAAACTATCCGAGATCTCAAAGTCGACAACCGAGAGAAGGCGGACGTCATCAACGAGTTCACAGCAGTGTGCTCCGAGCTCCGCAAGTGTCTAGCGGAGGCTCGCCAGAGAAGTTATGCCGAAGCCGTCTCTACTCCGAAGCCGCACGAACCGCTGACGTCGCCCCTTGCAATCGCCATCCAGGCACAAAAGGCTCTTCGTTTAAGGGAAGAACACTCGAAGGACCTGACTGTTGTCGCGATTGGTGTGCCAGAATCGCCAGAAGAGGACCTCCAAGAACAAGTGCAAAAAATTCTCGAAGAGAAGGGCATATCTTCTGACGTCGTTGAGAAGGTCTATCGACATGGAGAACGGAAGGAAAACAAGACCCGGGTTGTCAAGATCAAACTTCGAAACGACCACAGCCATCGCCTCATCAAATTCACAATCGGTTCATCTTCGTTCTGCCGCTACGCCAGAAACGACCTCTCCTACGAAGAATTGGCCGAGGACAGACGCCTGAGGAGCTATGCGCGTGAGCTGAACCAAAAAGAAGGAAGCTACATCTACGTCGTGCGTGATTTGGCCATTGTCAAGAAAAAAAACCCTACCCCATTTACCCCATTTGAGGAACAGGTTCAGGAGGAGAGCGGATATAAGACGGTTTCCAACTCCCCACAATGAATGGACACAAGATTTTTATAGCGAATATTCGAGGTTTGAAAAGTAAGAAGAATATATTGGATTTTGAGTGCCAGCCAAAATTTTCGAGTTTTTATGTTTTTTGTGAAACCTGGCTTTCAGAACAAGATGACCTAAACCTATTGACGCATTTTAAGGGTTTTCAGAGTTTCTACGTTTGTAGGAACAATAGAAAAGGAGGAGGTCTTTTAACACTATGTGCCACATCTTTCAATTGTCAAGAAATGAACCGACACGTGTCAAAATCCATTGAAGCATTAACAATAAGAATAGCAGATTCGAAAATGCAAAATCCATGGTATCTAACATCAGTTTACAGGCCGCCTGGTTGGGACCCTCGATTCACAGTTGAGTTCGCAAACTTGTTGGAAACTATAAACAAAAAAGTTGGAGATGGGCAGCACACAATTGTGGGTGATTTCAATTTCCCACAAATAAATTGGAATACACTGAAGTCGACTGATTCTGTGAGTAGCAGTTTTGTTGATATAATGTGTGATAAGGGTTTCTCGCAGAAGGTAAAGCAGAGTACTCGTGGAAACAATATTTTGGATCTAATTTTCACGTCTAAGAAAAATATGGTGGAAAATATAAAAATTGAAAAGCCTTTATCTGATCACTCAACAGTAACTTGCAAAGTGAACATAAATAATCCAAAAATTAACATCGAGAAGCATTTTACTGTAAATGATTATTCAGAGGCAAATTTTGAATCTTTAGGACAAAGATTGGCTTGGATTGATTGGAATTATCGTTTTAGTACATGTGACACAGCTGACAAAATGTACAGCACTTTTTTGAATATAACTTTGCCACTAATTGATCAATTTATACCCAAGAAAAACTATCAAAAAAAGTATAATCTTCCATCCGAGATAATGAAACTGAAGAGATACTCTGAAAAATTCCTACATAAAAATATAAAAAAATCGAATAAATCCGAAGACTTATCGACCTATAAAACAAATTAGTGGAAATACCGGAAAGCTATCAAAGATTTTTAGAATTAAAGAAGAAGAGAAAGCTATTGATAAAGGACCAAACAGCAAGAAGTTCTGGAATTATATTAGAAATAAGACCACCATATTCGTTGATCCGCCTTTCATGCAGACTAAAAAAATGGATGCACCAACGATGATAATGAGAAAGCTCAGGCTTTTTAATGATTTCTTCTGTTCAGTTTTTTTACTAAAGACGATGAGAGACCATTCATAAATAATACGAGCTCGGTTAGAAGTATGGAAGAAATAAATGTTGAGCCATATATCGTATACGAATGTTTGAAGAAGCTTAGACCTTTACATTCTGCCGGTCCGGATAAATTGTCTAATATCATAATACAAAAAAACTAGCGGCCCCTTTGGCACTACCTTTATCAATGATTTTCCAAAAAAATCATTGGACACCTCATGCTTGCCCAGTTTATGGAAAAAAATCAATAGTTCGACCTATATATAAGAAAGGAAGCCTTAGTGAGCCTCAAAAAACTACAGACCTGTCAGTTTAACATGTGTCCCATGCAGAGTACTCGAATCCATTATCGTTAGAAGTTTAAGAAATCATCTTTGGAACAAAAACATAATATCCAAAGCCCAATACGGATTTTTGAACAACAGAAATACCGTTTCGCAATTGCTTCAAAAGCAAAAATATTTGATTCAAAACGTATATGAAAAAGCCATAGTTGACGTAATTTATCTGGATATAAGTAAAGCCTTTGATTCCGTAACACATCGAAGAATGTTGAACTTACTGGGATCTTATGGTTGCAATGGTCGGCTACTCTCCTGGTTTCAGAGCTATCTCACTGGACGTACTCAAATGGTACGCATAAATGAAGCTCTATCCGATGAAATTCCCGTACTTTCGGGTGTACCACAGGGTAGTTGTTTGACTCCTTTGTTTTTTCTACTTTACATCAATGATATTGATAAAGTAGTCAAACACAGCGAACTATTAACATATGCCGACGCTTGTAAATTAATGATAAGCTCGAAAATAGAAAATTTCGAAAATAAGCTTCAGGAAGATCTAAACTCTATTCATAACTGGCTAGCAGATAGACAGCTTGTCCTTTCGAGCTCAAAGAGTATACATGTCAGATATGGTAAATCCAATACTGAGAACCCTTCTTACACAATAAATGGCTCAAAAAAATTCCAACAGATGTATTCATCAGAGATCTGGGAGTACATTTTTAGTTCTAATTTAAAAAAATGAATGGTCACGTGAATGTAATTGTGAAAAAAATGCATGAAAAATCGTGAATAATCTTTTTTTAGATGTTTTACCTTCTCGCACACTAACTTCATGAATTGCTACAAGTTGAAGATTTTACCTGTTCTTGAATATGGGTCAGAACTTTTCTGTCCTCTAACAAGAACAGATATCGATAGATTGGAATCAGTTCAAAGGAAGTTTACTAAAAGACTTTTCCCTAAAATGAATTACAAAGAAAGACTTCAACGTCTCGGACTAAACACCCTTTGGCAAAGACGTTTAAAGAAAGACATAACTGCTGCTCACAATTTCATTTACGGATACTATTGGTGCCCATCTCCAATCCCTTTACAAAAATACAACAAGTAGATCGAATCAACTGCGAGGAAATGGTCTCAAAAATAGAGCGGCCTCTACTTTCTGACATACACTACCGGTTCATCAATCAAAGAGTTTACAATCATTGGAATCACATGGATAGAAACATAGCATTTGAGTATGAAAAAAATAAGTTCAGATCTAAACTTGAGAAATGGTTTGAAAACAACATTACAGAACTAAACACTCTTGATCCAACAAAAAAATATGAAAGCTACATAATCGACATCTAAAAAGAATAACTTCATGGTTATTCCAATTTACTCAAGTGGGGGGGTTAACACGACCGCGAGTCCTCTTCCCTCCATCACCACAAGTTCCGACACATGTTCCTAAACTCTCCCTACATCTATTTCGTGAAATTTAGGACTTGTGTGTGAGAAATAAAACTTTTTGATTGATTGATTGATTTACGTTTAATCTCACTTTTTGCGCGTCGCTTTTCACGCATCGCGTGCACTGCGTACAACACCTTTTATTTTCCGCCGTTATGGTGGGTGTGGCGTCGATTTGGTGTCGCCTTGCGGCATGGCCAAGTCGAGGACTTACATATCGTTTTCTCCTTTTGTAGAAACATAATTCGCGTCACTAAGAGCCGAATTGAATCAGAAAAATGCAGTTTGAAAGTTTTATATATAATCTGAATACATTATTTTTCTAGTTTTTTGATGGGTTTTCGAACTTAAATAATCAATCCGACATACAAAGTTTTTTTAATTTATGCTTTCTATCTATCAATTCTTTCATATTTATGAACGTTTATGCGATGAGAGGTAATTTAACTATTTAATATTATTTGTTTGTATTGTGTAATAAGTAATTTAAAGTTTTTCCTTTTCAAGATCGTTCCTAAAAAAAATTGACTCTACAAGATTGAGTTATTTTTTCACTGTCTGACCCCTATTCTGAATTTTGCGGAATCACTTCGGAATGGGCATGAAAAAACTTCAAAAAGAAGGAAATCACTCGGAAATTGGTATATTCTGTTCAGATTTTATATGTCAAGCAGCTTACTCCGCCCCTCCTGAGACGGTGCCTTTTCGCGTCGATTTTTTTATCGCGCGGGACTAATTTTTGATCTTTTTTTGATCTATAAGATAGAAAAAAAGAAGTCAAAAAAATGCAGCCTTATTAAAGGGCCTTCGTCATCTGTAGATTAAACATTGACGCGAAAGATATTATAGCCTTGGGGGTGGAGTTCGCTGCTTGACATTCAAAATCTGAGCAGACTAAATATATTTTGTATTTTTAAAAAAATTTAAACTTTCGTGTTTTAGTGTCTTTCTAATACGTTTCATCTTATACCACCAAGGTGAAATTCGGCTCGTGAAATTAATACCACGTGATGATTTTTACTCTCACGGTAGGTTGCTTTGATGCTTCTCGACGCCTAAAAGCGTAAGTCGTTCAACTTTATGTTTTCATCTAGAATTTGAATACATAGTATTTCGACTAAGTTTTTCAGACAATAATACTTAACGCGCTTTTTTGTTGAAAAAAATTTTTTTAGTTTTAGTGAATTTGCCGGAAAAAAGATACAAAAGACAGTACTCTTCTTGAATTATATATATATATATAGTTTATTTACTGCCGTTATTTAACAGATAATTAAAGAAAAAAATGATCAAGTGAAGGATAGGCAGAGAAATAACAATACACGGGAAAGAGTCAACCCCAACGAGTGGACGGGTACCCGGAAATATGACAAATTCATTGGAGACGAGAGGGGATATTTTCATGGAAGGCTTCAAACGGAAGAGCGTTCAACTTTTTACGAAGAGTTTCTGAGGTAACGTTAAAATCTAAATAAGAAGTTAGTTTATTCCAAAGAGGAATAGTTCTAGTAAAGAAGTCCTTAGAAAACTGACCAGTAGTCCGTAGTCGAAGTGGATTCCTCTGTAGAAGGGATAAAGAGAAGAATTTATTACGGTCGAGAAAATGATCAGAGCCACAGATGATTTTATGCAAGGTGATAATGTAACAAATTTCACGACGAATGAATAACGGTTTGATGTTAAATTGACAAGAGGTGAAACTAACATTACAACGAATGAAAACTTTCCGACTAAAGAGACGGAGTGAAGATTCGAGTTTGTGAGATTCATCAGAGGAAATGGCGGGTGAGAAAAGCTCGGAGCAATATTCAAGGACTGGATTAACGTAGGTTTGAAACATACGGAAGTAGTTAAAAGGTGAAGAGAACTTGAAGGTATTCAGTATTTGATTAGAACGTAAGGTGGCAAAAGCAGCAATACGGCTGATATGTTGTTTAAAGGAAGGCTTGTCATCGATAAATAAACCAAGGTCACGTACTATGGAGCTTTGAGGAAGTTCTGGGATGTCAACATAGTAAAGGGTGCGAGGATTATTTGGGCCAAAGTGAACAGAGAACGTTTTGTTAGAGGCGAGTGGGAGAGACCAAATATGAGACCATTCAAGGATACCGTTAATGCTTGATTGGAGAGATCTGGGACAGGAGCTATAGATTTTAATATCATCCGCAAAAATTGAGATAGAGGTAGAGGAATCAATGTAATTTTTCGATGTCGTTGATGAAAAATGAGGAAGAGGAGAGGGCCGCTGACAGTGCCTTGGAGGACACCGGAAGGGTTGGGAAAGCAATTGTTGGCAAAAGACTTGTTGACCTTAACAATTGAACTTCTGTGAGATAAAAAATTAGAGAACCAACGGCTCAGAGTATTATCAAAACCAAAGTTTAGCATTTTAAGTCGTAGCAAATTGTGATCTACTCTATCAAAAGCGTTGCTAAAATCAAAGTAAATAACATCGAAATTTAGATTAGAGGTCAAAAACTTTTTTATGTCGGAGATAGAACAGATGAGAGAGAGTTTGCAAGATCTACGGTTCAAAAATCCATATTGAAATCGAGAGAATTTATGAGCGAATCGAGTTCTAACCATATGGGCGATAATACGTTTCAATACACGTGAGATAGGATGAGTGAGAGAGATCGGACGGAAATTGGAAGGGTCAGACAAACTGCTTTTTTTTTATGTACAGGTATGACCGCAGTGTGTTTTAGAGAGGAGGGGATAACACCAGTTATATAAGATTCATTAAATATGAGAGACAGGGGAAGGCTTAAAAATCTAGCGCATCTTTTAAGAACAAGAAAGCTAATATTATAGTCTGTTTAGATTTTGAATGTCAAGTCGTCGCTCAAGCTCCGCCCCTAATGGCGCGATAAACCAATCAGAGAGCGAGCCATCCACAGAGTGTTTTTGAATGACATAATTGCACTTGACATTAAAAATATGAACAGACTATATCAGTGGAAAATCCACATGTGGCCACATTTCGGAGGTAGAGAAGCAAGAAATTTATAAACAACATCGGGGGAGAAAAATATACTACAGTTAATAGGTTCAGGTGAGGGAAGAGCTGGGAAAGGGTGAGGGTTAGTGTTAGAGAAATTGGAATAGAACACAGATGATGTGTTCTATTCCAATTTCTCGAATTAATTTTTCTCTGTAGAATACGTCTTGAAATGGAGCGCTTTTACGCACCATTTTTTTTCACTTTTTACCGAAGTTAGCAGGGAACGCACTAAGATCTGAATATATTTCGGAAACTTTTTTTTTCGAGGGTCCCACGTATTTGGTCGATGTTTTTGAAGATCCCACCGGTCTCGACTTTCAAACAGAGCTTTTTCCGCCGGAAAGAACTACTTGAAAAGGCGCGCAGGATGTGAGCAATCGAGTGAATCGCATTCCGAACAGCCACAGTCGCCTCGAATTTCCTTACCCAGGTTTCGAGTTTGTTTTGTAAAGAATTTGATACTCTGGCGTAAAAGGATGCACTTCGCAACACTCTAAGGTCATTTCAACTTTTTTTTTTCTACTTTGAACTGGTTACGGTATGGTCAGACAATGCAAACAGGAAGAAAGGGAACTGAACGAATTTTTTTTTTGTATGAAATGACTTCTTTCTCTGAAAAAAGGGACATAGTTTGTCTTAAAAACCCATAATTTGTTGTACAAAGTGTTCTATTTTTTGGCATAACTTTTAAATGATTGAGCTTTTTGCTATAGCTCTTCATTTCTAATGAGTTTTGTTTATTATTTTATAGTCGAAGATAATAGTCCGTTCAAAACCACCTTATATACCTTAAAAAGCGCCAAACCTTGGTGCCTCATTTCATGAACTGAGAAAAATTGTTTTCATCGTTTAAAAAAAAGTGAAATGGTAATTGAGTAGTTTCTGAAAAGTCGAGCCAACTAAGCGGATTGCTTTAATTTGAATAGAACACAAAAATTTCTTTCGAAGACCAATTTTTGAAAGCTGCTTTAATCCCGCCAATAACCTATATTCGACCCTTCCCCAGCTCTGTTCAAGTTATCGGGACGAAACAATGACGTAATGTGGGCATGTATTTTTGCTTGCAACTCCTTGAGCAAAATGTACGGCGAGGCAGGCGGCAAAGCGGCACAGAACCGGTCATTCCAGTTGTGGGAGGCTCGCCGAGACAGACGTTTTCTTCTTTTGGAGTGGCTAATGTGATGTTTCTCATGGTTCGAGTTCCTCTCGTTGAAAAAAAACGTCTTTCAGGTCAGATCATGACTCGTGTGCATTGATCCACCAAGATACGCGAAAAAAGGCGTGGGCGCAGCGCTTTTTATAATGAGAATTTCAAATTAGGAGCTTTGGCTCAGGTTGTTTTTAGTAGAGATTTTCTGAAAAAAGAGCTTGGCATGATCAGCTTTCCAGGCTCATCTCAGTAACACTTGAGAAAAAAGTTTTCATTCCTTGAAAGAAAAGGGAAATTTTTTTCAGATTTCTGGTTTGTGAATTAAAATTGAAAAAAGTCTGCAAGACTCTTGTTAGGGTCAAGGCATTTTGAACTTTGTTCTTCTGGAAATATGGCCATATTCCAATTTTTGACGCTCCCAGGCACATAATCCTTTTCGAGAACTAAATTCCAAACTTTTTATACCGTTTTTTAAGTATCACTCGATACCTTTTCAAGATATCGTATTTAATAGATATAACCTTAATTATCAGCCATATTTTTACATAAATAATGACTTAGGACTGGCTGGGCTGCTTTTAGGTAAAAAAAAATGAGTCGAGTTAAGTTAAAAAAAATTAATATAAAAGCCAAAAAATGGATAAAACTGAAAAGACAAAGTCTTTTTATAAGTTAATGAAGTTATGAAAATAAGGATATTATGCTGAAAAAATGCTCTTCATATAGAAACAAACATTCAAATCGTGCGTCGAAGTTGTCGCAGAAGATACTACTCTCGAAAAGTTCGATTTCTAGTTCCTTTTTCAATTTTCCCATCATTTTTTGCGCCTTCTCTGCAGAAGTCAACTCTCGACGACCAAATGTGCTCGGGAAATTAATTCCTGCGGTCAACCAGTGTTGAGCAAACAATTTCTGCGACTGTCAACGCGAGAAGAATATATGAGAAGACGGACGGACGTGAAACGTATATGGAAGCGGCGAAAAAAAAGGCCGCGGAGACTACGTGAGGCCACGCCCCTTATTTTGTCGGTACGTCAAGATACTGTTGGATTTTGTTGCAGTTCTACTCTTTTCCGACAACCTCGGCGCACGACTTGAATGTTTGTTTCGAGTTGAAATCACTTTTTCAGGAGAACGGTTTCTTTATATGTTTATAAAATTGTGCATAGATGTTCAGCTTCTGACTAAGCTGAGAGTTTTATAACTTTCGATATATGTGATTGAATGATCTTGAAAGTTCAGATAGTAAATAATTTCCACCGGCTCTTCCTAAAATTCAAGCTTGTCGAAACTTTTCGCGCTCTAAGTTCTGGTTCATGGTTTTCAGCCCTTTCATATCCCAGAAGATACACGATTTAAACTTTTTAGAGTAAGATTTGCTTCAAAAATTTTGTGTTAAAATCTTTTCTGTCTAATATAAATTAAAGTTTAATTCCTTGCGTTCGTCACATCTTCAAACTTTCTAGCTTCTCTGCGCTCTCTTCTCTTTCCTCGACACTCCCCTGTAAAACCTTCCCATTTTTCTCTGAACGCGGGAAAACAATGAAGCTTGAAATATTTTAACATACGAAAAAAAGGTAAAAAATTTTCTCCAGTATTTTTTTGGCGATATACAATCCAATTCAACTATCTGACAAACTGAAGGAACTCAGTTTCATTATAGAAGGATCAATTTTCGCTTCCAAACAATTTATAAAGATAGCGATGCCCGAAAAAGGCTGGCTACCGAGGAAGAACTGTGGGCGGCGCCGCGGAGAAGACAAGCTTCACGCGAGCGGCGCTTCCCATGACGTGTTGACATGCGGAAGCTCCGCGGCTCCGTGAGCATCCGCCGAGGCGAGACCCTACTGCCGTTTTTTGCTTCGCGTCTTGACTGCTTCGGCCACTCTGGGCTGTCCAGTGAAGGCCTCTCAAATCTCGCGCTTCCTGTATTGCACAGCCCATCCACTTGTCCGCTCGCACACGCGCCCATCTCCCAGCTGTTTTTCTTTCTCGCTACAGTTTCTTTTTCTTCCTCGGTCACTCCGACCAAAATTTGTCCGTGTGAGCTGTTCGTTCTAGTAACCGTCAAAATTGTAAATTAGTCAAAATCCGTGAGTTCTTTTTTGCTCAAGTTTTTCTAATTCAAAACACGCTTTTGCTAGGAATTCAAACTTTCTTCCCTTCGAATTTAACCCATTTTTTCTTAAAAACTAGGAACTTCTGTACTTTTTCAATTATGCCGGTCGGCACGCAATAGAAAACTCTACAGAAAGGCATATTCTTCTCATTTCCCATTTTTTTACTGCCCATATGATACACTTTAAATTTTCGCCAATATTCTTTGATTATGTAAAAAAAAAATTATTTCTTTTACTTTTTTATTTTTTTCTGCAATAGTGATACTCTTTCCGGGAATTTTTCAAATATTCTTGCTTCGCTCTGAATTTGTTCTATTATCTTGCAGATTTTTGAATTTAAAAATAGCTTGAAAGTCTAAAACCTGACCTTTTGCCGTTTTTACTCATCTTGACACCCTGCTTTTTTCACACGATGAAGGAAGTGAGCCGACAAAAGAGCTTATAAAAAAGGCGTGCCAGCCACTTGAGCCGGAGCATGAATATCCGTCGGATTGATAAGAGGTCAACCGTCGTGTTTGATGTCGGGGCCACGGTTTTCGTGGTCAACTCCTCGTCCATCGGCACAAACATCGGCGACACCCTTCAGTCGGATTATCGACTTTGCATGTTCCTTCGATATTCCCCATTCATCGAAGAATTTTCTATATTTTTCATATAGTTTCCAACAGGAAACTTTTCGAAAATCTCTTTGTAATTCTCAATTATTGCCAAGCCAAGCCCAAATTGAAGATCTAGAAAATTTAATTGAATTCACTAAGGAGATAAGGTGCGTGCAGTTGTAAAATTTTGAATTGTGATTAAAGCCCTTTTTGGTACTATAGATAGGGATTCACGATTTACGAAAATACATTTTTGCCAAGTTCAAATAAAATGGACCTTGAAAGGTTTTTTTCGAAAAATGAGAATTATTTGAAGCTCCAAAACAATCATCTACCACTATTTTAGTAGATTTCATAACTTCTGACCTTTTCAATCCTCGAGTCATCAACACAGTAAACTTTTTCAGGAAGTTTTTTGGAGTTCAGGAGATTTTCAAACGTTCCGCAGCAGAATTTTATCATATTAACCTGAGAGGATTTCTACAAAAAAAAAAATAAAGTACTTTCCTTCATTTAGTTCTTTGACTATCGGAAATATTTTCCCATATTCCCTGTTAACTTTTATCGAAATTTCATCTCCTATTTCTTATACTAATTTATGCGACAATCCTTTGCCAACATGTAGACAAGTCCACAATTTACAGCTGCGCAAAGTCAGACAGAACGCTTCTTCGGCAGCTTAGTCCGTTTTTCACAGCTCATCCTCCTCAGTTTTTTGTTCAGAACACGTCGCGTCGAGGCAGAAGTTCAAAAAGGGCGGGTGAAACCAGTCGGCTGAGGAGCACGTAGCGTCCGCTGCCAACGGCTCTCCTGCTTATTTGAACACCTCTTCAGTTGAACCGCGAAGCAGCAGAACTCGCGGATGTCCCTCCGGCGGTGCTGCCACTTCATCCGAACCGCGATGGCACCCAGCCATTCTTCTCAGTTCTGCCCAGCTTCTTTGGTCGATTCGGAGCTTTTTGTCTTGTCTGGTACCATTTTATGCCTATTAGAATTCATTCACCTCTTTTATTATTTTTTGCTCTGCCGAAAGTTTCTTTAGGCTGCTCGGAACTATGAAAAGATCATCTTTCCCAGGACAATTTCCAAGTTTTATCAATAACTCTTCTAACTAAAGTTTTCATTTAGTTCTGAATCAAAAATTCTAATTAGAGCGCTGTATTTGTTTATTAAAAGGTTCTACAACTGAATAAGTATTAGAAAATTGTTCATTGGCGTACTTTCAAACTAGGTTTTTGCGCGTCGCTCTTTATGCATCACGCTTAATCCGTACAAAACATTTTATCTCCCGTCATTTTGTATTTATTCCGTGTAAAATCTTCATTCCGTGTAAAATCTTCACTCGAAGTGGTCGCTCTCCTTCTGAGGCTTCCACCTAGAGCACGGTCTCCGGGCTCCAGCTCAACATCCACTACATTCTGAGCTCGTCAAGGCGCAACTGGATGGACTACGCGCAGAAGGACAAGACGAAGGACCGTAAGAACATGTTTTCAACTCTTTCGACTACACGTTTGGACTTCTAGCTCACCAAAGGCGGTTGTTCGTTATAGCTTTTAAAGTTCTTGTTCACCGCCTAGTCGATTACATCGGACTAAAACAACAAAATAAATGATTTGATTTGATTTGATTTAAATGTCCGTGTCTTTTTTGGTTCCCATGAACGCTGACTTCTAGATTTGCCTTCTTGAAATAATACCTTGTCTATAACTATTTTCTCTTCTAGTTAAAAAATAGTCTTGTTCCATTCATTCAACTCGTACTACGACATCAATTTGAAATTTTTTTCTTCTTAGTCGGTAGCTCTCCCCATACAAAAGCGATCTTTTGTTTCTGACTCAGCGACGTAATCTAGTTGGTCGCGAATTCCAGCGTGCGTGTGTGACTGTCGTTCGCGCCGTCGCGGAGCACGTTCGCCGACGGCTGTCCAACCTGTCCGAGGCGCTCCCTTGTGTACCTCTGTACTTCAGCCCTGTTTATCAGCCGTTTCATCACTCGCCTCTCACTCATTACTCATCTTAGCTTGTTCCTCAGGACCACACCTCTTTCACCTGTCTTTCTGATCCCATCCATCCGTGTAAATTGAAATAAATAGTCCTCTTCTGCTTTTCATATTTTGTTCTCATTTTGTTAGCTTTTGCTTTTTTTTTATTTCAACAGGCAATGACAGAGGTGGAGGATGGCTGCCCTCTGGCCGCCCTGCCTGCCAAGCCATAAACGCCCAAAAGGCAGAAATGACTTTTTCAAAAGTCAGCGTGGCGCGACGGTCATTTTTATGGCGATATCGCCCTAGCATCTAGAAGCGCTTGTTTTGAGCGATGTATGAAACTTTTTTACAAAAACACAAAAACACGAAAAAATGGTGGTATGAAAAAAAGATCAGCGAAAACTCGAACGGCGACTTTTCTGATTTTTTCATATCGCTAGGGAGCTTTCCGACGAAGAACTTTCCGACTAATCCTTTTCAACTTTTTTGCTAAATAAACTCTTCGTTTTGAATCCTCCCATATAAAGTAGGTAGTTGATTCATGATTAAAACACAAAAAAGTGGACAAAGTGGCCGTCGGAAAGTTCCCTAGCGATTTGAACAAATCGGAAAAAGTCGCCGTTCGAAAATTCACTGGTTTTTTTTTTCATACCACCGGAAAAATCCAGGTAGAGAACTGTAAGCCTTCCACTCTTAACGAGGTGGCCTGGCGTAATAGGGGTTTTCAGTCATTTGACTTTTTTGGAAACCAAATGAATCAAGAGAAATACTTTTGCATCAATTTCATAGCATCTCAAAATTTTTTGGTCCAAGTAGTTCTCTAGTGAGATTGAAAAGGTAGCCTTTTGACCCGTTTCAGTGACAATTCCCTGCTGAAATAACTGTTACAGTAGATTAAAAACGTTAACACGAAGTTGCGAAAAAAAAAACAATTCAAAAATTACAAAATTGATAATGATTAGTTCAGGGCGTTATCGCCACGTACTTGACCTAATTGCCAAAGACCACGTGAATTATTGGCTCATTTCTATCGTTTGGCTTTTTGGCTTGGCTTGGCCGCCAATCCAAGGGCTGCCTTCCCAATTCTCCACCTCTGGGCAATGACACTGTAAATGGAGCCTTTTTTTCCAATTTTTCAGCGAAAAAATCTCAGAACAAAAAAACACGTAAAAGTAATGTTTAAAAAGTGCTTCTGGGGTCTCTTCTTTTTTGCTTTTTCCGCAGCTCTGTGAGAAACTGTTCAAAAAACGATGAAAAACTCAGAAAAAAGGTTCGGAGTTCAGACAAATGGCCGTAATTGGAGCCTCACCGATGGCTAGGCAAAGCGAATTCGGCGTCGCCTGTGTTTTCGCACCGCTTAGCATGGCTTCATTTTGATTTTTGTTTGAGTTTTAGCTCAAATTTCGGTGAGAGGCGCGGCCGACTCCACCCCAGAGCTTTTTTGGACTTGAGGGGCTTAGAATGAACCGTTCCTATTGTCTTAATCGATTATACTTCAGTCAGATTTTTTCGTTGATCCGATATTATAGTTTTCTCATCGCTCCTTCAATTTAATCTTCAGGGTTCATTCCCATGAAAATCCTATTAAGAAAAAAATATTATTACGGTGCTTTTTTTATGCTGGGATTAGTGAAAAATTTAATAAATAATTTTTGTGATTAAAAAAATAAATTATTAATTCGCATTTCCATCACCGCAAATTATTAATTCGCATTTCCATCACCCTAATTCAAATATTCAGCTCCTGTTTCAATATTTACTCTTATTCTTATTTAAGTTTTTTTCACGTATTAGAAATGTTCCAAAAATATTTTTTTGTTTTTTTGGAATGTTGTTTCTCAATAGGTCCTCGCACTTCTTATTTGCAGTAAGCTCCTTTTTAAATTCAAACAATTTATAAAATCTTTTTTTGTAGATAAAACTCTTTTTTTTCACTGAATAATGCATTTGCTTTTTAAAATTTAATCTTTTTTGCATCTCTAAATTGATTTTCATCATCTTTTTTATAGAATAAAAACAGCGTTTCTACCAGACGCCGCCAAATTTCCCTTCCTTTGTTTGGAAAAACGCTTTTCGGCGCATTTGAAGACGGTTTGTCTCCGGTTTTTCTGGCGGTTCTTCCTCCTTTCGGTTGCCCTTTCAACCCCTATCTTTTTGGCTCTTTTTTAATTTCTGAAGAATTCCGGTTTGGAAGAAATTGTTTTGGGCCCCTTTTGCGCTAAAAAACAATATTTGAAATTTTTGAAATAAGATCCGTTGTTGGTTTCATTTTTCATCCATGCTCTGACATGGAGCGCCAAAAGGGCGCCGCAACCCTTTCTCTGACATAAACTGTTTCGTCGTTTTCTCGCAGCTAGATAACGACGAAATAGTGTGTGTTAGAGAAAGGGTTGCGGCGCCCTTTTGGCGCTCCATTTCAAAGTGGTTTTCAATTGTCTACTTTCTTTTCGGTTTAACGATGAATTTGAAAACTTGAAATTCAGTATTGGTTTTTGATTTTTTGTTCGTTTCAAAACAAATTATTTTTTTGTCTTAGTCGTTAACTTTTTCGATATACGAATTTCCACAGTTCTTTTTTTCCGTCATAAGCGAACTTGCAGAAAACGAAAGATGCTGCCGCGGTGGTGGCTTCTCTTGGGCGTCGCAGCGGCTGTCGTCGCCGCCGACGATTCCTTCCTTGGTGCCGTTAAAAATATTTTGTTTGGCACCGAGCAGCAGGTAAGTCTCGAACTCCTCGTTCTTAAATTTTGAGCTTTCCTTTATTTATTCATTTTGAGTTTTTCAGAACGCCAGTGCACACGATCCGCAATCCATGCAGCCAAATCACGCCGCTTTCCATCAGTATCAGACTGGTTCACGAGTTTCGCTCTTCAAATGTTCACGTTATCTGATTTCAGCCAGCCGATCAACGCCGCCCTCGGGACAGTCGTGTACACTTCCACGACAAATCGGCACAGGACCGTACCGAATTCCCAGATGGTACTTTCCTGGCTCAAAACCCTTCGAACTTCTTCTAGGTATTACAATCCTGTGCGCGGACGATGTGAGCTTTTCTATTGGTCGGGCTGCTGCGGAAATGGAAACAATTTCCAAACTTTCCAGAGCTGTCAAACTGTTTGCGAAGGTTTGTTCATCATTTTTTTTTTTATCAAAGATATTTCAGTTCTCTAACTCGATTGATAGGTTTCTCATGAATGCAAGTTTCTCAACTGAAGAAAATATAAGAAAGTTCAATTGATTCAAAAATCGTTGGGTGGGCATTTGAGAGGTAGAAAATCTTGAAGTGGATAGATAATTTGAGTAATATTGTGTTCAAAAGACTTTTTTTCAAGAATTATGTAGTTCGTACACATTTAGCTAGTCAAGATTTGAATTTTTGCTTTTCTCAACCATTTCATTGATTGACTCATTCATTCGAGGCATTCCAAATTTATGTTTTTTTGCTGAAGCGATCTTTTATGTCGTTTTTAAAGTAATTTCCGCGAAATGCAAAACGGTCACTGACTCTCCTGAACTCAGTTCTTTTTTCTTTCTCTGGCGGCTTTTTCGAATTTCGCGTAATCATTTTGACCACGGCATTAGTTCTTGATTTGAAAGCTCGGTTTGAATGCACTGGCGTTTCGAATTATGAATTCAAAAAGGAAAAAGTCAAGTTCAGGTGTTTGCGGAAAAAAAAAACTTGAAGCCGAATTAAAATTTTTTAGCCTCGAGAGAGTCTTCAGACCAGGCTTTGAAAACAAAAGAGGGGTTCAGGGATCTGGTTCGATCCAAAGAATAAAAAAAAGTTATAGTAAATCCTCAAGTATCCGCCACGGTGAACCCTTACATGGCGTCACCGATGCTGTCCACTTTCACGACCGAGATCGAACTCGTCTTCCAACCGTCGCATTACCTGACGGCGCCCTCCATCTTGTGCACCTGTTGTCTGAGGCCATTCTCGGAGGGCTACGGGAACTACATGATCCCTCGCTACTACTATGACGTCACCTTGAAGCAATGTCGACCTTTCGTCTACCGCGGTGAAGGCGGCTTCGGCAACTTGTTCGAGACTGAAGACCGTTGCAAGTCTCTTTGCGGTCTAGACCCCCGACCGCCACCTCAGACTTTCGTCCAGACGCCGAGGATTCCGGCGGAAAGACCTGTGACCCTGCCGCCGACGCTTCTGCCAGGCCCCTTGCCTCCGAGAACGACGACGTCGGCGCCGCCTTCAGCCGTGCTCCCACCGGTGGTCTACATCCCAGGTCGAGCACCACCCTTTGAGTCCTCACCCAGCTGATCCTTCGCCTCGCTTCTGTGTCTCCAAACCAATCGTTATTTGTGAAGTGTGGCTTTTCGTTGTTTTTCATGTGTGTTCCACCAAACGCCTAATAACCGTGAGATAAAACGAGAAAGTTATGCGGTTTTGATGTTTTCTCTCAATTTTTTGCAAACTTGTACGGTCTTAAGCTTTCCTTTCAGTTTTGGTTTTCATCAAAAGCAAGAGAAAAGTCAAAAACGCATATCCTTTTCATTTTCTGCACAATTAATTGATTTAGTCTTTTTTATAATACTCAGGCTTATTTTATAAGCTTAATTCTCCGTTTTGAGTTTTGAGAAATATTGCAGTGTATTGAGAGTGTTGACATTGGTAAGTTTTCAAAAACGCTTTAACCGATTTCAAAACACCCCCGAAAAGGGACGCTGCGAGTGTGTGTTTGTTGCAGTCGACCCGTGCTCGCAGGACCGCGAGCAGGGCGTCGGAGCCGTTCAGCTGCAGCGGTTCTTCTTCAACAAGGAAACCCGGATCTGCGAACAGTTTCTCTACTTTGGCTCTGGCGGCAACCGCAACAACTTCCAGACCCTCGAAGAGTGTCAGGCCCAGTGTCCAGGTTGGGTTCCGCCGTCCGTCGGCTGGTCATGCTGCATCTTGGACGTCCGTCGCTACCTTCTTCTCATTTCTATACTAACACTTTGTATTTTGTTCACGATAGCTTTTCAAGCCTTTAAAGCTTACTCAAACTTCGTTATTTTGCATAAAGATCCAAACAAAAAAAAAAGTCACTTTGCTTTTTTTAAAAGCCAGTTTCACGAAGCATTTTAGCAATTCCAAAAAAAAGTTTTTTTGTGGGAAAAAAAATTAGCACATCTTTTTGTTTTAGTAGCGAAAATGAAAAGTGACTTTTTTTTGGGAATCTCGGCGTGTTTTTTTGTTTTTGTTTAAAAAGCATTAGAACTTGCAAAAAATTTGAGATTTTTCCAAAAAAATTGACAGATTTATCTGAAAAACTACTGTGAATGAAATATATATTTTGCTGTGGTCTGGTGTGATGTGATGCTTTTAACTTTTCAGATATTCAACTTAATTAATTTAAATAATCTTCAAAAATTCCATTTGACTAACTCTTCATTTTTTTCCCGCTCCCGATTTTTTTGAAATGCTTTGATCTTAAAAAGTTTGCTCAAAGCAAAGTTTTTATTTTATTTTTTACGATTTTCAACTTTATTTTTACTTTATCACATGAATCTATATATTAATAATAGCGTCGCAAATTTCATTCAAGGCAAACAATAAGAATCTGCTCATATATCCTCTGCACAAATTGACCGCTGGTTCCCTTGGTGTTACCTGGTATACCGGATTATACAATGTTATTACGCAAAACCCAAGATTGCTCTGAAAGTCTATCCAAATAAGGTGGTACGGGTGTTGGGACAGCCGGAATGGTTACGGACCGTTTTTGGGAATCGAGGTGTCGGGAAGAGAGAGAGAGAAATTTTTGGTGGGGCAAGTTTGAAGTTTTTTCGGTTGGCTCCAAATTTTCTGAATAATAATTACTAATTAAAAATATCTCAAGCAATTTTTCGTTCTTTTTTTATTATTTAAGAGCGAAATTATTAGGCCGGAAAAATTTCAGCTTAGCTTTCCACAAGTTCGAACGTGCATTTTTCTGGTTCAGAGTCGCCGAACCCATGCGCGGTGTCGACAGCGACGCCAGTTTCCCAGTGCGCGGCAGGAAGTGCTTGCGGAACTGGCAGCTATTGCCACGTCGGCGCTCAGCCTCAGACCACCGTTTGCTGTCCGAAACCTGGTGAGTTTGTGAGAGATTCTGGAAGAAGAAGAGAATATTGACAGCCCCACTCGACCGCTGCCAGCAGCCTTTGAACGTCGGAATCGGAAATTCCAACCTCCAGAGATGGTACTTCAATCCCTTGACTCAGCAATGTCAGCAGTGCGTCTACAAAGGACTTCAAGGAAACGAGAACAACTTCCTCAGCCAGCAGGACTGCGAAAACTCTTGTCTCGGTAAGAAATTATCCAGAGAAAAAAAAATGCAGAAGCTGAAATCAAAAATTTCTTCGGTATTGGTGCTTTTTTTCTTATGATTTATGGGCCGTTCAAGTCTACTTCTCAAAAGGGGAAAAAAATTGGCTTTTTGGTTCGTTGAGCGGCTTCACGAAGGAGCTGCCTCTTTTATTTCAATTTCCATTTCAGCGTAAACTTTAGTGTTAATTATGAACGTTTTATTTTTGAAAGAATACGTTTTTATATATTGAAAAGCCATGTTTAAATGCTAAACTTCCAAATAAAAAAAAAGACCTATTAGTTGATTTATTTATTTGTGAAATTTTCTTCTGCAAAGAAGCTTTTGCAGTGAATCCGTGCAAGATCGGCACTCCCTACCGCTCCCAAGGGATCACGATCCAGTGCTCCGCTTCGAATCCGACCGTTTGTCCCGCCGCTCACTACTGCCACATCGGCGCCGATCAGACGACTTCTGTCTGTTGCCAGGCTCTAGGTACTTCTGCAGGACCCTATTCTGCGAAAAAAAAAAAGACAAATGAACTGGACGGAAAGGGCTATTAACGACTGTGTGCCTTTCCCAAGCATGAAATTCCCCTCGAGTGAAATCTAACAGTTCTCTCAAACCTCTCATAACTCGGGTCCAAAAAAGATGGGATCGCAAGATCCCCTTAATAATCATTCATGAATCTGAATTTCAGCAAATATTTGGTGAAGGTTATTTGGTTCAGCATGGGAGAAGGCTTTTGAGACATCTTCCTTTTTCATGGTGGGTATCTTCAATTAGAGTGGTCTTTTTTATTCTTCTTCTTTCTTTTTTCTCTTGCTATTTAACATAATTGTATGTTTATTAACAGCTTGATGTTGATAAAAAATTTGAAAGAGTTCCGAGAAAATCTCATAAAGTTTTCGTCATTTGTAAAAGGTCCAGGTCATGTTTTTTTTCCGTTCTTCAATCGATTTTTTGAAAAAAATTTCCGACGAAACCTTTTCAAACTTTAGTGAGTTTTCCTACTCCGATCATTGTAATGAATAAATAATCATATTAGACTTATTTTTTTATCGTAATTTTTTTGAAAAAAAGAATTCGCAACTTATTTCAATCAAAAAAATCTTGCCTTTATATAGTATTCCTCATTAAAAAAATTACATCATCTCTTTGAAAAACCTGAAAAAAATTATGATGACAATTTAGCAAGAAATTATAAAGTTCAAAGTTAATTTTTGGAATAACTTCAATTTTTTTCTTTTCTTTTTTTACTTGAATCTTGAAAAAAACAGTTTTTTTGTATGAATTGAAGTTTACAGTCTGTGAATGCTATTACAAAAACTATTTCGTATCAAAAACCATCTGGAAAAGATCGTTTTTAGCTTGAATCAATTTACGGACCGTAAAACTTCACGCATACGGTCTTCAACTTTTTGCAGTGCCCGAGCCTCAGTTTTGTTCCAAAAATAAGCTTCAAATTTTAGGAAACTCTCCTTGTGAGGAGGAAATGACTAAAGGCGAAGGTACTGCGGCTCTCACGCGATTTTTTTACGACGCGGTCCAGAGAAAATGCTTGGCCTTTAATTATATGGGCTCCAAGGGAAACCGAAACAACTTCATGAGCAAGGAACAGTGCGAGGTAACATTGACGAAGGTCGAAGGTAACAGACAAGAGTAACCAGGCGACGTGTCCAGTTTGGCTGAACCCGTGCGCCGTCGGACAGCCGATCATGACGATGGAGCAGAAGCCGTTCCAGTGTCATCAGGGAGCGCCGTGCACTTCCGGATACTTCTGCCATCTCGGCTTCGACGACGCCACGACGGTCTGCTGCCAGTCGGAGGGCGATCCGTGCACGCTGGTCGTCAAGGAGGGCACCGGACAGAGTTCCATGGCGCGCTGGTTCTACAACCAGAAGACCCGCCAGTGCCAACCCTTCACTTACACTGGTTCGTCGGGAAACTCGTGCAGAAGAGACTTTCAAGTTTAAAATTTAATGCATTCATATTATTGTCAATGTAACTCAATTTTTTTAGTCGCTGGAGCTTTGGTTTTTGAAAAAAATATGAACAGAAGATGAAATTCTACATATTTTTTTCTTGACAGTTGTTTTTGATTATGACTGGTTGATTTTTTTACAGATCGACAGTACAGTTTGAAATTTAACATAGAAAAAAGAAACGAACTTCCACCCAGAAAAATTTCATTTGGTTCGAAAAAGCTATTTTTCAATTTCAAGGGAGTTTACATTTTCATATCAGGCTAAAAGTTTTGATCAAAACTTTGAGTTGAATTTGAAAAGGCAGACAGGCTAATAAGTTTTTACGAGCCCTAAGTTGGACCGAATTTATATTTTAACTATCTTTAATTTTTTTCTCATATCTCGAAAAAAATTTTTTTCATCTTCTCCGTAATTTAAAAAGCGTTTTTTTGCTCACAGGAATGGGCGGAAATGAGAACAATTTCTTGCTCCGCGAGCACTGCGAGGCTACGTGTCCAGTCTGGGTCAACGCCTGTCCTTTGGGAGATCCGTACCTTCTTCCGAGCGGAAAACCTCAGCCTTGCGACGTCTCCAACGCCAATTCGTGTCCTCTCACCCACTGGTGTCATCCAGGTGCAGCTCCAAAAGGGAAATCAAAGGCAATTCGAAATTGAAGGACCCGATTCTGCGACGACCATGTGTTGTCCTGGCAGGACTGACCCTTGCATTCATGCCGTTTCCGAAGGGGAAGGACCACTGACTTTGAATCGGTTGGTGTTCAAAAACTATGTAGAAGTCAAAATGATAAAGACGAAGCAAAAGTTGAAAACAGTCGCATACAAGCTCGTAACATTGAGCAGACTTTTAAATTTTTTGCCAAGCTTTTGGCAAGTATACATTTTTCAATATTTGGGGGAAAAAAAATCAGAATTTGAAACGGATATATTTATTTCAAATGTGTTAAAGTGTTAAAGTCAAATAGCTCATCCTGCCATGAGAGGATGACTATCCCAGTTGAGCCGTATTTTGATTTCAAAAAATTTCAGAATGAGACAATTTTGCCAATAGCTGTCATCATATCCATTAAGAATCTTAGTTGTCATGTCATTTCGAAGCGGATTTTATAGAATTGCAATTAAGTTGAAGGAAGCATAGAAAGCGAGAAAAAACTTTTCAACTTAAAAAAAAAGAGAGCCAAATAAATTTCAGGTACTATTTTGACGCGTCGACCCGACAATGCTCAGATTTCATTTTCCGCGGGCTCAAGGGCAACGCCGTGAGTTTTTTTGGAAAATGAGAGAAATTCCCAGCACTGACTTTTCAGAACAACTTCCGAACGATCGAAGACTGCGAAAGAGTTTGTCCCGTCCAGGTCAACCCGTGTCCGCTCTCAATGTCGTCTTTGAAGAACTCGGTTCGGTTTTGATCTCACGAAAGTGATATAATTTCAATTTTGTGAATCATTTTTCTGTTTCCATGTTTTTGTTTCTCTAGTTTAACCTCGATGGTAATTCTGTTAGAGGTTACCGCAAAAATCGAGGAAGCTACTGTGAATAGCTCGTAGTTTGATTTTTTCTTTCAAACTTGCAACCTCATGTTAAGTTATTTTCGCTTTTCAGGTAAAACTAGCCTCTTGCTCGCCAACGAAAGCCTGTCCTGAGAGACAATGGTGTCATTTCGGCGAAACGGAAGACACGACGGTCTGCTGTCCAAACGGTATACTTCAAAATCGTTTTATTCATCACAAAAACGCATTTACAATCACAGACTTACAATCACAAGTAAAAAGGAAATCTCGAGAACCTAATTCATAAAGTAAAGTAAGACCTTTTTTAAGCCTAAGAGAAAGAAATTGATAACCTTCTCCAACTTCGATTGGACCGGCTGGCTCTTGTAATCCTCTCGCGGCTGTAGAAGTTGAAATAGGGAAGAAATGTATCAGAGAAAAACTTGACAAAAATAATATATATCGAATTTTTTTCGTCCTATGAGCACATGAGGAATCTACGCTGATCAGTATTTAAAATTGATGGTGCAAAGTCCTAAAATTTGGAAAAAAAAAAGTTTTTTACGTTCAAGTTAAATTTTAATTTCGATAATTCTAGTTAAAAATTTTGAAGTTTTGAAACAGAAATCGTAGTGAACAGCTAGAAATCGAGAATTTATAAATACGCGTACCTCACATCTAACATGTGTCACAGTTCACAGATCAAAATATTCTAAAATGTATCTTTTTGCTGTGGCTTTTTGCTAAAAAGTTAAAAAGGAAGGTATTGTCTACTCCATGGCGCTGTGCTTTGGAAATTCACTAAATAGGTTTTGATAATTAGAACTGACAACTTCGTAGTAGTTTCTCTGCTGGGAATAAGAAGGCTTGAGCAAAAGGTCGAGAGAGAGGGATCCATCAGGACGGCATTGAAGCAGCAATGGCTGATCACGAATCCGGATCCACATGGTCAAGATAAGCTTCTGACCTTCGTAGATTGGACAGCCCCCATGCAGCGATCGGTCTTTCTGTATCCATACGTTCAGAAGAACGTTGATGGATTCTTCACAAACCATTCCTTGGAACTCGTTCATGTTCAGCCAGAAAAAGGCGTCGCCTTTGTTAGGCCGAACTGTCGTGTTGGTATGAGGAAACACCGTACCTCGAATGTTGATATGATAGTTTCAACCCTTTTTCTCCCAAAAAAACCTCCTCCTTTCTCAGCGGGTTGCAAGACAACGATGAGGGTGGCGTATCTGTTTCCGAAATTCTTCATCCAGTAGTCGTACTCAGAATCCGAGAAGTAAGTCAGGAAGTCGTGGTGGGGAGAGTAGTGACCTCCTGGGTGATATGAAAGCGCCTGAAACACTTCCTTGCCTTGAAATGGAAATTGAGCTCGGAAAGTGCTTCATTTTTTTCACCATGCCTCAAAAAATGTTTCTTGACTTCTCCCTTTTCCCCAGCCACCGCTATCGTGTTAACATTTAATTTCATTTTTCAACGCCTGTGGTAGAGAAGAGAGCATAGAGAAGCTAGACTGTTTCATGAGGTGACCAATAGATATAAAACTTAAAGAAGGTTTTTTCAAATTACTGAGTTTGTTTTTTTTTCGAGCTTTCAAAACTCTAAATTTTTACCGAGAAATCTTCTGATGATCTAATTTCAACGTTTGGCATGGCTCGGTCGACGCGGGTAAAAATTGCCTCCGTGGCATTGTTGGCGTTGCGTCGGAACCAGGAACCGTTGGCCTGTCTTGACGGCGAGTTAACGACTCCAACGACACTCTGATTAGAATGATTTCTTATCCATTCGATTTTTTTTTCTCACCTGTTTCTTCAATTCGGCGGCGGTGATCACTTCGACCATAGTATTTACAGAGGAATCCTCCAAAAGGTCGCGAAAAACGACAAGTGGTATTTCGAGGTCGAGAACTTCGACTTTGATCCAACTGTAGTCCATGAAAAAGACAGCACAGTAAAGGCCTGCAACCCGAATTTTTTATGGACTGAAAAAGAGGCCAACTGGAGTTCTCATGATGTTCGTTTTTGATGATGCCGTCGCAGAGGTCACGGTAATTCACCGGCCAGGTTTCGTAGCCGAAGAACTTGAAGCCGTTGCCTTGGGAGTCGCCGTGGGCCGATGCTCCTCCCAACAGAAATAACGAAGACAAGAGAAGCCAACGCGTCATGGCTTCGGAATGACCACACGTCTTCACGTTGTTCGTTGTTCGTTGATTTTGCTTTTTTCTTTCACGTTTCAAACTTTCATTCGAACGCGAGCCAAGTTGAAAAAGTATTTTTTATTTTCAGAAAGAGAAAATTTCTTTCAATTGAAAGTTGAACTACATGATAAGCAGAAAATTAAAACGGTTTTTTTTTTTTGAAAGAAAGATCTTACAACAAGCGGTTCCTACATCAGTATGTCAAAGTATTCGAAAAAATGATTTCCTCTCTCACTTTATTTTGAATATTGGATGAAAATAGGTCTTAAGAATAGTGAAAAATGACGGTCAAGTGAATAGAATGGGTAAACAATGAAAAAGCTTGGCGCGTCAGCTTATGGAGAAAAAGTTCTAGATGGTTTGATTACTCATGTGAGCTCACGAAGTTTTTTTTTACAGAGAGAATTAATACAATGAAAATTAGATTATGAATTAAGTTGTATGCCGTTTTGTAGGTAGCAAATTTAGATATTCAATTATTTATTTTTCATTGAAACGAAGAGATGATTCTAATAAATTTTTATGTTTACAGAAAAAATTTTTTTTGATGACTCCATGTTTTTCGAAATCGTAATTTTATTTGTGCTGATTAATCAAAATATTGACGCGTAAGCTGATAGTCAGCGGCGCTGAGAAATGGTTTGAAAAAGCGTTCCGTGTTGAAATATTCGCTGTCGATGGAACATCGAAGTCTTTGTTCTTGGTGATATTCGTGCACCCAGAGAGTGGCTCCTGAATGTTCTTTACATATTTTAAGTAATAAAAGTTTACCTATTTTGACACCGTCAAGTATCGGACATGCCGCGTGGAGAGTGTCGTGGTCCGCGAGAGAGTTCGGCAGAATGTTGATCCAAACAATGACGTCTCCGATTTTGGGTCTTATGTTCACTCCCAACTTCGGAAAAACCGTTGCTAAACTAGGATATTCTGGTGGTTTTTCACTATATTCAGTCTACTTCCCCCAAGTTTAGCTGTCTGAAGGATCACTAAAACTGTTGCGATGCGATTCCCAGCTAGGTTGACAATGGCGTTGTTGGTTTTTGGGTTCATGTAGTCGTAGTGGGGAGCGTAATGTCCTTCTTTATTGTATGAGAGGACCTTTGAAAAAAACTTCATAATTTTTATGATTTCCCTAAGAAATATAACCTGCCAGTGTTCAGAAGACCGCAAGTCTAAAGCTAGAATATTTCTTTGAAGTTGGGTGTAGATTTGCCGGAAACTTTTCGATCTTCGGTGAGCTATCCAAGTCCCATTGGCTGCACGATGTTTGGATTTTTGGGGCTTTTTCTCTTGATCGCCGGCGACTGACTTCAAAATTTTTGGTTATAGTTCACTAACTTTGAACAAGTTAATGCAAAAAATTACTTGTTCAAAAAGAGATAAATTCTGTGTTTCGTTGACGGCGCGTTTGCATAGTCTCCGATGTATCAGACCGTGGTACTGAACTAAGAACGGCTTCATGCTGAGGACTTCCAGTTTGAAAATTGTCAATCGGTCGTTTATCCAGTAGCATTGTAGACTTGCTGGAAATTCCGAGGATACAGGAAAATAGAAAAATTTGAAGGATAAAGTCGTTGAGAAAGTCATTTTTAGTTTTAAAAAACGCAAAAAGGTTTTGAATTTGGAAGAAGTTTTCGAGATTGACAAAAGTTAAATTGAAAGTTAAGTGACTAACAATCTTCGGAGCTCCTTCCTCTGGTTTCTTTTGCGCATTTGGCGAGAAAATCTTGGTTCCAACCGTCATCTTGACCGTCGTGTGAATGGCCATTGCATGAAATAATGAATATGAAAGCTAGAAAATACAGAAACATGGCGAAAAGTGGACATATTTGGCAGTTTGTTTGAGGTGTCCGATCCGAAATGAGCTGTGTAAACACAAAATGTTGATATATATCGATTTATTTTAAAAGTTGAATTGACGTATTTCTGTAAAAAATAAACTTTAATCTCATAAAACAACTTTTTTTTTCAGCTGTTGCTGATCCATGCACTGCTCCGCCGCGGAACCCCGGCATTGGGGAATTCAGAGCGACTCGATGGGCTTTCGATGGAAACACACGGAAATGTGTTCCTTTTGAGTACAAGGGAATGAAAGGTTAATTTTTTTTAATTTGAAGCAAGAGAGAGACATTTTGAAAAAATAAGAAAAAATGGCTTCTGAAAATGTTAACTTAACGTGTGACTTTTGATTGTGCGCTCTAATGATTGATCTTCTGATAATAACTCCTGTTTATTTTTATAAAAATTTTATTTCCATTTTACAGCTCAGAAATAATAAATAAAAAGGAAGTTGGAATGTAGAGCAATAACTGTGGGAAAGATTGAATGATCAAATTTGCCCAAATCTTCTTTTCTTTTCAGGAAACTCAAACAACTTTATTTCTCGAGAAGCTTGTGAGACAAAATGTCCAGGTATTCTGTACCTCCTTTTAGTGAGAAATAATAATCAAAAATGTTTAGTCTTCGAAAATCCTTGCAAGATTGGAGAGCCATATTCTGTTGCCAATCAATACCAGCAATGCTCCCCGAAACAGGTTTCCGTTTATTCTCACAATCAAACTTGTATTTTCGAAAATTGAAGGTCTGTCCGGCTGGTCACTACTGTCATATTGGAATTGAGGCCAACTACTGCTGCAAGGCTCTCGGTAAAAATTCTTTTGTTTTTGCAGGAAGTTTTCAGAGTTTTTATGTTGGCTGTTGGTTGGTGTAAGTGGCTTGTGCGTGTGTGGTTTTGATCCCAGATTTTTGCTTTCGCGTTTTTGTTTTATATACAAACAATTTTTTTTTCTTTTTTATATTTAAAGTTGATAATTTTGATAGTTCGCACAAGATGGCTAGCGACATTGCAAAAGGACTTTATCATTTCAACCATTTTATGCTTTCGTGCGAAATATTCCAGCTATAGTCTGTTCAGATTTTAAATGTCAAGTCGTCGCTCAAGCTCCGCCCATAATGGTGCGATAAACCAGTCAGAGAGCGAGCCATCCACAGAGCGTTTTCGAATGACGTCATTGTACTTGACATTCAAAATCTGAACAGACTATAGATCACAGTGAAACTTTGCCAGAAAAAGATCTTGAATTTCAAAATAGTTTTTTTATTAGGTAAAGCTCAATGAAGTCGCGTTTGGAACAGATTTTTTCAAATTCATTCATACCAGATATAGTAATAAGCTGTTTAAAAATAATCTATTTTTTTGAAATAAGTTTATTATTTTTTTCCAAAAAAATAAAAAATAAGAATTAGGGTGGATCAGTTATCAGAATAGATAATAATTCTTTCACTAGGAACATTTTTCATTAATGAATTAATAACTATTATCCAAAATGCGAACCTGTTCTTTCGAATTTTGATTACAAATTCGCTCTTTTTTTATAATTTAACCATCCCTTGTGTGTTCAACCTGTGTGTGTAGCTTGAACTTATTCATCCGTCCAGTTCATTTCTGTATACGTTTTATGTTTCTTCTCACAATTTTCAATTCGAATCAATAACTATCAGGCGGAGATCCGTGTGGACAGCCTCTCGACCGAGGAACCGGCGGAGCTCAACTCCAGCGTTGGTATTGGAACCAACAATCGCAGTGCTGCCTGCCTTTCAGGTTCTTTTCCGCGCCAAACTGAACCTAAAGTTGGAAATGATTGCAGTTATTGTGGACAGAAGGGTACTCAGAACAACTTCCTCAGCAAGCAAGATTGCGATCGAACTTGTTACGGTAATCAATTTTCATTATTGTTTTGAAGAAATCGGTTTTCAAAACTTAATAGACCTGGAAAGGATGATAATCTGAATTTCCAAAAAAAAAAAAAACAAGAATGACGCTTCAATTTTTTCTTCCCAACCTTTTTGAGCTCATGTGATGAGCTGTAACGTCGAGTTGACGTTTTGGTTCTTTTTTGAATTTCTTCAAAAGCTCTTTCCTAGGAATTAGAATAAAAGTTTAAAGTTTGAAAAAAAAAACTATGAAAATTACATAGTCTCCGCATTTTTTCTCATTTTGCTGTTCCCATTCATTTTGTGTTCACAAATTTTACCTGATGTCAGAACAACCAAGTTCTGCAGTTGAATTTTTTCCAAGCTTTACTTTTTTTTCGTTCCTTACCTCCAAACCGACTCTTCCCTACAGAATTGGATAACCCATGTGCCCTTGGCGAGCCGCAGATGACCCAACAGAACCGACCCGTTCAATGCTCCGTCGACCCCAACTCGTGCTCCGCCAACTTCTGGTGTCACTACGGGGCCTCTCTTGATACGACTGTGTGTTGTCCTGGACGAGGTGCAAAAATGTCCGGAGGACGATAAATAACAGCCGCCGAAAGATAAAAATTGAGCCAAACAGTAAATACAGCATTGTTTCGGCTAACTTTCAGAAAAATCTAATGTTTTGAATGAAATTTCCTTTCTTTTGAGCTGAAAATATCGAAAAGGACTGCTCACTTGAACTGTTTTAGAAGAAACTTCGGCGGTTCTTATCTGTCCTAATTCCCATTCCGTTCCTGTCCACCTCTCCAGTCCCATCCTTTCAGTCGAACCTCCGTCGACTTGTCAGCAGCCCCTGGTCGTCGGCTCCGGCGGCGCTTCCCTCCCTCGTTGGTATTACGACGCCGCCAACATGCGATGTGTCCAGTTCAACTACCAGGGCCGCATGGGAAATCAGAACAACTTCCTCACTCAGGAGGCTTGCGAACAGACCTGTCCTGGTCAGTTTCACTCCCAAAACAAAAATAAAGTTTGTAAATTTACCACGCCAATGTTCTGAACCGTTAAAAACTTGACTACTGGAAATTTCTCTATTTCAAACTTTAATTCTCATAGTCCGAAAATTTCGATATACAGGATCAGACAAAAATGTTTTGAAATATTATTAATATAAATAAAATATTATAAAAAAATGTTAACCTATTTTAAAAATTTTTTTCAGTGCATTTAAATCCAGAACTTACTAGGGGAGTCAAAAAAACAAAATGGCTTTGACCGTTACTGATTTTCTTTTCTAAATTTCTTTTTCAGAAAATTTTCAGCGTACATTTCCCGTTCATAATTGCCTACTACATTTTATAAATTTACCTATTTTCCAATTTGAAAAAGAACAAAAATGCCAAAAAAGGTATTAATTTAGCCCTTTGATAACGTACAAGTTTCCAACAACAAAAAACCGAACTTAAGCTTTAAATTTCTCATCATCATTGAACAACATGCATTGCACGCGGTAATATCCATCCTCTCCCAACGAATCAATAAAATCAATTTTTAAAATCTTCCCCAAAACCACCTCGACCTACAGTTTACGTGAACGTCTGCCCAACGGGCTCACCGCAACTCGACTCCACGAATCGACCGGTGCCATGTACCTTCGGCTCAAACTCGTGCGGCGCCGACCACTGGTGCCACCTCGGACTCGTTCCCGACGAGTACCAGTGCTGCCCTGGAACTCCGACCAACCCGGGAGCTTGTCAGGGACTTCCGTCGGTCGATGGAGAACTCGGCGCTCCAGCTCCAGCCGCCACGAGATATTACTACGATCCTTCGGACATGCAGTGCAAGCAGTTCATCTACAACGGTCGCAAGGGAAATCAAAACAATTTCCTGACCAAGGACGACTGCGAGGCAACTTGCGACGGTAAATCGTGTTCGCAACCGTTTGCCTGTGCTTGTTTTATTTTTACTGGCATGCCATTTTTTCTCGCTTCTCCTATTTTTGCTGTGCTTCTGAACCTATCACAGAAATTCGATGAAGGATCTTTCCCTGGAGATAAACACTCGAAGTTGTATCTTTTTGAAAATGAGTGTTATTTTATATCTTAGAAAATAATCAGGTCTCTCCGAATTCTTATTTATCAAGAACAGACTTTTACAAGCCTTTTATGGGGGAGATGTGAGAATAGTCGAAAACCACGCGTCTCATCTCGAATAAAATTTCTGAAGAGTTCGCGATAGTTACTTAATTTCATTAATAGATGTAAAAGTGTATTTTACTTCAAAATTCTTATTTTTTATCTTCAGCTAGCTTTGTTGACGACTGCACTGTTTTCCTAAGTTTTTCATATTTTCCTTTTCAGCTATCTTACAGATTTCTGCTTTGTCTTTTTCTCATTTCAATAGCTTCTGACTAGGAAAGTCGAACTTCTAAGCTGACTATTTTTACGTTTTTTTTTCTACTTTTTTCTTTCTGTTACTTCTTCAAACTTCTCAAACACTGATCGAAACCCCGACGTTTTCAGTCTTCACGAACCCTTGCAACCAGCCGATCTCCCTCCCAGCGACCATGTGCTCGGCCAACGCCGACACCTGCGGCGCCAACTTCTGGTGTCACATAGGAGCCTCCGCCGACACGACCGTTTGCTGTCCCAGCGGTTTGGAGACGTCGAGACCTCCCCTTAGCCAACGCTAGAGACGATTCAGAAGGCGACCCGTGTATGCTTCCCTTGGCCCAGGGAACCGGCAACCAGTACATGGACCGATTCTACTACAATCAGCAGACTTCCACTTGCCAGCCGTTTGTCTATTCCGGTCTTCATGGAAATCAGAACAACTTCCTTACTCAACAGGTGTGTCGGAACAGATGAACGATTTTTCTAAAAAAAAAATTTTTTTTTCAGAAAAAAATGTCATAAGACTGCCCAAAAGCAGTAGCATTAAAAAGTTTTCTATTGTACCAAAGCCTAAAAGCTGCGAAATTGTGTTCTTTGAAAGAAAAAACTGGAAACTAGTTTAGGCCTGTGAAGATCGCTGCGGACCGAACCCATGCTTCGAAGGACGTCCGTTCGTCGGCGCCGACGGCCGCGCCCAGACCTGCTCCGCCTCGGCCAACTTCAACACTTGTCCAGCCAACCACTGGTGCCACATCGGATCCGATCTTTCGACCACCGTCTGCTGCCCTGGAGGTTCAGCCCAACTCTGAAAATATGAAAGAAAATTCGAAAATGTTTAAAACCGTCCCAATTTCAAAAAGTAAGCATTGGTGAGAATAAAAAGTGTTCAGCCTCGACGAACATCTGCAACCTGCCAATGTCGACCGGCGAAGGAAACGCCAAACTCGAACGATTCTACTTTGACCAGCAAACCAAGACTTGCCGCCCATTCACCTACAATGGTCTCAAGGGAAATCAGAACAACTTTGTCTCTTTGGTAACGGCTTTCTCGATTTCCTCTTGTACGGTAAGCGTTCCAGAGAGCTTGCCAATTGTCGTGCCAGCCACTCGACAACCCTTGCATCGGACAGCCAGCCACTACTGCCGCTGGACAGGTATTCAGGAAATGTTTACCGGGAACGAGTCTCGATCCCAGGTCCTTTTCTGCTCGATCACCAACAAAGACTCGTGTCCCGTCAACTTCTGGTGCCATATTGGAGCCACTCCTGAAACGACTGTCTGCTGTCCTGGAGGTTTGTCAAAAGTTGTACTTTATGTTGATGAATAAGGAAGAGGGGAAGAAGAAATTTGAATAAATTTCAGCAACCAACCCCTGCTCCGTTCCCCTGGCGCCAGGAACAGGAAATGCTGGCCTTCCACGGTTCTACTACAACCCAGACGACCGAGTTAGTCTAATTTTGTATTTTCCACGATAAGGCGGCAGTTGGGAGGGCCTGAAGTGTTGTAGGAGAAAAGTGAAATGATTTTTTTTTTGACTTTCTAGCGTTGAACTAGATTTTTCTGCGCCTGAACCGGTACTATTTTTTTCAAAAAAAAAGAAGAAACCAGTCGGGTCATTCCAAGCCTGTCTGCCTGTCTAAAAGATAAGTTAATTTATAACTCGATTATAGTTTTCAAAATTTCAATTCTAGCAATGCCTGCCCTTCCAATACAACGGCAAGAGAGGAAACCAGAACAATTTCGAAACGAGCGCCGAATGCGAGCGAACTTGCCCAGGTAACAGAGCGGTTCTGGAGAACGGAGGTTGACAAAAGAAAAAGAATGAAAAAATAGTGATCGGCGCACGTTGCTTAATTTGGTTAGAAAGAGAGAAACTAACACACTCAAAATGCATGCTTCCCCTGTACCTTGGTCGGAAAACCAAGTATAGAGCTGTTGGGCCTTCGTGGCCTCTTTTTAGTGTTCAAAAATCCGTGCTTGGGAGAAGTTCTGTTGACTTCGGACGGAGATCCGAAACAGTGCAATCCTCTGGCCAAGAATGCCTGCGGAGCTCACGGATTCTGCTTGGGCGGAGATCCTCTCGTCAAGAACTCCAGCTACTGCTGTCCAAGGATCAACCGTTAGTCGATCTGCGGATAGTTATGACCTGTTCCGCCATTCAGAAGAAGTTTGCATCGCGTTTGTTGGCTCCGGCTCAGGACTGCTCAATCTTACCCGGTTCTACTTCAATCCGGTCGAAGGCGACTGTTTCCCCTTTGACTACCGTGGCGCGCAAGGCAATGAGAACAACTTTCTGACCAAGAAGATGTGTCAGGAGACTTGCAAGCCCTGTAAGAAACAAGTCAACTTCTTCTCTCAGAAAAGAACTTTAGTGACAAATGCCTGTTTCGGTGGCGAGCCACCTCTCAGTCAGAACGGAAAAGTCGTCCAATGTCATGCTCAAGCCTGTCCGGAGACTCACTACTGTCATCGCGGAGCCGATGCGAGATCCACTCTCTGTTGTCCCAGACGAGGTTCTCATTCTTTTCCAACTCTGCCTGCAAGTATAAGCCTTCAGGTTCTCCTTGTGACCAGCAACTGATGACCGGCGTTGGAGAGCACAATATTCATCGTTACTACTACGACATTACGGATGACATGTGTTTGCCGTTCAATTATACCGGGATAGCCGGAAATGAGAACAACTTCCTGACCAAGGCTGAGTGTCAAATCGCTTGTCCTGGTGGGTTTCTTGGCTAAAGATAAAAAATAACATGAAAAATAAAGATGTCTCTAAAAAAATATTGAAGGTCTAGAAGTTTGAATTTAGTTCAGCTGGAAAATAATTTTTCGTAAAAAAAACTCGTTTCATTCAATTAACAAAAACTCGCGTTTTTTTCAATCATGAAAAGTTACTGGTTCAAAACTCAATTACAGTGAACTGAAAATGTTTTTCTTTAAATCCTAGCGAAACAAGACATTCAAGGTTACCACGGCTACTGTCCTCATGGCAAGCCTGACGTCACTGACCATGCGGTGACGTCATGCGGAATCGACACGGGCTGTCCCCACGACCACGTCTGTCACGTCTCCAAGCGCGATGCCAAAAGTGTCTGCTGTCCTGATCCGGGTATCCAATAAAATCTCGCATTCACAAGTGCGCTCTAGTGAACACTATCAGGAGATCTGATCAGCCAAATAGAGAAATGTTTTGATAGAGCGTGCTTGTGTGTCCTTAGAAGCTAGATTTGAAAGATTTCTAGCTTCCTCCAACAAATATCTCGAATTTGCAGCCAGCTTCTGTCTGATGCGAGCCGATCCAGGACCTTGTGGCAGAAAAATAAAACGATATTCCTATGACCGCCGTACCGGAACTTGCAAAAAGTTCATGTAAGCCTAAATTGTTTTTAATGTTCCAATTAAAAACGTTAACTTCAGATTCGGCGGCTGTCAAGGAAATCTGAATAATTTCGAGTCTCTCGAAAAATGCACTGAAATCTGTTGCGACAAGGGATATATCTAAAAAAAAAATTCCACCTTTTTTTCTTGTTAACTCATTTTTTATACCTGTTTTCCGTAGATTTTGGGTTTATGTGAACCTCCCTTTGAATTTAAACAGTATTCTGGTAGTTTAAGTGTCACAAAGTGATCAAAACTAGTTATTTTCCGGTGCTTTCCCTCGTTTCTGTTAGAAAACTCAACGTGTTCCATCTTACCATCTTACTTGGTTAATCTAATTGTTAATTTATTCATGATTCTTTCAAAAGAACTGCTGTTGTGTGATGTGATTTGTCGTGAGGTATTTATTTGTGCCGTGGTTTTTGCAATTTGTGTTGCCGTCCAAGAAAATGTCGCCCGATAGCCCGAAAAAGTACTATAGGTGAGCGGTGGCTGCATTGCAACCTACACTTGGGAGACGATCTTCTGGGCATGACTCTCGATTTTTAATTTCTTTTCGCTTTGGCTGGTGACGGACGCCCTATTTATTCTTTTTGTGTGATTTTCCTGACTATTAGCAACACTATAACTTGTTGAAGCCCTGCATGCGAACTCACAAAACTTTTCATATCTATCACTAATTCTTGATCAAATTTAGTAACAGCGCCGATCAAATGTACTGACTTTTTTTTTCGTGTTACGCGACAATTTTTGGTCCGCCGGGATTCGTTCATTTTATTTTTTGCAATCTTGTTTTGAATCTCCGCGAACAGTTAAGTTTGGCATGAGAAGAATGCGAAACAATCATACGGAGAGACAATCAATTTTTTTTGGGAAATACTGTTTTTTACAGAACAACTTTGCTTGCTTTCCATCGATCGAGGAGCATGCGGAGGTCGCCAGACAAGATATGCCTACAATAGGCAATCGGTGAGCTAAAGTTTTCGTTTTCAGGTTCAAAAGAATCAGTTGTCAAAGAAGCTTCCTGGAAATACATTTTTTCACGTAAAGCCTTTAAATAAAGTGTTAAAGATATGGAAAAAATTTCTGTTCTTCAAATCTTGGCGCTTTTTATTATTTTGGAGCTCGAAAAGTTTGTTTCGATTTAAAATTTTCCAAACAAAGCTAGTTTGAACTTAAAGAAACTCAAAACGGTTGCAGAGCCAGTGCGTGGCGTTCGAGTACACGGGCTGCGGCGGCAACCTGAACAACTTCGTGTCGATGGCCGACTGCATGGCGACGTGCGGCAACGTCGGATTCCGCCGATGATCCTTCTCAGGATGCCTTCAAGCCCCATCACTCGCCAGCCCCTTTCCAATCTTTCCAAACTGTCTTTCTCATCATTCTTTTCAGAGTTTCATCAAGTTTGTGTTGATTTTCTCTCCGTCAGCAGGTTTTAGGTCTCAACACGGCTCGAATCATTTTTCTTTTCCTTGATTTTCTGATGAATACGGCTTCTTATTTCTGTGGTATGACCTCCTGCACTTTTTTTTTGCGCCTAGCCGAGATACTGCTTTACTGGATTTACATTTTTGGGGTCTTACCACTACTTTCTCTCAACCGCAATTTTTTAATTATGATTTCGCTTGATTCACTTGCTAATTATTTAGATTCTATTCAATATCACATAGTAGTCTATAACTTTTTCGTATCAATTTCGCTGACGAAATTTGCTCCAAGCCTAATTTTACATTCTCTGCACTCCACGATTTGCCTGTACATTTTTTTGAGAACCGATAATATTGTTTTTTTGTTTCAAATTATATATGACAATAAAAAAATTGAAAGAGAAGATTCCCGATTGCGGCATTTTTAAATTACAAAGAATTATTATGAATAAACGTAAATCGAAAGATAATCACAATTGAAAGTTGAGCAAAACTGGCTACCCACGAGAAAACAGAAGATATTCAAAGAAAGTTGTCGCTGGTACAGTCGCCGCCGAAGAATCGGATGTCCCGAACGACGAACGGCCCTTCCTTGTCGTCCTGCAAACATTTTTGATTATTTTCCAAGTTACAAGAAATTGATGAAACCTTGATTTCGATCAAAAAGTTCTCGTCAAGAACCAGCTGATCTTGCAACACGTCGATCTTTATCATTTGACCTCCCTCTCTGAAATTCTTCCCGTAACTGTTTTCGAGTCAGAAGCTCCCACGATATGAGTTCTGGATAGAACTGTGCGTCCCACGCCTTGTAGAAGGAGTTGCAGACGTAGAGCCGCTTCCCGTCCTTGGAAAGTTGCATGGAAGCGGGGCCTCCGCGAAAGTCAACGCCGCGCATTTGGGCGATTTTGGTCGGAGGCAGCCACCACATGTCTTCCAAGGCGCACGACGTCTTCAGACTCACTTCTGGATTGCAGGTCATTACGCCGCCAAGTGAGATCTGAGAATTCTTTTATAAGACTAGTGGCCATCTGATTCATCCAAATTTCATAAAATTTCATTCGATGGTCCAGGAAAACAGTACCAAAGTACCAATTTCTTTATCAAAACAAAAGTTCTTTCTTTTTCAACCTTGCATTGAAGCGACACTCGAAACGGGTCCTGAATGTCGAATTTCCAGATGATTCCATGCAAGTAACCGGCCAGAAATAAAAACTGATCATCCATAGAAATGACCATATCGGTCAAAATCGCCGGGATTTCTTCACATTGCCAGTGTTCCACCTGAAAAAGGTCATGGTGACCTATCTTTTTGAAAAAGCTGATGGCCGAAGTTTGAAAAGGAAAACCCGCAGCGAAGGAATCTGGGCGACTTTGTCGGCGGTCCATTCTTGCGTCAGACTGTCCATGTGAATGTGGAAAAGGGAAGATCCTATTGCTGAGCAGGCGAACGCGTGGTTGCAGTCGGCGTTGTGGAGGAATCTTAAAAATTCCGTTCGGGATAGGAAAATATTCTCGAACTTCCTTTTTCTAATCACAAGCATGGTGAAAGAAAACAGCTGGAAAATCGAAGTTCCGGTTGAGAAAGAGTTAAATTGAGAAATGATGGCAAATCAATATTGAAAATTTATTAATGAGAAAAATGAGAAATATTCAAAGGCAAAAAAAACAACTCATATGACAAAAAAATAATTATTAACAATCCTGAGACGACAAAAAATCAAAATTGAAATTGCAGATCAATGAATTAGCATCTACTCAAAAAAGGTTTTCGCTTTTTCCTCTTTTTTTTTCATTTCTTGCACGCAATTATTATTTATCACTGAATACGGAGCAACTTTCGAAGAAATATGTATATGAAATGCGGAAAAGACAAGAATTTGAATGAAATAGTTTCCAATGTACCCTCTCAGACATTTTGGCGAAACTTCTTTCCAAAATATTATTCCTTACTTTTGTTCCAACCTTTCATTTTCAGACTCCTCACCTTACAGTAGATGTGAGACATCCGTCAAAAGGGTGCAATTCGATGGTTTGCTTGAGTTTTGGCGGGGAAATTTGCCAAACGTGCAGTTGGTTTCCCAGCGATTCTGATACTGAATATTTAATTTTTGACATTTTTTTATTAACAAGAATTGAGCGTCAAAGTTTCGCCCAACAAATATATGAAGTGGGGGTTCACACGACCGCGAGTCCTCTTCCCTTCATCACAAGTTCCGAACACATATTTTTCCCATATTCTCCCTACATCTATTTTGTGAAATTTAGTACTTGTTTGTGAAAAATAAAACATTTTGATTCGATGGAATCAGCCTCAAAACTTTCTCGGTTTTTCAGGGAGAAACATTTGTTGTCCGAAAACTTGACGTTCAAAGAATTACTAAAAAACCATTCTCCAAATCGCTGTTGGTGAATCCGTTGCGGAACAGCCTTGGATGGCCCCATTCGCACGAAATCAGAAGATTATGACGAGGCTGGAGATAATAATGAATGAAAATTGATAAACTTCAATGTTTCTACTTGCAAAGCAAAATCGCCTCCAAAAGAAGAAAATTCGCTATCGTTTTTTTTACGAACCTCCCAAGTGTGGCGATCCAGCAACACAAAATCACCTAAAATGTGATTATATCTCATTTTCTTTGAGAAAGCAACCTTTCCCATGGCCTTCTTTATCCCCAAGGGTTGAAATGTGGATAGGCGCCCCTTTTAAGGGCAGACTTCTGACGGCGTAAGGGCAGGAAACATCTTTCCGAAGAAGTGTGTCTGCGGATATTTCCTGAAATTTCAGGAAAAATTAGTTCTTAAAGGAGAAGAATTTTTCAAAAAAATTTTTGAAGTCGCAAATTCGCCTAGTTATGCTTGTTTTACAAAAAGCAATTGTTTCCGTAATGACAAAAAAACCTACTTTCTCCAGCTTTAATGTTCCACCATGAGCTTCCACCACATAGATCTTGCTGCTATTCATGCAAGGTACAATCATATACCTTCTATTTATCTGAAACGCCTTATTTCCCTCTTTACAAGTCTTCTTGCAGACCTTTTGCATGTCATGTAGATGATCAGCCGACTTGGCCCAATTGATTCTTCCTGGTTCATCTCCATTCGCCGGCAGCCGCAACTCATTCACCACTTGGCAGTAGGTCGAACTTTTCGGTTCCAAGTCCACAACTATCAGTCGGTCAGAGTGGTAACCTTCAACTTGATAATTATCAAGTTGAAAGAAAAAATTTTCGAAGTTTCCAAATGGCTTCTCCGATGAATCGTAAATAACTACACATTCTTACGTATTGCTCACTGGTTTAGTGCTTAACAATAATAGAAAAAAATCAACAAAAAAAGCTGAACTTAAAAAAATAAAAAGATAAAAACTTTTTTTAGAGAAATAAGTAATTTTTTTCAAATGACGAGGAAAGTTTGCTCTACGATTACTGTATTCGCTTGGAAAAATGGTCGTTTTTTTTTCGTTGCAAAACGACGCGTTCAAAGTAATCTCGGAAAACTAAATCTAAATATTTTTCGTACTTTAAAGTTGTTGCTGCTCAATTTTTTTCAATTTTATGTATGTAATTGAAATTTGCATGTTTTCCATCAAACGCTTGTATTTTTTTTATGTTATAATTTTTTTGTTTTATCATTATTTTCAGTATCGGCTGAAATTTTACAATTTTTAGGGGGAATTTTACACGCTCATAAAAATCTTTAGTATTTTTCATTCAAAAAAACGGCTACACTCTCTTCAATTATTCGACTCTTACTTCAAAAATTATTCGATCTGGGAAGCTAACTAGTTACTAAGAACATAGCGAATGATTTTTTTTCAATTCGCAATTTTTTTATTCTTATCAGTTATTTTAAGTATTATCAGGAGTCACCGATCGCGTGAGGACAGGATATAATGGCAAACTGCTCGTCGTCCTGTTCGTCTTCTATTTGTTTGTAGTCGTAGGTCTTGTGCTCGACGGCCATTGGTGGCCTCGGCTCGACACGCGGCTTCGCGAAATTTTCTTCCACGTGGATCATCTTTGCCTCATTGCTCTGAAAGTCATGTATGTCTTTATGTATTTTCCCATTGCATTTCAAGATCTTTTTTTGCAAGATAAGTGGTTAGAAAGTCGATAACATTGTTTTGAGGCTTCTTCGTCATTAGGTGAAGCCTTATAACGTTCTTTCTTCTGGAATTGTTCCAGCGAAAACATAAATAAAAGTTCCCATGGCATTTTCTTGGAAAACAAGGCACGAGATATTGAGCGAGTTAAAAAAATTTTTTCCTCATTTATTCAAAAATAACTAATTGCAGGGAACTTTCAATTGACTCACCATGCATACGCCCATCAAAACTTTTGGATGGAAGTTTTTGAATGAGCCCTTCTGGGTCGGAGATCCGTTGGTTGGCCGACGTCGTTTTCTGGACAAAATTGGTTTTTTTTTCATAGCATAGTGGGATTTGAGAAAAAAAATTGAAAAAGTTATTGAGAAACCATTTTTTAGATTAAGAAAATGTCTAAGAGTTCATATGTTTACGATGAAGATGAACATTTAGTTGAAACATTTAGTCGTATCTCAAATATTTTCCAGAAGAAATGTTTGATTCCGAACCTCATTCGCTACGAGAACAAAGTCTGACCTGTCTGTCCCCTCTTATTCTTCAGCGACACTCTTTTTTGCCTGCTTTTTCTTCTTTCTCTGACCTCCGGCCCGTAAAAAGACGCAGGCGTGTCACAATGTTTCAAGTCATGACGAAAAAGAGTTCTGTCAGGTTTCAAAATAGAGTCATCGTTTTCCAGATTGAGAAAATGTTTTTTGAATAATTCGAAAAGTCTTCAAAATTTTTCACAGTTGAAATTTCATAGGTGTTGTACAATAGAAAGTTATAATATAAATTCAAAAATGATTTGGATTTTTTATAGGATACCAAGGAACGTAACTGCAGAAATAATGCGTTTGGAAAAAAAAACGAGAGCCGAAAAGGAGGCGGATTCGTAGATTAAAGACGAAAGTGGGAGGCTCGTTGATAAGGCGGTCGCTGCTGGATTTGGACCCACTTTCCCTTATTACATATTACACGATATCAGCCTGAATTTCGGCTCAAAATCGCCTTTTCCATGGCTTAACTGTTGGAACAAGGCGATTATCTCTCGGAAGGTGTATTAATCACATATCTCTTTCAAATCGTATTTGCGAGGTGTCGAAATTCTTGGGATTGGAACTTTATAAATTCCGTCTGGAAACAAGATATTGTTTTACTGAAAAGAAAACAAGGGAAAAATATCAAATGAAACGAGGAGTACTCCTTGATAAAATATATTTTTTATTTGAAGTCTGGTAGAATATTCTTGCGAGAAAACGCGCAGAAGTCTTTGATGAGAACACACTAAAAACGACTCTTTTTTGGCCTCCATGAGGTTCTTTTTTGATGGAGTTAGTAACAACTCAGTTCATTTTGTTGTTTAAAAGACCATTCTCCAAACACCTTAGAAAGGTCTTTTAAACAACAAAATGAACTGAGTTGTTACTAACTCCATCAAAAACCCTTTTTTTTTCATTATCAAAAACAACTTTGGTTTCGCTCATTAAACTTTCTTTTGTCCTAGAGGAAGAGAGAAGTTGTGATGTGTGAACGAAAGTTTCTTTGCGAAAAAAAGGTTTTTTTTTGAAAAAGAAAAAAATTACTATTCGAAAACTTTCAAGTTGATTAAACAGCTTTAATTCTCTTTTTCTAACTGAAGAACTCAGATTTTTTTTCAATTTTATCAGTCTCGTAGTGGTTTTTACTTTCCTTCTTTTTGAAGAGAATTCTCCTCTCGTTTTCGGATTAAGATGAACTTTTCCAAAGGATTAAAATGTCTTTTCTTGCCGAACGATGTAATTGGAACCTGTTGCAGGGTTAATTTTTTTGGAAAAAAATTTCAAATTTTTTTTTTTTGCCAAACTTCAAATATATAATTTCGCTTACCCTTGAGTTGGCTTGTCAAAATGATCTCGTTGTGGTTTTGTGGTGAGAGAGGGGCTGGAGGCGCGGAATTTCGAGTACGTCTTGGCCCCGCCCCGTCCGCCAAGATGAAGATGAAGAACAAAAAGAAAAGGCCCTCGCTGAGCCTTCACAAAACTCTTGTGAACTTTCGAATCGACGTTCTTTCGCAACAAAAATCGTCGTTTGAATGGTCCGACGACTTCTTCTCGTCGTCTTTTTGCTCGCAGTGTAGGAATTTAACTTTTTGAAATATCTTCCGATAATTGTTAGCTTTTTTATTGAGTTTATAAATTGAGTTCATCGGGAGTTTTTCAAATGTAAAAACTTTGGTTCTCCGAAACATAAAACTTTCAAAATAAACCAAAGACTGTGTTTTCTCAGTTACATCTCTGCGTTAGGATGGGTATAAACATTTTGAACACTTTTTTTTAAATTTTTCGCTAAAAAAGCATTTTCTTACGTGAAAATTTTAAAACAAGGTTAATCTAGTGTAACTTCAATCTAATGAACCTCTGGAAGTTATAACTTTTTTTTTCAAGAGTTGACACTTTTTAAATAGGAACCATGGAAAAATTTTGGGGTCATTCAAGATTTTTCGCGCCACTAAATTCAAACATTTTTTTCATCTTGAAATTTTTGAAAATGTATGGAAACTAAAAAGGTAAGAAGGATCGTCCTCAAGACAATGTTTGCAATTGAATTTGTCTTTTTTTCCGCACTAGGCTCTCATGTATGTTTGCTCTTGAGAGACGTGTCCATTGATTCAATCAGGTGTCCTGTTTCAATTGTTCTTACTTTTTTTTTCACTTTTCTTCCACTTTTATCAGGTAAAGATATAGAAATATTAGTAATATAGTTTGTTATGAAGTCAACTTCCTCGATTTTTTGAGGCAAGTATTTATATAGATGGGAAATCGGATGAAAATTGTCAGCTGTAAATAAACGAATAATTTTCAACGATATCTGGAGTGGACCGGGATTAATCGCTCGAAGAAGCTTTTCAAACTTTTTTTTTGGAGACTTTGGGAAAAAAAAATTCGTTCATGTTGATTTCGGGGACCGGCATGAGATGGTGAAGTGTACCAAGAGCTTTAATATACCTAATACGGTTTGAAGCCTTTTTCGATAACCTTTAAAATCCGAGAACGCTTTCTCATTCTATTATTCTATCCCAGAGTCTTTTTCTGCTTTTTGTTTTCGTACCACGTGAGTAAGCTGAACGTTTTCAGCGAATTTCAGCTTTGTTCCCAGGAAAATTTGCATTAATTCTGAAGTTTCAATCTTTTCTTGCCCCTGAGGCGATATCCTGCAGTTTTGTTGCTATTCATTGTTTTTTGTACTTTTTTGTTTTTTTAATGAAGTATCTTGATCACGGAAAAGGTAACTTTTTAGGAAAAAAAAAATTAAAATCCCCTGGAAAAAACGAGATGTTTATTGTTTGGCCAGCCTTGAAATCGAATTTTTTTTAGTAAGTATACTATATACAACGATTCGAACTAGTTGGAAGTGGGAAAAAATTTTTTCGACGGTTTTTTGCTGAGAGCCCGTTTTTGCTTGTGATATTCATATCTGAGTGCAGAGGAGTTAATTCAAAAATATTTTCGTCCAGAAATTCAAATATTTCTTATAGGAAGATGTTGTTTCGTAGGTCCAGAAAGATCTAAGATCGGAATATGAATAAGGAGAAACAGTCTTAAAATATTTTTCAAGGCTCCTATAGTTGCCCCTTTCCCTAGACTTTCAGGTAAACCTTTATTGACTCAAAAATGAGTCATTTTAGATACTTCTGAGCGGAAACTTTTTCACTATAAGAGCTCCTTCACAACTGGCTCGTTTGTTTTTTTTTTCGATTCGCCAACCTTCAGTAAATGAAACGGAGTTTTTTTTTTCAATTCGTCACATTGAAAAGCCAAGACGTTGGCCGAACTCTTGAGAAGAATTTCAGGGATCGAGACTCAATAAAATTAAAAATGAAGAAATTTTTTACTGTTCAGATCTGATTGCCTCTGAATTTACCGGGATTGAAGTCTTGAATAGTTATGTTGTCCAAAACTTTGAAAGTGTGTTCTGTCTCTTTGTCAGCATCAAATAAAAATTAGTATGAAAGTTTACTATGAAAGAATATAGGAGCAGAAAATATCTTGAACTTGTGAAAATCCAAATTTATTGCAGATGGACGGAAGCGAAGCCGCCGAAGTCGTTGAATCGACTTCGGAGCAAAGGTTCCTACAGCGCCGCCAACTTGAACATCGCCTCTCTGGCCAACAACGGACTTCTTCTCGCTGTTAGCTCATTCCTATTTGAAATTAATAGTGTTGCTAATGTAGAAAAGCAAAAAGATTCGAAGAAATTTCAATTTTTTTCTTAAAACCTTTGAGAGTTGCTTCTTTTTTCTTCCACATGTTCGCCGACTCTTTTAGGTTATTTAGAGTTTTAGAAATCACGAAATATAATTGAAAATTTGACTTGAATTTGACTTTATAAGTTAGTAATAAACTAGGTGAACTGTTTCACTATCAATGAGAAATAAGGGGAAAAAAACCAATAGAAAACTTTGCGTCGTCTGCTCGTATTTTGACGTCTTCTTGATATTTTATTTCCATCAGTTTCAGTTTCCGGTCGTTTCACATAACTTCATCAAACTTCGTTCAAGTATAAACCACCAGAAATTTTTCCCATCAACAAAATACTTCGAATTTTTACAAAAATGCTATTGATAAGCGTGGCACGAATACTTTTTTTTGTTTTTGTGGCTTTCAAATCATATTTTCTCACTTAGTCACACCTTACACATTCTGACGTTTCGAGTGGGAAAAATATGAAGTTTAAAGAGAAAATGTGAAAGGAAAATCTCATAACAAATATTTTTAGAGGAGTAAATGAACCAGAGACTTTGATTTGATCAAATGACAGAACGGCTTACAAAATTGTATTTACAAATATTATGGTTAAATAATACTGGTTGAACATTCTGGTTTTCGTCTTATGGAATTTTTTTTACTTGAATTAAAGAAAATATCTTCTTTTCTTTTCGAATAATTCAAACAATATCCTCAAAAAATGATCTGGCTTTATTTCATGATTCTGAGGATTTGAATAATCAAAAAAAGTTGTTCTGTCGAGCTCTACTTGATGTTGTACTTTTATGAGCTTTTTTTGCTTACTTTTATGAACCTTTTTCAAATGAAGTTTTTGGATTCGGTATGAAATTACCCAGACAAGCCACTTGAAAAATCTGTTTTCTGTGGATTTTCCGACGAGAGTGCAGCCACTTGTTAATCAAAACTCGGACTTTGTGCGTTTTCGCGATTTTTAACCGTTGCTCTGCGCGAGTTGGTTGGCTAGAAAGAAAACTGCGATTACAGAAGAAAAGTTTGTCGATGGCCGAAACATGATACTGTTTGCCTTGTTCATCAGCAATTCTAGAGGAAAACCATACTTTTAAGCTTTCCTTTCATAAAAAAAAATTGACAGAAAAGTTTTTCCCGATTGTTTAGGTTTGTAGGTTTTCATTTCTTTGAAAGTATTGAGTTTCAAGAAGTTTCTAGGGGTCGAGTCAGGGCAAAGTATTAGGAGGAGAAAAAAAAGAGAACAATTGTGGTTTGAACTGTAGTAAAGTAGGAAGACACATTTTTTTTTTCAATAAATGTGCCAGACTGAATTTCGATTATAGGCCGCTCCATGCTTGAGCATTTAGCCTTTTTTTTCACCACGAGACAAAAAAATTTTCACAAAAGCGGCTAAAATCTCCACAAGAAAGTCTTCAGAACTTGGACTACGACAATGGGACGATGACGTCATCGGATGAACGGCTGGGAAAGCGCGACTCAGGGGAAGCCGCGAATGAAGGCGACGACATCGACGACTTGCTCGCCGGCGACCTGCTGCAGGACGAGGATGACGTCACCACGACGTCTGAGCCAACCATCGATGACGTCACCGAGATGTGAGCTTTAATTATTTTTTTGTTTCAAAAAGGCCTACTGGCGAACAACTGCAAGCTTGAACATTGAATTGTTTGCCGATCAAAAAAACAAACAAGCAAAAATATTAATTTAAAAAAAAATCGAGTTTCAGTAGTCAGTAGAAGTATTTTAACATCGAGGACAAAGATTGCTGGGAAGGTGCCGACGGAAAATTTTTGAAAAATCAGGTTGGCAGGCAATTTGGGAGTTGACCTGTGTCGTGAGAAAGAACCAAATCAGACATGCTGTAAACTGTTCCCTTGATAGTATCAGTCGTCTTTCTCTTTCCTTCTCTGTCCGGCCTTTGTAATATTTTTTCCGATTTTTTTTTTCAAGCTCATGGAGTGCCAAAATTTTACAAAAGAAGGTATTTTGTACACTTTGACATGATCTTTCAATCTCTTTTGATACTTTTTTCCAATCCATACACCTTTTTGAATTTTTGAAGGCTGATATAAATGTCTCAAGCTGAAATTTTCTCCGAGATTTTATTATTCCAAAAACTTTGATATATATCTTAAACTAAAAAAAATTTCCCAATGAATTATATTTAAAGGATTTGAAAAGGTTTTCATTCGTTGATTTGTCTGCGATTTGCACTCTTTGTTGCTTTCATTTTTTCTTGACGCTTTGGAAGTTTCGCCGGATGTTTGGAAGAAAAGATGCGGTTCCCGCTTCCACATGGAACTTCTCATCTTGTGTGTGTGTGGGCCAGTTTTTTTTTTTCTTTGAGCTTTTTGGACCTGATCAACTTGATTTACTTTTTCGTAGATTCAAAAAAAGTCCATTTTTAAGCTTCATAATTATTTTTTTGCGTGGCAACTGAGTTTTGAAGATAGGTGAAATCGACAGAAGTTAGCCTATAGCCCAAAAAGTGTTACACCCTTTTTGATAATATTTTAAAAAAGAAAAGGAAATTAGTGAAAAATAAGATGGACAGCAGTCGAAAATTCAACTCATAAGAATGCAAATAAGATCAAGCCAGTTTTATTACATTAAAATATTTTCCCTAATGAAGTTTTTTCGGGGCTCATTTTCAGGTAATGTGGAAGGAGTATTTATCTATTGCTCATTCACAAGAAGTTGAAAAACCCAAATGTTTTTTTTTCTATTTTTTCCTTTCTCAACAGTTTTTCACTCAAGCATCTTCTAAACAACCGATGACTCGTCAAACGTTTTCTCTTTGATATAAGAAGAAATACGAGAAAAAAGAGCCGAAATCGGAGCTTGCATAAACGGAAATGTTGCGTTTCCTTCACTTCTTAATTGGAAAACAAGAGATTTTTACGCCTTTTTACTATCTTATCGTCTTCTTTTTCTTGTTTTTTTACACTCGTCTTTCGGGTTGAAAAATCAAAAAAATTGTTTTTCGTATTTTCGCTTCCAAATAATGAAAAGAATATTTTTTTAAATTTAATATTAAAGATTTTTTTATCACCCAGCGAAAATTGGATGGAATCACTTCAGCGACATATTTATTTTTTCTTTTTGCCGAGAAAAAAGAATTGGGTTTTCCAAGTTTTCGAAAAGTTTATTCACATCGCAAATAGGTCAAAAAAAGCGCACCAACGAGAAATTCGAGGCTTTTTAAGTTTTAGCTTGCGTGCTATGTGGTATCTTAAATGTAAAGTGAATTTCTACGACTTTTAGTAGGATTTCAAAAATATAGAAAAAAAAACTACTCTCCACAATTTCGAATGAAAAACTTCAAAAAATGGAAAAAAAAATTTACTTACGAGTTCGTTAACTTTATTGTAACGTGCGAACTCGCGAAATTGATATTTGATCTTGATCTGAACGCAAAGCTTCTATGCTTCTTTGAAAGTCTCAGTAAGGTGTTTAAAAATTTTATTTTTACATATTAAAAAACCGTAAAGTTCTAAACTTTTCAACTTTTTAGATTTATTTCCTAACGAAATTTGAAGATCATAATATTTTTATGTAGTAGACAATCTCGCAGATTGAACTTCGTCATAATACATGATTAGTTTTTTTGGCCTGCCTCCTTTTTGCCTATTAAAGAAATCCACGGCGGAGTGCATCGTGTAAATAATTGAAGCGGTGAAGCTACGCGTATCTTTTCCCCCCTTGTGGCCGTCTGATCTCTTTTTTTCTATCTTTCCTTTTTATTTCAACATGAGCCATAATAAAATCATTACATTTTAATTGGAAAGAATATCTCTGTGCCAAACATCCGGCTGATAATGAAGGCGTTATTCGTTTTCTAATTGGTGAACGCCAATTTCGAACGGAATGTGCGAAGTTCCAATTAGAGTGAGCGAGTTGAGAACTCCTGTCAAAGCAACTCCTCTTTTTTTCACTATTTCGAAAACGAATATTAATGTTGATCCAGTTTTTGTCGCTCCACTTGTTATTCAGCCACTCATTGAATCGGAATTTTATTGTGCTTTTCGCTTCTGCTTCTTTTTTTTTTCGAAATATTCATATCTCGTGAATCCGCGCAATTTCAAAGGGTTTTTGAGAAACTTCACTTTCCAGTGTGAGAGACGGATAATTAGTTTCATATGAAAATATTGGCAGTCTTCGTCATTTTCAGTCCTGTGATTTGTTTCTCATCTCAAAAGCTGTTATTCATAGAACACATTCGTTTTATGAGTGTTTAATCATACCCTTCACTGGGATAGAACGGCCGCCGTTCGCCTCGAGCAAATCCGCCAAAGAGGAACCAAAAATAAAGGACTTAATTAAAAATCCAGTGCCGCGCAGCGTGCCGAAAAAAAAACGCCTCAGGGTGAAAACCGTGGAAAAAAGGTCCATTTTTGTTCACGGAGATTAACCGAAAAGTTGGTGTGCCCTCAGGGCGTTTTTTTTTTCCTCGCGACGTCGTCTTCATTTTCTCGCTACATTTTTGCTCACACACCCTTCGTATAACCAAATTAGGCGCCCAAAAAGGAGGAGGACGGCGTCGAAGCGGCAAATCTCTGCTGGTTCGGATGCGAATTAGCACGTGTGTCTGGACCGTCGTCCTGCTTCTCGTCCTAGCAAGTCATTCCTTCGCTGTACCGTACGTTCTCACTCTTCGCGCTCATCGGTAAAATCCCGGCTTCTTCGGACTTCAAAATATCAATATTTATAGCTCGTAAATGGTTTTGGAACCCAAAGATCTTTTAGATAAATAAAGGATGATGAGAAAATGGGGATGATATTCTGTTCTTAAACTTATCTACGATAGCGCTTCATCAAATTCCCAACTTCGAATTATTTTGTCTGAGCTTTGGTTTTCATTTTTTTAAATAATTTTTATTATAAACATGGGCATATTAGAAAAATAATGTTTCGTCAAAAGTTTGATTTAAAACTTTTCAGAAATGAACCGCCAAAAGAAGATGAAGAGGAAGATTCGTCGGTGATCGAAAAGGAAGAATGGTCGACGACCGGAAGCACCGTCGAGTCCATCTCCAGGATTAAGTCTGAGGTCCTTCTTGTCCAGTCGAGCGTTTGAACTTCTTTTTTTAATAATTATTTTTCAATTAATGAAAATCTTATAATGTTGTCTAAAGGAAGCTCTAAACCCAGAAACTAATTAGGAGGATTGTATTAGTTAAGCTTCAGCCCCACGTTCCGATCGAACATCCGCAAACTTCGGACACGGAGATTCTGGAGCGCCTCCTCAGTACTGGCTACGACTGGAGAGTACGGCCGCCTGGACAAGATGGTTTATCTTTTGTTTTCGAAGAAAGGGGGCAATGGCTGAACGGGAAATATTGCGATGTACAGCTCGGTAACTCTGGATTTTCATCCGTTCCTTTGCTTTCAGTTTATGAAGGCTACTTTATTGATTCAATCAATCTAGATCTGTATCATTAACTTCATGTCCACAGCTCGATTTCTCGAATTTTCTGTACAGAAGTTCATCTCCAATATTAAAATATACTCCTCAAAGTGAAAAATGGTTTTACTTATGATCTAAACTGTGAGTTCTCTGAGGCTTCGAATGAAACTGCAAGAGTGAGGAAATCCTTTCTAGCAGAAGGAAGTTTTTTTTTCAAATATCTCAAGCCTAGAAATTCATCCAATTCTTTTTGTCTTTATTTTTTCTCCACTCCTTTGTCCTAAATCAAGCTCACCATTTTTTCATCAACCTATTTCAGTTCACTGAACTTTTTTAAACTTGGAAAGAAATATGAAACGATGTCGAGAATTTTCTAAGATTTTTGTTTTTATTCATAAATGGGCAGACCATTTTTGCGGCCGTCGACCCCTTCTTCCAAGTGGTCCCAAATTATAGTTGACACTATCTCCCTGAAGCTGAAACTTGTACTATTGTTGCCGAAAGTACCTCCCGAAGGTTGAAAATTGAGTTTTGTACTGGCCCATCTAGTGTTTTATTGGAATTTTTTTCTAACTATAGCTACTAGATTTAATAATTTTAGGTACAATCAATGGAGGCCCAGTTGTCGTTTCTGTTAATATGCTTGTCAGGAGGTCTGTTCCTTCTTCTTTCACGTAAAACCCCATTTTCAGTATTTCCAAAATTGACAACGTTAACATGGAGTACAGCGTTCAGTTGACTTTCCGTGAAAGTTGGATTGATTCGAGGCTCAGGTAGTTTTCCTGAGTGAGAAACAAGTTAGGCTTGAATTTCAGTTACGGAGTGAAAGGAGATGCGTTTCCAGATTTCCTCATTTTGACAGCCGGCCAGCAAATTTGGATGCCTGACTCATTTTTCCAGGTTCTTTCATTCTGTGGAAATAAGCGAAGAGATGTTTCAGAACGAGAAACAGGCTTATCGGCACATGATCGACAAGCCGAACGTTTTGATTCGGGTTCATAAGGTTGAAAGTCCTGTTTTCCCGGAAAAATAAGAAAATTGTTCAGGATGGGACAATTCTTTATTCTGTTCGCATTTCTCTGGTTCTTTCATGCCCTATGCATCTCCAGGTAACTTGTTTCAATCAATCAATCAAAATGTTTTATTTCTCACACACAAGTACTAAATTTCACGAAATAGATGTAGGGAGAGTTTGGGAAAGAAAAAGAATCTAGCGCTTAAACGAATGAAAGTTAGAAATAGCGAACACAAAAAAAATGTTGATTTTTTCCTGAGAAAAATTGAATGTGAGTTTGACACATCACAATAAAGTTTTTTTCATTAGAATCTGGAAAATTCATTGACCGCTCTTTTCCTATACCATTAGAGAAAAGGTTTGAGAGATTTATTCCTCCTAGAGTCAGTCATGCAAATATTTCTTTGAGCAGTTTTCTTGACTGCGTGTATTTCACTTCATATTGAAAAAATCAATGTTTCTAAAAATACACTTTTTAAAAATCTTCTTTTTAGCTTTAAAACCCCTTTTCGTATATTTTCACCTCCTCCAAATCACGTTGTTATTTCGAGTCCACCACCTCACCACAAATTGTGCTTTTTTTGGGTTAATCCAGAACCAGAGTACGAAGAAAGTAACGAAATTACTTAAGTACTACCCGATGGATGTGCAGAAATGTCTGATCGACTTGGCGTCCTATGCCTATACCACCAACGACATTGGTAGCATCTTTAGAACTTTATTTCGATAACAAAAATATGCTCAGAATACGTTTGGAAGAAGGAAGAGCCGGTGCAACTGAAGGCGGGTCTCGGCTCCTCTTTGCCTTCTTTCCAGCTTACCAACGTCAACACCACCTACTGCACCAGCAAGACCAACACGGGTACTTATTCTTGCCTCAGAACGGTCCTTCATCTTCGTCGGCAGTTCAGGTTCGTTCTAGACATAAGATGAGAAAAAGAAAGTGGTACGAAAAGATCGCGTTTTTTTTTTTCAAATCAAGCACGTCTTTTGAAAGGGCAAAAAACTGCGAAAGTTATACAGTTTCGTAGATCTTCATCGCAATCAAGGAGGAAAATTGTAGTTTCAAAGTTCGGTCCATTTCTCATCAAACGAGTCTAGAGAGCAAAATGATTTTTTTAAAAAATGAATTTGTTTTTTTAAGTTACCGAGAGAACGGAATGAAAAAAAGATGAAACAAATAACTGCAACCGACAGATTTTTTTCAAATTTGACAGGTTCCAAAAAAAAATTTCGATTTGATCTGTGAAACGTGAGTCATAAATATAAAATTCTTCCAGTTGAACTTGGAATCTTTGAAGAAATAATCATCCTTATTAGAGTGAAAATATTCTTCACCTTACTTCCATCTAGAAAACGTACTTTCATTATACTCAGAGGCGATTTTTAAAAAAAAATTTTCCTTAGTTTTCAGTCGAAAATTATTTCAGTTACTACTTGCTCCAACTCTACATTCCCTCTTTCATGCTGGTCATCGTTTCTTGGGTCTCTTTCTGGATCGACCGGGTGAGATTCACGTCGAAAGATTATCTATTTTCTGATATCAGGCAGCAGTGCCAGCTCGAGTGACACTCGGAGTGACCACACTTCTCACTATGACCACTCAGGTTATCATCCCTTTCAAATTCAATCAATGCAACTTGAAATACTCCAGTCCTCCGGCATCAATGCGAAATTGCCGCCTGTCGCTTATATCAAAGCGATCGACGTTTGGGTCGGAGGTGAAACTTTTATAAATCAGAAAAAAAAAATAACGAAAGTTTTCCAGCTTGTATGACTTTCATCTTTTGCGCTCTGTTGGAATTTGCGTGGGTAACGTATATTGCCAACAAAATGGATCAGAAGCGAAGTTTGTGCATTAGTGAGCAAAATGAAATTCAGATGAGAATATCTAGAAAATCGCCAAGAGCGGGAGAAGAAGGAAGCCCCCTTGTTAAACAATTCAAGGAATGAGGTAACACTAGAAAAGGAGATAATTATCAATAAAGTTCTATTTTCCAGATCTGGGTACCTAGAGAAGTTGCTGAACAGGAAAGAGAAGTAAGGACCGTTCTTCTCAATCGGCGACAGCAAAACGGATTTTGGAGGCTAAACAACGATTTTGAAGGAATTTCTTATTTTTGAAACTTCAGATGGATTGAAAAGAAAACGGAGTGGCATGATAAAGCGAAGAGAGCAGATCTTGTATCTAGTGAGTGGAAGTATCAGATAAATCAGGTTATAATTCTCAAATTGCAGGAGTTTTATTTCCGGCGCTTTTCTTTTCGTTCAACTTGCTCTACTGGACGCACTACAAACAAACTGAAACGAGTGACTCATGATTGTTCCCTTTTTGGTTCTTGGGAATCTGAGAGCTTATATCTTCTTGCTCAATTTATTGCGGTGCTGATGTACTTATTGCTCATTTCCTTCTCCGAAAAAACAAACTCATCGAGAACAAAACAAATCCCTAGAAAGCAAATAAAATCCCACAAATACTGGTCCTCACTTTCAATATTGAAATATAAATCTTTTGATAAAAATGTGTTCATTTAGCCATCGTAAATGAATTTTCAACCTAAACAACCATTTGGAAAAAAATTCATTCGACCTCGCTTTGTTAAAATTGTGAACTTAAATACGGAGCAGTGTAACAACGGAAGGAGGAGATCTCGACATACAATATAGGAATAACAGTGCTTGACATTTGATATAAAATTGAAACAACTGCATAAAAGTGAAGGGAATCGAAAACTAGTCTTTTATTGCTTCGTTTTGGCTTCGGTTAGCTCTCTGCGACAGGAATCTGACAAAAGTTGTGTGTCAACTTGATCTGAGGGAAGTTGAACGTATCTGAAATATGAAAATTGAACTCATTAGAAATTTGAGCAAAAAATTTATGAGGAAAAGCTTCTGGATGTTTATTTCATCAAAACTAGTGAAACTCTCCCAGCTAGGAAACTAATGTGATTTTCCTGGTTTGTCAAACAATCAGGATTCGTAGTAACTCAAACTAAAATTCCTTCAAGTTCACGGTAACTTATTTTCGAAATCATTCAAATGAAATAATTTTTAAAAATAGTCCCTTGCCGTTTTTTTTTATTTCTAATTTGATTTCGCGCCAAAATCTTTTCTTCTGCTTTTTTTTTTGAAAGCTTACAAAAAATGAAGAGCAATGGAAAAAAAAAGAAACCTTTGCCGTGTTCAAAGTGATCCCGGAAAATTCAAAGTAACCGTCAGAGAGTGAAGAAGATAACTACATTTTGGAGAGTCGAAGATAATTTAAGGTTTCCCGGAAATTACTTCAAACACTATTTGCAATACTGAGCTATTTGAATGAACAATAATTTTTGAAAATTCAGAAATTTTTTTCCTTAAAGTAACATAAAAATTGGGTTTTTCTAAGATAACATATATATTCAATAGAACTTTCATTTCTCAAACTCACACTAAATTTTACGGAATAAATGTAGGAAAATATGTGCAGTTCTCAGATTTTTTTTTCCTATTTCCGCGAAATTCTGATTTAAAAAAGGCTTTAATTAACTTGGCATACGTTTTCTTCAACGAGGTTCCTGTTTCAAACCAAATATTTAAAAACCTATTAATAATTAGTTTTGAACAAAGTTTCAAACAAATGATTAGATAAACGTACCGAACAACTGAGCCTCTAATGAAGCAATTTTTGACGGAGAGCATGTGAGGAAAGCGATCCGGATCAGAAACAGTGATGTCGGAGAGTTTCATATTCAAATATTGATCCACAGAGTGCAGAGTTCCGCAAATACTGAAAGTTTTTTTCAAACTCAAGAAGGTTAATGTTATCCAAATACAATAATGGCCCCAAAAAATGACTAAAACTCACCTCAAATCATTTTTCAGCTCAACGACGACGTCTTTTCCTACAAGCGACTTGAAGAACGAGAAAAAAAGCTGAAAGTGTATTTTAAACGTCACAAATCATGGAAATACCAACCATATTTGAAGATCCTGGAGTGAACTGAAAATCGTCGGAGACCTGAAAACAACATTTCTTCGTCGAATACCATGAAAAAATAATAATAAATGGAAAGACACCCAAAAACAATACAATTCTTAACAGGAAACCTGCAGAAAAAACTTCGAAAAAAGCAGAAAGAGCTGAGTCACTTTTTAATCTTCTAAGAAAGCTGACTTTTTAAAAATATGGGACCAAGAAAAACCAAAATTTAAACAAATTTAAATTCAAAATGGACCAAATGGAATAGTGAGAAAAAAAAAAGCGAGGCTGAAAACGACAATCTGCGCTCCGGCATACTGAGTAAATTGGAGCATCGTTGGAGCCGTTTGAGAACAGGTTTTACGGAGAGCGATGACCAGCCGAGACGTCCAGTTTTGACCAAGCTTTTCGTTCTTATTTGCTTGAATTTTATCGTTAGTTTGCCTGAAACCACTTCTCAGCAAGTTTTTGAATTAAGTTTTAAAGTTTCAAACATGCTCAAACGCATCAAAGCACAAGTTTCGCAGGTGGCCAATGAGGTGGGGTTTAAAAATAGAACTTATATTTTTTTATTTTTACTTTGCAGCTGCCTGGTGTGCTGAATGCTGGGAATTCAAGAGGCTCTAGGGAGAATGGTTTCTCACCAAATGTGGACCATGATGAAGAAATAGAAGGTAACTTTTCCAAATATTGTTTAAAGATTTCCATCCATTTTAGGAATGATCTGTCCAATGTGTATGACGCATTTTCCCACTCCCGAGCAGCTTTCGAGTCATTTTGAAAGCGCTCACGCCGAGGTGAAGAAGATCTTTCTTTTGAATATATTATATTCCACACTGCAGAACGGGGCAGGTGTCGCCAATCCAAACTTCAGTCCCGATTCCAATTCTTCTTCGCAAAGTTTTTAATTTTTCATTAAATACTTTATGAGATTTTTTTTCAGCTCACAGCTTTGCGACGAAAGAGCAAGAAATCGAAGAGCTTAGAATGCAGTTGAAGGAAGAAAAAAGATTCGCAGAAAGGATAAAGGTAGTGAAGATTTTCGTTTCCGAAACAATGTTTGTTTAGGAAGAACTGCACAACATCCAGTCGATGATAGCGATGGCGTCAGATGTGCCAGAGGGCGAAGTTCCTTATTTGGTTCAGCAAATTCAAGTCCTCACCGCCGACAAAGGCCTTTGTGAGAATTCGTTCACCATTTGAAGGCGACCATTGGACTTTTCAGTGACAAGGCAGTTTTTGGAGCTGGAAAAGGACAGCGGACAGCAGAAGAGACAGTTCGAACAGGTCCAAGCCGAAAGGAGCGACTTGATGAGCAAATTGAAACAAATGAGTGGTCAGCTGCGTGAAATCGCCGACGAGTCAGAAGCCGTTAAGGTCTCTTTTATTTATTTATTTATTTTGTGAATCATCCTCGTTTTTTACAGTTGATGCGTCGATTCTGAATAAGATTTCCTGCGAGTAATGGCAAAGTTTAAAGCTGAAAAAATCTGCGCGAACTTGTCTCATTAGAAATGTAGGAAAAACTACAGTACGTTTATGCGCCTTTTGCTTCAATGCCTTCGATTGAAGATGTACGTCATTTTAGGCAGAAAAAAGTGTTAAGGTTGTGTGGAATAGGCTATAACAGTTTTCTGTTGAAAAATTGTATTTGATTTTAATTTTTTCAAACATCTTCCAGCTGTTTTCTCTTATTGTTTATTCAAAAAGTCTTGTTGAAATTCAGTTTTAAAATGACATTGACAAGCTATTTGCTCCATTTTCCCTAAAAAATCCTATCAGGAATTCATTTTACAACTCGTAAAAATAATTGCGTTATCGACAGAATACAAATAATGCTTTCAGAAAAGGTTATACCAAGCAGAAAAGTGTAAGAAAGGTGCTTTCAAAAGATTCTCCATAGAATAATTTCAGATCGAAAAGGAGAAGCTTTCGAGAGACTTGAAAACCGCACACACCGAGGTGACGCGGCTGGAAAAGATGCTCGATACAAGGTACGTTTTCCGGTTTCCGAAGCTCAGTGTTCGTTTTCCAGGCCATCTGAAGACGACGTCAACGTTTTGCGAACAGAACTCGTCAACGCCCAGAAGTTGATGGACGAGATCGCTCAGCACAAAGATGTCGAGAACCAGGAACAGCTCAACTCCATCCGACATCTCAGTTTGGAGAGGGAAAAGTTCATTCCGATCCTTTTTCATTGTGTCACGTTTCTGTTTCAGACAGCACATGATCATTGAGAACCTCAACAAGAAGCTCTCCGAAAGCGATGCTGGCGCCAAGGGGTCCTTTTTGTGTTTTCTAGAAGACTCAGCTAGGGAAATTGATATGATATCAAGTGTTTTTGAAGTAGTTTTTCTGAAACTGTTATATCATAATGATTATTGAAAAAAAGATAAAATGAATGAATTTCCTTTTTTTGGCTAGATTAAAAGACAACTTTGAATGAGAGAATATAGAAAAGTCCGCAGATCAACTAAAAAAATTTTAAAAAAATGTAGTATAGCTGATTTCAAAAAAATAAAAACCAGAAACTTTTTTAAATTTTTTAGCGGCAAAAGCTTATCTTATGTCACAGGAACTTTGGATTTCAGATCAGAAGAAGGAATCGCCCAGTTGACCATTCAACTGTCGGATCTGCAACAAAAGCTTGCGGAGTCCGAAAAGCAGAAAGATGATTCCGCTGCAGAATTGAAGAAAAAAACAGAAAGGCTTATCGAACTTCAGGATCGGTTTGAATTTTCATCATTTTGTTCATCATTTTCATCTTTCAGAATCAATGAAAATGTTGCTGATTTGGCGTCGTGTCGCGAGAAAATTAGCGTTTTGGAAGAGAAGGTAAGTTTTCTATTTTGTACATTTCATTGTACACGGGTTTATTCATAATTTTTTTTTATGAGTATTCCTAACAACTAGACTGATTTTCACTTATGCGTGAAGTTTTATTTTCAGAAAAATATGAATTCTTTGTATAATACAGTTTTGCAATTAACTTCAAGACGCTTTTCAAAAAGTAGAATGTTTTTATGCGGAGCTCGACTTTCACAGTTAATAGATTTGTATTGTTTTGGTAACCTTTGTATTTTGTTTTTATGATGTTTTCTTGTTTGTGATATTAAAAAGCTCAATTTGAAACGTTCTTATGGGTAAGCTTTTAGAACAACTTTGTCGGATGAAATTGTGATTGGGTCCTTTGATTTCCGTCATTTTCTAGGTCAAGCAGAGCCAATCGGCCATTGAAGAGTCGACGTCCCTCAACGATTCAAACAACGGAAAATTAGCCCAATTGCAAGAAAAACTTGACCAGGTTGAACGATTTTTTCATTTTGGAGCACCTTGTCTATTTCATGAGTGGTTCAAGTAAGAATGCAAGTTTCAAATAATCGATAAAAGTAATCTCTAATTTTGGCGCAGTGATAGTGTTTCGTAGTCGAAAAAAATGCCCAAACGTTTATTTTCATAATTTTTCATTTTCCAGGATCAATATTTCGAAAAAAGATCTATTTGCGATTTTTTTTTCCCAAAATCAGTGCTTCAAAAACTTTTTTGGAAATCAAATCTCCATACTTTAGCGTGAGAAAGGCCTGTTTTGAAGATACTTTTTGCAAAGTCACGGTTTACGGGGAGTCTGTTTTGTTTTGCTTCGTTCCGTGTAAACAAAGGTCGGCCGCCAAATTAAATATTCCATTCGACCTTCCTACGGGATTTATTCCAGTTCTCTTTTTTGTTTCTTCAATTCCGATGGAAAAAAGCGTACTAATTCTAAATGAAATTTTCATAATAAATGTGACATTTTCTCAAAACTTGATCGGCGAAAAAATTAGAATATCCAGCTTCGAAGGACGAGACTGAAAAAGTGAGAAATTGTTGTGAAAAATTCAAGTTAAAGAAAGAAGAAGTTTTTTTCTCAGAGAAAAAAATAATTATATCTCTGTTTTTCGCTTTATTTTTCCATTCCAGCTTGTTTACAGCTGATTTTTTTGTGATTTTCCTAAAGAAAAAAATAGTTCAAATACTTTTTTTCCAAACTTTTTTTAAAGCTTTATGCGTTCTTCGCAGCAAGAATTTTTGTTCAAACAGCCCGTCCGTCCTAAATTTTAGATTTTCTGTGAATCCTCACTGGTTGTTTTTCTTTCGTTTCCTTTATTGACTCTAATTTTAAAAATCTGACATTTATCACTAATGAAAATGAAAAAAATGGACGAAAAAAAGAATAACCAGGAGTTTTTTTCATTAGATCTCAACTTTTTGTAGCTGCGCTGAATCTTCATGAGATTTTCTCAAAAACTTGCAGTTGGTGGCCGAGAAACGTCGATACGAAGCGGACGTCTGTGGTTTCGAGGAAAAAGCCGTAGAGAATGCCGACAGCATTCGGAGTGTACCAATCGTTCCTAATTTCTCCATTAGATGTTTTTGTTTGCAGTTGGAATCAGCCAATCTCGATCTGACCAACGAACTCTCTTCCATTGGTTCTTTGCTGGAGCAGGAAAGGAAACTTTCTGCCGACAAGGTGTTTCAAAATTCTTTCTGGTTCAATCCGGATGTTCTTCAGAATGCCATAATAGGTAAAAAGGACGAGGAAATCAACCAATTGAAGGAGGAGGTAGCAGAAGCCCAAAAGTGGGGTCCAAGGAGCATTTCTGTTTGTATTTTTGAGGCTCAGGAAAGCGAATAAGTGGAGCAACGAGCTGAAGGAAAGGACGAATCTCGTGGAGAACCTCACGAAACAAGTTCAGACTCTTCAGGAGAACTCGAAGGAGCTCATGACAAAGGTTATATTATAAAACGAAATAAATTTTGTGAACTTCAGATCCAACTGAAGGTTCAAACCGTTAGGGTTCACATCTGTCGATCAAATATTTATCAACTAAAAAAAGTCTTTTTATTAAAATTGTTTAAAAAAATAGGTATTCCGATTACGTACCAGAGAATGGTGTGAAATTAATGTGAGATTTCTCAAGGAGACTGAAATCTTTTTGATAAATACTTTCATTCCAATTTTTCATCAACTTGAAGTTCGGCACTGGCGTATTTCAATAAGTTTTGAAAAGTGTTTTTGAAAAAAATTCAGCTTTTAATTCAGGCTCACGTTAGTTTTCGATGTTGATTTGTTGTAAAAAAAAAAAGTCGATGTTGTTTTTCAAATTTTTTTCCGAGCTTAGATTGCTTGTCCATAGTTTTTTCAATTATTCAAGAAATAGTTTTTTTCAAACTTGATAGCTCTCGGGTTTTTTATAGGGCTGCCCAACAACTTTTGATCGCATATTTGGAATAACGAGAAAACTGAAAAAACTATTTCTTGTTCTCAGGTTTTTCTCGAATTTGATGAATTACTCTTTGATTTTCTATTTTGATGAAATTTTCAGGTTTCTGAGGGCGAAGGTGGCGCCAAAATGGCAATCGATCATCTGAATGAGGAGAAGTTGACGTTGCAGAAAAACATGGAGAGTTTGAAGGAAGATACCAGAAAGGAGGTTGATTCAAAAGTCTGTAAAACGAACTGTTTGAATTCAGAAAGAAGATTTGGAATTGACGATCGGAACATTGGAGAAAAAGATCCGTGAACTTGAAGCGACCTCTTCGGAAATGGAGAAAAAGGCGCGAGAAGACCGGGAAGAAGCCGCGAGAAGGATCCGCGAGGCCGACGACGAGATCAGCCGAAAAGTAACTTTTGTTGATTTCTTCTTGGGAATAGCAGTTGGAAAAATATTAGAAAAGTATATTAAAAAAATATTTGAAAAAAATGTCATAGCTTCCAAAAAAAAAGCTCCGTCAGGTCCTAAAGATAGATTTGAAACTCCGCGGAGAGGATATAGTTCTGTAGAAAAATCTCAGTTGTTTTTTTTTTCAAAAACTAGAAGGGGCTGTAAAATAATGAACGGTCTCATTGAAGTTTGAGGAAAATACTTAAGGTTGAAAGATTCGTTGATATGGAGAAAGAAGCCGAGGAAGAGCGTCAAAAGGCGACCGAAAGAATGTTGAAAATGAAGGAAATCATCGCTCAGAGGGACAAGGGCGCCGAACAAATGCGGAAGCAAATCGAAGAAGTTCCAATCATTCTCAGATTTCTCGACAAACCGTACGGTTTGCAGTTGACGGCGGCTCTGAACGAGAAGGACCGCCACGTGAAAGAGCGAGACCGACATCTAGATGAAAGTCGCCACAAGATCGAGGACGCCGTCAAGAAGCTGGAGGAAGCCGAACTCCGGGCCCGACAGCTGGTTTTCCTGCTCCTTCCCTCAGAGTCAAGAAGGAAACATGCAGGAATCGGAAGTCACGGCGTTGAAAGGCGAGAAGACGGCCAAGGACGGCGAAACTTCCCAACTCCACGACAAACTCCTCGAGTCCGAGGGCTTCATCGAACAGCTCAAAGTTCAAGTCGAAAAGGTTCATCTACTTACTTTTTGAGAAATGATTCTGATCTCACGTTTTGTATTTTCCATTTACGCTTTGCAAAGTCTCTAATAGAAATAACAATGATCCAGTCACAGTCGTGGGAAGTGAGGTTTGAAATCTTACTAAAATGAGGAAATTGATTCATTTTCCATGCAACCAATGTGTTGCGGCGAGTCGACTACACTTTTTTTCAATATTTTGCTCTCGAAATTCCGAATTTGAGTCTGAAGAAAACTTTGAAAAATGCAATAACTTAGTTTAAAAATATTAATTTTCTTCAATTTCTTAACTTTATTTTTTTCCAGCCTTAGATTGAAACTGAAAAACGATAATTGAAAAACAATTTTGAAGCTTCAAAGTTTGAGTGAATACGAAGTATTGAACAACTAAAATTTACAAAGTTCAGAAAAAGAAACAATATTTTTTTCGGAAAAAGTGTGAGATGCAACACGAGACATCAAAGTAAATCACAGTTCTTTTTCAATTATCAATTTTCCGAAATATTCAAGAAAGAAAATTCGTGTTTTGTCCCAGTCACTCGGTGGAGGTTTCTTCCTTTCTTGTATAACATATTTTCGCTTCACTAACTTTTTTGGCCCTTTGGTGTTTTTTCGCGTTGAATTATCTTGCTTTTTAGTACGTTATTCAGATCTCCGGCGAACTCAAGGAAAAACAGGCAGAATTGGACGCTTTGCTGACCGAAACCAAGGAGCAAGAGCTGCATTGGAAGGTTTTTCGGGTCGTTTTATTTTCCATAAAAGTCTTTTCAAGACCAAAAAAGAAGAATTCGAGAGACAATTGGAACAGAATCAAGAGGCCAACGAAGAAACTGCCGGAGTTTTGAAAGCCGTTCAGAATGAACTGGCCAAGGAGAAAGAGGCGCTCTCGGTCGCGAATGTCCGTCTTTTCTTGATTATACATATAGATTCTCCGAAATTGCAGAAGAAAATCAATGAGATGATGACTGCAAATGAAGAACTCACTGAGAAAGCGATGAACTTGGAAAGTCGCCTGAATGTCGAGGAAAAGACGAAAAACGAAGCGCGCCAGGAGTTGGAGGCTGCAGTTGGTTTTCGTGATAAAACCATTTCTTGCCCTTTGATTTGAGATAAATCAATGTTTATCTTTTGAATCATAGGTGAAACGATAGAAGATGCAAAAAAAAGGGAAACTCGAAAAAAGCTGAAGACATTTTAACGAAAGTCTAGAACAATGACACAAGTTTTTGGAAAAAAAAAAATAGAAAAAAGGGACAATTCCTTTCAAGCTTTCGCAGACTTTCTTGAGAAAATCTTTCTTTTTGGGTGAAAAATTTGAACCCTTGATAACTTTGCTTTCCAGGAAACCGAGAAGGATCAACTCCAAAAGCAATACGAGATCTTGCAGTCACAACTCGCCGAGTCTAACGCCAAAGTCGATGTTTGCTCAGACTTTCGATCCAATAAATGATAAATCTTCGCAGGAAACAGAAACCAAGTCGGCAGAGAAGTTGGCCAAGGCTTCCGATGAGTTGGCCGCTCTTCAGGCCGAGAGAGAAGACCTGGAAGACCAGAAAAAGGAAAATTCTTCGAAGATTGAAGCGTTGGAGCAAAGGTTGCACAATAATGAGCAGGTTTTGATTGAATTTCGATTCATTGGATAAGATTCTTAGGAAATTTTGTCATTGAACGAGGCCAACCGAATTCTTCTCGTCGAAGCGGAACAAAGGACGGCGGAAATCGATGTTTTCAACTCGAGAATTGTAAGAAATGAGCTGATTGCGCCTAATTTTAGTATTGAATTTCTCAGAAACACTTTGAAGACGAGTTGGCGGCTCAGAAACGGAGCATCGAGGCTTTGGAAACGGAAAAAGCTGAGATAATTGCTCAGAAGGAACACATTTCTTCGGAATTGCAATGTCAGAAGCTGGTTTCGATCCTGAAAAGTTTTAGTGTTGATGGTACTTTTTTCAGCAAACTGGATCACGAGAAGCTTCTTTCACGAAGGAACTTGAACGGCTTCAATCTGATAATCATGATAAGGCGATTCTTATCGACAAGGTCATCGAAACCGTTTTTCTAAGTGAAAAATGCAGACATTTCTGTGAAGAGAAATGCTTATAGTTCTGAAAACGCAAAAAAAAAGTCCTTGTCTTCATGAAAATGTTAAATTTCCAGTTGAAAGAGAAGCAAGTTCAATTCGAGAAGATGTTCACTGATGTTCAAGCCAACTTGAAAAATCAACTGAAGGAGAAGTCTGAAAGAATCGTGAGTCTCATCACCTGGAGGAATACATGAAAATTGCTGCAGGAACTGCTCCAAGAAGAAGTTTCGGTGGCGGAGGAAAGAGGAGTCGTCAGAGTCAACGAACTGGAAGCGGAGATGGAGAAACTGAAGCGACTCAGGGACTCGATGGAAGAGAACAGCAACTCGCAGAGAGTGAAGCTCGACGAGGCCAAGAAAGTCGTCGAGGAGTTCGCTCTGACGAATGCTGGTGGGTTTCGGCTCGAAAAGAAGAATGGACTCACAGGGGAGACCGTTCTACTTCGTAGCTTTCCTGTTTATTGGCCAGAATACTTCTTGATGTACCGGATGAAGACCCTGAACGTCTCGACCGTCTCAAAACGTCCCAGTTCTCGAGAAAAAAGTCTCAAATTTCGAGAAAATCATTAAAGTCCGTAATAATCCCTTTTTCTCTACTTGAAAATTCTTTTTTTTTCTGGGCCCTCCTCGTCTCTTGGAGACCCTCTCGTTTTGGCGTGCTGTTTTCATGTTTCTCTGACCTCGCCGGTGAGAGAACAGAGAGACGCAGACACTCGAAAAATGTCGAGACGGCCTATCGAAGAGTGTCAATACTTGATATTGGAGAAGTTCTGAAGGCTGTCCTTTTCAGGAGCTTCACCTGATGTATCATCACCTGACTTTCACCTGATGTATATCAAGATTGAATTCCGAAATATCTGAACCACGAAGTAAAAAAAACTTCGTCAGATCTGAAATTTTAAAAAATTAAATTTTAATTTAAGAATTAATTTTTCAGAGCTCCAGAAGCAAATCGAAGGCTGGCAGGAGGAGAAGAAGGTCCTCGTTGAAAGGTAGATTCAAGAAAAACTCGGGGACTCTATAGAAATGATCATGAATACTTTTCGGGGAAAAAATATTGTAAAAAATTGGATCAACGAGTCTTTTTTTTCTTTTTTGTAATCAAAAGACTTTTTCAGATGTCTCAATGGGGAAAGTGACTTGGACTTTGAACGCGAACGAGCTTTGGAGAACAAACGAAGATTCGACGAGGCTCTTTCGGCCATGCACGAACTCGGCAGGGCCAACCAGTCTTTGCAGGTGTCCTCTTCGACAAAAATCATTCAAACTGAGCAGTTTCAAGAGTGGACGACAGCGTCGAACTGTCAATACTTCTTTACATTCTCTTTCAGTTATTTTCTTTATAAAACTAGTGTTAGCACCAATTGGGGTGCTGAAGAATCAGATTTTATACTTCATGCATCTTAGTTCTTGTGTCACGTGCGGCTTGCCGTAGCGCAACAGGCTGTGAGTCTGTCCACGGTCTGAATAGTCATAAGTTCCATCCTTGCTGCGAGCCAACCAAGGGGCTTAAGAAATGTTGGTGGGAAACCACGACTTCCTAATCTCCTGTCGTCACACACAAAGACGAGTAAGTCAGTAGAGACAGTTCATTGATTATCACTGATATCAGGATCTTGTCTCGGCTTGAGACGTCGCTCAAGCAGTACAAAGGCGTAACGAAAAGTAGAAGTTCTTGCGTAAAATCTCAGTTCTTGACTTGTCAATGATTGCTTTTTCTTGAGAATGAAATAAAGTATCATAAAGTCTGTATTGTAGATGGACATGGACCGCCAAACATCGCGGAAATGGCTCGACGATTCGGCGGCCGTCAATTGCACCGACTGCGGCAAAACGTTCACTTTGACTGTTAGGTTTGTGCCGCTTTTTCTATTTCTCAGAACAACTTTTTTTAAAAGCCACAAGGTTAAAAAAATTGATCAAAAAAACGGATAAAGGTTGAAATCCCAAATCTAAAAAAATATACAAATTTTTTTCCAACCTAAATTTCAATCCCATGAAGCACTATTTTGTTCCTTATAGGGCTCTTTTTTTCTCTAACTCTTCTAGGGTTTACTTGGAGGTTCCTAAGTTACAATTGGAAGCAGAAAAAAAAATCATAGGAAATTTTATCTTTATACTTTTTTTGGACCTTCCAACTCGAGTATCTTCGAAAATTAAACGACTAGACTCATATTTCACTGGTCATATCTATCACGACGCTCTCTAATTATTTTCGAAACTAATGAAGTTTCTAGATTTTTCATGATACCTAGCTTGAGTCCAACCAGAAGTCAAAAAAGGGAAGTTTGCTTTATGAAAAATTCAAAGTTTAGTGTTTTTTTAAAGTTTCTCGTTTCTGCTTTCTTTACCTGTTTTCGTTCAACTCATCTCTTTTTTTCCACTTGATAATTTGCAGAAAGCATCATTGTCGCGTCTGCGGTTTGATTTACTGCGGCGCGTGCAGTTCGAAAACCACGAGGTGAGTCTTTTGCTGTACTCTGCCAACAAAACGAATGTTCTCTGCAGAATACCCAGCGCGAAGAACCCCGTGAGAGCGTGTAATAATTGCTACACCGAAGTGCAGAATCGATGATAGTTTTTTTGTACATTGTTCTTCTGATTGTTCTCTATCGCGTGCAACATTTCGAAGATCTGCGAGATTTTGTCCATAGTCATAATTTAATTTTGTTTGTTTGTAAATCTTGACATTTTACTAGTCTCTTCACTATCCTCACCTTAATACTTACCTTTAAATTTTTACCTCCTTTCCCTCCATTCGAAACGAAAAAAAACAGCCGATCGGTGCTCGAATTACTCATTGCCATATATCTATTTTTCAAGTTAGACAAGATGTTTATTGTGATATTTTGTATGCGGAGATGTTGCGTTTAATACTTTAGTGATCGTTTTACTGTGTTATAAATTTACGTTATTGAAAAATATTTTTAATAAAAAAAAATAAATTATTTTTTCGCTTTTTTTTTCTTTTGGCTTATGTTGCCCTATCTACTTTGAACTTATTCTCCTTGGAAAATGAAATCTAAAGGTGGATCCGTTTGGGCATCTTTCTTCGTAAGTATTTCTATTTTTTTAACTTTTCTTTCCATCTTATTTTTCTGCAGTACACCCCAAAGTGTTGAGAACCCAATTATCGAAAACTGAAACCTCAAAGAATTTCTAGCTTCTTTATAGACAAGATTCAAACTTAGGAGTGTAACCAGATGTTCCGCATTTCTTTCTTTCCACACAAAAGAACAAAATCGGTCATCCTTTGCCCCTGCTCTTCCATGTCTTTGTTTAGAAGAAAGTTCTAGTATGAAACTTGCCGGCTTTTGTGAGTATCGCAGGTTTCGAACAAAGACTTCAGAATTTCGGCTCTCTTTATTCTTCTTGCGATTGGAAACTTCGAAGGAGACTGACAAGCAAAGCTCGGAAGAAACGAAAATGAGGCCTTTTTCATTCTTTCTCATCGCAAAGGTCCTTTTCAAAGAATAGGTTTTTAGAAAATAAAATCTTAAAACACAATAAAAGGTTTTACTTTTGACCGAATGGCTTGTGGCTTCTAAGATACTTTTTGCGCCTTTTAAGTAGCCTAAAAATGAAAAAAAAATTTTCAAGGTCCTGGCAAAATCATTCGGATATTGCATATGCAGGGAGGAGGTTCTTAAAAACCAGGCAGGTTCGAAGGCGAGGACGTATCAAACGTTCTCACTCTTTTTTTTCTTCAAATCAACTCACTTTTCCGAGAATGTGCTCTTCATTCTAATTTTTCAAACCTTCGTTCCTAAGAAGTTTTCATAAAGTGAGTATTTCTTACAGACCTTCAATTTTTCTGGCTTTTTTCCTGGCCAGTTGTGATCCAAACACGTTGAAATATAAGACCAGTATCTTTTTGTTTAGTTTGGCGCCGAGGTCAAACTTCAAAGGCCCGGCGGCTCGTTTGAGAATGACCCATCTGGCGCCGCAAAGGCATACAATTATAAACTGAACAGGAATTTTTGGGAGCAAATGAATAAATAATGAGACTTTATGGACTTATGCTGAGAAACTTCATTCGAGCCAACGGTACATCCTTGTTCTATTAAAGCTAAAAGAAAAATGGGCATCACACATAATTCATAATTTTGAGTGAACTGGAAATGCTTTTCAAGTGGAATGCGATTACAGTTTCCTTTATTTTAAGGAAATAAAAAGGATTAGGTGTAACACTGCTAAATCTTCTGTGAAATGTGCGCCTACCCGTTGAAAATCTTTTTTTTAATTTTCTTAAAACCGAGCATACCTGAGACCATGTGCAATAAAGTTGAAAAGTTTTCTCCCTTTAGAGCAAAAAAGGCTTTGAATAGCTATTAATTGATTGGGCAAATTCGGAATGGTGGATAATGACCGCTAAAAGAGAGAGGCTCAAAAAAGGCCACAGGAAGGCAGCAAAAAGGCAGCAAAGAGAGTCCCTTTATCGAGCCTTTCATTTTTCCTGGGACTTTGAAGGCTCAAGAAATAGTGGAAGAAGGGAGAGGCAGCAAAAATTGTGCATAAGTGCCGTAAAATGGCGCAACAAGGCAGCAAAAAAAGGAGCTTTCTTCACCCTAAAAGGAATATCTATGGAGCCTTCTAGCAGCCTTTATGGACCCTCAGAGGATCCTTCGGACACAATAAAATATGGTTTTCTAAAAAGGTTCTGATAGGAGAGTACCTAGTCTGTAAAAAAACAAATAAGGGTCATTTTTTATTTTCAGGAAAAACCCTTTCCCACTTTATTGCATACGGCTTCAGGCTTAACCCTAATTTACGGCCACGGGCACAACTTCAACTTCGTTTTTGATTCTCACTCGAAAAAGCTTTTTGAAAACTCAAAAAAGTTATATTTCATTTTTCTGTCTCCTTTTTCTGTCTCCTGTTGAATTCTCTCGACAAGTTTCGATCCACGCTTTATGGTTTCACATGTTTTTTTTGAGTGGCTCCGCCATAAATGAAATATTGTCTCGTTGCTTTTCTGAAGAGTGGATGGACGTAGGTTTGGAATCGATCTGTAGGTGTATAATTCATTCTGAGGCAGCTTTTCCCTAATTCCGAGCTTTCAAAGCTTCTGAAAACGTCGAAAAAAAAACATTTCTCATTTGCATTAGGCAGAGACAGATTAGCAGAATTAGGAATATGGCTCGTAGACAGAAAAAAGAGAATGGAAAACTTTCAATATGCGAAATTCCGCTCAATTTGGTCTTTTGGGAGTAAATTTGATGAGATTCACGAAGCTTTAGCACCGATTTCACAGCGGCACGAACTTATGGCCCAGAAACCCAAGATTCCGAGCAAACCATGGAAACATAAAGACGCCTCATGAACCATAGGAAAAAAAACTCGTGGAACGGCCGATTTTGCAACGGCGCCATAAGAAACGCTTTTAATTGAGAAGAAATTATTGAGCCGATTGTAAACTGTTGGATTTTAGGTCTTTTTCTGAAACTGCATCATTTCCAATCTTTTTATAATTGTAATTTTTACTCAACAAGATTTTTTTCGTTCTAGTCTGTACTCAGACAAGTCTCGCATCTCCTTGTTTTAGCTCCCCATTCAGATACACTCACTCAAAAAATATGATCCTCGCTTGAGAAGTCGACGATTTTCTCTTTGATTCCCAAATGTTTTCAACTAGGAATGCATCAAAATTTTGCAATTTTTTCGTGTAATTCGCCTCCGAAAATATTTTTGTTATGTCAGACTGCCACGATTGTGAATTCTCCGATCGATTACCTGAATTCATGTGAGTTATGCGCAGTTTTTTTGCTCTTTGGATGATGCAGAAGTCATGAGACTATGACACGCTTTATAGTGATGAATCAGTTAACGAGAAATTACGTTGGAGAAGGAAATTTTCCGGATAATCGATTGCGCGGAAGGAGCTGGTTTCCCAGAAGAATGTAAATCAGATTGATTTTGTTTGTTCGGGAGACCTTCCAGGGCCGTGCCGAGCTTCTCACGATCCGGCATGGCCTTGCGAACGGTGCCAGTCGTCGGCCAGCACCCAGCCAAGTCTTTTTCCACGTTTTCCCATCTTTTGTACGAATTCGTGCCTTTCCACAGGGTTCATGTGTGAAAATTTCTCTTCGGTGCGCTGAGAAAACTGGAAAACTGAACATTATAGTTTTTCTTCTCTTGGAGTTGATGATAGGATTCCCGTGACTTTGATAAAAATCAACTTCTGAGACCGACAACGGAAAAAATTCAAATTGGTTAAGTTAAGGAAAACATCAAATAAACATCTTTGTCGAAAATTAGAATTTTTAATTCAGAGTTTTGATTCTGTATTCTCCTGTTGTAATATAGCATAGTTAAAAGGTTGAGTTTGATATGTATGAAAAAAGAATAATTAGTTCAAACAAAGAGAAAAGGCCGCCACAACGTGTTGGCGGGCTAATCTCACTCGAATCCACATTAAGATTAACAAATGCGGCGATCTCCTCGGATCATCCTCGCCCCACCGTCGATTCTTCTTTTTATGATTCTAATTCGAGCTTGATTCAAATAGTTTCTTCTAATAGAAATGAAACTTTCAAACCTACTGCATCACCAAGAAAAGTTCTTCATATTCTCTCATAGGAGGTCATCAATTTCTCTCGATTTCGTATTAATCTTGGCTTGACTTTCACAGAGCAACATCTTTTGAGGCTTTCTTTCCTTATTTGAAATTCGACTCTTGAGAGACCTTCTCCCACCTTCTTTAGAAGCACTATGTCGTTTCTCCGTTCTTCGCAAAACAAAAAAAAAGAAGATCTTTAGCAAATCTTTAGCAAGAGAACGAATTATTAAATTTGGCACTGAAATAAGGATAATTTTGCCACAGAAATTCTAACTGATAAACGTTATTCAGGTCGATAGTTCATCCAAAAACGTGTCTCAAGAACTTTTGGATTTGAAAAGTTGAATGATGTTGTTCATTTAAAAAAAAAGACGGATTGCAATCGGTACAATATTGATCGGCTATTTGACTGAAAATTTTCGAAACAGCCAAAAAACTTCGAACGATGATGAAGATTTCTCGTTTTTGTATTGCTGAATTTTATTGATTCTTTTTCTTTTTTATTGTTTCGAAAGCTTTTTCAACAATAGTGGTTTCTCTTCGAAAGTTTAAAAAAATTCTCACGATGATTCGCAAGTTTTCTCGAAACAGCTTGAAAAATTCTTTTCAAATCAAATCAAGTGTTTTATTTCTCACACACAAGTACTAAAACTTACGAATAATATGTAGAGAAAATGTGAAGAAACCTTCGAATAACTTACACATTAAATATTTCCATCAACCCCTTATTTTTCTTCCCAATCTCCCAACCTTCTAAGCGAATAAGATTGATTGGAGTGAGACGCCCATTGAAACACGCAATTTTTTGGCTCTCCATGCGTCTTGTTAGAAAACGAGGCTCCGCCTCCTGTATCCGACGCCTCCACACACACAGTTTCTACTTTTGCGCCGCCGCGAGCCCCGTTTCTTTGGCCTTTTCTTCCAATTTTTTTTTGTCATGACGTGTCCTCGGAATATGGACAACTACTTTTTTGGTTTCTTCATAAACCAATTCTAATTACCATTCATAAGTTCTAAACGTATCAAATATTCTTCTGACTCAAATTAACATCAAAAAAAAGCCCTAATTTTCCTCGACTTGACGATTTACTTTTCAGATCAGACTAAAAATTATACGTTTCTGGGTGCAAAGATACCATACTTTTGTGCTAAACGATCCTTTCAGTGAAAATTTCAAACTTAGATTATTGGTGAAAGAAAACAAGAAGTTCGAGGCTTTTGGCTGACGAAAAGCCTTCATTCCTATTTATTTCTGGAACAACACCCAGTTTCGTGGACTATATCGCAGCGAGAGTGGCGCGACATAGCAGCGACATATCTCGCTGCCATCTCGCTCAGCTCTAGCAAACTCCCGGCGCGATATCGGCGCGAGGTCGCGGATTATCGATTGGTCACTATTTACGTGCCATCAAAATTTTACTTGAATTGTTTTATTTTTCGTCTGTTAGATTCTCTCTGATTTTTATGTCTATTTTTCACTTAATATTTCTAAAATGTTAATTTTACAACTAATGTAACGCTCATACAGTACCGTCAGAAAAGGAAAAATGTTTTTCGCTCACAACTTCCTCGTATAGAGCTCAATCTTTCTGAAACTTTTTCAGCTGTGTTTCTAAGTTTTCACCACGGTGTTACAATCAACAGTCATCATATTTCCAGAAAGTTTCAAAAGGGTGAAATCCCATTAAAGAAAGTTGTGATAAAGAAAAAGCTTTTTTGTACATATTTTGACGGAACTGCACACCTTTCTTGAATTTGAAAGTCCTTTTTTTCCGCATATGTTTCAACCAAGAATTTCAGGTTATTAGTACTTCAAAAAGGCATCTAACCCTTTTTTTCGATCAATAAAAGTCAAGAAAGATCCGTGGGAGATGGCACCGAAACTTTGCTTTTGGATACAATAAATAAGATTTTTGGTAAACTATTTTTGAAACAGTATATCCATTTTTTTACTTGAAGATATGATTTGCACTTTGGCGTCGATGGGTAAGGAAAATGAGGCATGATTTCGAGAAAGCACGTACTGCTGTCTTGATACAGTCGCTCCTGTGAGTTATTCTCTTTATTCAAGGTTGGACTTTTTTTCAGTATTTTTTTCTTTTTTTAACCGATTTTATCATTTAGAAAAGTTCTTGACGCAGCAAATGAAGGATATGCCGAAAACTATCGAGTCAAAGCTTACAGTAACATTTTTTTAAGGGAACTTAGTGTCAATCTGATTGTTTAACTTAATTTTTCTTTTTCAAAACTTCTTTCATTTTTCATTTCGAGCCTCCCTCATTCATTTTTTTCTAATTTGAACTTTTTAAAGATCATCTACGAGCTTACAATCGGTTTACTTTTTCTGTTTTTTTATTGAACCTACTCTTTTCCTAGTCACATTTTTCCTATCAAAAAAATAAACGATACACATGTTTTTCGTCATATTGTCATTTTCTATTCTTACTTGAAGCTTCACTCTTTCGCCTCAATTCAATCTTCTTCAGATTTGTACATACTTTCCGTTTACTTCGAATTCGAAAATGTATCATCAATTATTTGGAAAATTTCTTTAATGCTCTCAAGTTTTCATTTTAATATATATTGTTTAAATTAAATAAAAAGTAAAGAAGGTTGATAAAGACCGATATGTTATCATGTACAACACAATAAAAGTATGAAGCATAGAAAGCAAATCAAGAAAAAAAAGCCCAATCGAGCTAAAAATTTTTTTTTGAAAGAGCGACATAGCAGCGAGATGTGAGCGACCTTGCGCCGAGAGGCGAGCGATATAGCTCGCGGCCCCCGCGATATAGCGTTTCTCCCGCTGCGACCTCGTCCGTAAAACTGGGTGAATCTTTTCGGGGTCTCACTAGACTTTTCGACGTCTGTGTGTACCTTTTTTTTTCCTTCTTCAGTTGCATTCTGCTTCTTATCTTCTTTTTTCTGTTTCATCTCGTCTGACAGACATTCTTATCATGAGGAACGTGGAGCACTACAAAAAACACGAATTCAAGTTATCGATGTTCTTTCTCCGCCGTTTTCGGGTTTATCGCTAATTTTTCCTGGCGACGAGGTCATTAATAAAAACTTCGTATATTTTCGTTTTCATATTCATGTATTTTGAATCAATATATTTCACTGTAAATTTTTTTCCAACAGGAAAAATTTTTCTGGTTATCCGAAAAGTTTTTTTACTCACTTTCTTTCAAACTTAAAGCTATCTAGCTTTGAAAAAAATTGGATATTTATGTTTTATCAGATTAAATAGAAGTATAAGTTTATCAAGAAAAAGTTGAAAACAGAAAGTTTTGTACTTTTTTTCAAGTTTACACATAAAAAAACTTTTATTTTTTTATATTTTTTTGGTTGTTGAAAGAGATGCCACAAACCAGAAAAAGGAACCAGCTGCCGGCAACATCAAAAAAGCCTTTCTGGATTATTTTTGCAGCTTTTCGAAAAATCAACTAACCCGACCTAATCTTCTTTTTATGACAAATGAATAATACTGTTTATCAAAAAAATGGTTAGTCGATGATTCCAAGACTTTTTTTCTCGAAATTCACCTGTTTAAAAATCGAATAGGTTTAAAATTCGAATAAAAAACCTAAATTTTTTGGACCAACTTTTTTTCCCTTAGATCCGCTGGAAGTTATTCGATTCCTTGAGTATGTCAGTAATCGTAGATGTGCGGTTGCCAGGATACCTATTTCCCCTAATTGACCTTAAAAAATGGGCTCGGGCTTTCTATGCAAATATTTTTCTTAGCGGCGACTTCTGCCGCTGACTCACATCAACGGAACATCTCATTTCGCAAGATTACTGCGCACAGAGTTATTTAATGGTTTATCGCATCGTATTCAGCACTCAGCTTGACATCTGGCGGCCACTATTACGCAACTCGGTGTTCTGGCGGAGTTAACAACTTGAACTGCTTTCCTCATTCCAAGGGTGTCAATTTTCCTTCTTAAGAGATGAGCTCCTTCCACAGCTTTTTGAGGGACTGAAGTTGAAATAAGTAATGTGTTCTTATCACTAGGCACCGCAAAAACTATTGGTCGGCGAATCCTCGAGAAGAGACTCAAAGACTCTGACGTTAGAAAGTGCTCTTTCTAGCTATTTTTCATTACTTTTTTTTTAAATTTCTGACAATTATCTTCCAGTGCCAAGCGAGAAATTCTTCTCCTTCAAAACGCGGCACATTTGTTATATGACTTAATTGGGAAAAAGTGTTGGTGCCGAGAATAACGTAATTGTGGGGTCGGCGTCGACGTGCGATCTCCTTGACTCTGCACGTCTCGCCATGGTCTCTTCTTCTTTGGACGGCTGCTTCCGCTTTCTTTTCTCCATTTTTGTTTTGCATGCTTTCAAAGGAATTTTAATTATTCAAAGATTTATTTTTGATGAAAATTCATTTTCTGCAGTTTGAAATCTTCTCAATGTTTCTGCGATAGCGTCTGTGTGATGTTCGTTATTGAAATCCGAACGAAAAATTCTTAAAGAAAAAAAAGTAAAGAAAACGGCTCAAAATCTTTTTCCCTCCCTGCAACATCACCATACTATCCCGATGTTGCGAAAATAAATTGATTGAATGAATGAATGAAAAAATGGGAAATTTTCAATTTTTAAATTCTCGCTACGGAGCGCGATTGAACTGTTCCCTTTTTCCCGACAAGTATCGAAAAAAAAAACATTCATTTCTTATTTCATTTTCTGCAACAGTTCTTAATATTTGCCAATCGAGTTTCCTATAACTTTTTTTCTCCAGACACGTGAAACGTTACGCTTGCTCATATCGAACCAATGCGCTTTTTAAAGCTTTTAATGGTGGGAGGTGCTGGCAAAATGTTTGAAGCTGCTTTGTAACATTCGTCTTCCTTTTTTGAAATCTCTCAATGATTCGTTAATTGTATAGCTGTGAACGATTTAATAAATTAAAAAAAAATTTAGGTGATTCTGCGGTGCTATTTGTAAAATTGATATCATTATTGCGGCAAAAAATGTTCGCGCGTTATTTGTTTCGCCCTATCTTTACTTGACATTTTTTCTCATTCTTTTTGACTCTATATCTTTCACTCCGGGAACCATAGCCATGTTTTAAAAGTTTTTTCTCCACCGTAGGAAATGATCGAAGTAATTTGATACGTGCGTGCTGAACTCGATATCATTTGTTTATTAAATAGATTTCCGAGCCGGACGTGTATTTTTTGTTATGGTTCTTAAGCTTATAAATTTGCAACCAACTGAATATTTTGCGTTAACACGTCAAAAGCGGTTTCTAATTCAAAAAAAAAACCGTTCTCAACTTCAGCGTCGAAAGTCCTATTATAAAATTCATTTGAGGCAGATAAACGCTGACGAAATAAAAAAATTCCATAAGGAAATTTGAAAATTGGAGTTTTTTTGAAGATTTTTGAAGTACATGGAAATGTAAAAAAATCTTTCATCTTAAAAAAATACGAAAAACCCTCATTTAATTTTTCATTCTCTATTCTGAACGTTTTTTTCCTGAAGTTTGTCCTCTTTTTTTCAAATTTTTTTAATCGAGAGACCTTCTTTAAAAAGTAAGTTACAGAAAATTTCTATGAAGGTCTTTCGAAGTTTTTTTTTCCAGAATCGACTGTTTATTTATTTAATTGCTTTTGCGCGAAAACTTTGATTAAATTTCGGTGATTTTGAAAAGCCAGAACGCTCCTTCTGTGCTTATTCGTTTTTTTTTTATGAACGATAATTGTTTTTGTCGTCATTTTCGAGTTTTTCAGGTTAAAACCTGTGAAAGAAATCGGCGAAACTTCGAATTGCGCAAAAAGTTCTTGTGCAAAGAAAGAAGATGGCTCGCGCTGTACCTGTCGGTGTGGCTGCTGCCGGTCCTCCTAATCAAACGGTTCGTTTTTTTTCTTCCAAGGAGCTCTATGGATGTCTTTTGCAGATCCAAGAACTGATCGAATGTCCGATCTGTTATAACGTCTACGACCGTCCCCTCCAGTTGAGCTGCGGTCACACGCTCTGCGCCTCCTGTATCGATCGATTGGTTTGTTTCATCCTTTTAATTATTTGGTGATTCAAAAAGTTGCATTAAAATCGTGACTTATTTCAGGTGGAGCAAGCGCGCCCACCCAACTTAATCAATCCGGCAGATGTAAGAACAAAAACTTCATTTTTGGCATGAATAGTTCTTTTTCAGTACCTTTTTCCGCCGCCTCAGGATCCTCAGCAAGTTTTTGGACTCGGTGGAATGATGGTTTGTTGATTTTTCATATTTTATGAATGAAAAATGAGAATTTCTGATGATTTTTGAGGTCTTGTAGTTCGTTTAGAACGTAAATAAAAGAAAGTCTCTATAGATATCGAGAAAAGGCTTATCTAAATAGAGATGAGAATGGTGCAGAAAACATTTGAAAACTCGAAAAATTTGATGAGAACTGGAACAGTTAGGAATTCTCAGATGCGAGCAGTCTATCCAGGACAACAAGTTCCGCTGCCCCCAGGAGCTCGAGCTCAGCGCGTTCGAACAGAAATCCGCTGCCCCGAGTGCCGCAAAACGACTTTTGTGCCTCCTGAGGGCCTTCCTGTCAACTACAGACTCCAGGGTACTTTTTTTTTTTCAAAAGCTACTCAATTTTATTTTGCATTTCGCAGTCATAATTTATCCCAAGAGTTAAAAGAAAACTAGTGTTATCGTAAAATTTTTTTAGAAATGGTGTCCCGCATGGCTACAGAGACCGCCAAGAAGCCGGAGCGTCGTTTGGGGTCAGTTTCAATACGTTTTTTGGTGATTCGATAGATAAAAATCATTATCGGAAATTCTGAGTTTCATTGAGATTCTTTGTTCATTTCACTCATATATTTCTTGCTGAAGCTATGTTGCTCTATGTATCTGAGGGAAACAGACATTCCAATTTTCAACTTCTTGACTAGAGAGTTTCATGATTACATGCTAAATTTCAAATTTCTTCGTATTGAAAACTGATTCGAGATATTTCCTAATTCATTTTTCGTGTGCTCCATTGTTTCTTACAAAAAAAGCAACTATTTTGCTAGCATTGATTCTCTCTTTTACCCATTCCCACGGGAAAATTTCTTAAGATATCGCTTGGTTTTTTTTCTCAGAGCTATTCTACCATATCGTAGGATTTTTTTTATGAGCGTTTTTTTCCATGAGAGATACCGAAATGGTTTTAATTTGACTTTGAAACAAAAAGAGCCAGTTATATGCATTTTGTTTGAAGTATCTATTATTCTCGATAATTAAATCAAAGAAAAAAAAAAAATGAAATTTGAAGGTTATGCAAAGTTTGCGACGAAAAACTCGCCGGCGGTATCTATTTCAACTGTGTCACTTGCGCTGAAAATGGCAACAGCGTGGTGAGGAAACAGTTTTGAGGAGTTCTCCAACATTTTTTAATCATCCAGCAAAGAATCTGTTCGACGTGCGCCGTCCGTTCTCATAATGGACATCAGCTTGAGGAACTTGCCGCTGTGACGGAGAAAGATGTGCAGGTGAAATCTGCAGCGATTCGGAATTTGAAGAAAAAAACAATGAGCTTTTGAAGAAAACTTATCGGAAAGTTAAGGAAAACAGATTGATTTCTGGTAGTTGAACACGTGGAAATCGGTTGGAGAGAAAGCTTCAGAAACTATTTTATTTATCTCTGAAGAGAAATACGAGGGGGAAACAAAATTTTTGGAAATTTTTATGAAAAAAAGATTATAAAAGGAGTAGTGGGCTTAAGAGATGCGGATAAGACGGATCGCCCGGCACATTGTCAAAAAAACCCCTTTTTCCACCCGATTTCTAAACTTTTACTCATTTTCAACTTACCCCGTCGACGGCTTTGGTGGGATTCAGAAAAATCATTTTCGAAGAAAAAAAAATTATGGAATTACGTTTGAGTATACAAAAGTAATTTCTCCGGTTTTGGGAAAAATGAATAATTTTTGAGGAAATGAAAGACAAGATCAGCAACGCGGCGTGCAGCGCCTACTCGGAGCTCGACCAGGTCGGCCCCAAGCTCAACGTCATCAGCACCGACCTCCACACCATTATCCTCAAGGTCCTCAATAGTCGAAAAATAGAGATTCGAGGATAGTTGTCAGAGAGATAAAACGAACAGAGTGAAAAAAGGGAAAACATTGTTTCTAAAAGTTTTCTCCAAAAATTTCTTAGCATTTTGAGTTTGAAGTTGGTTGATTTGATGTTTGCTCATCGAAATTTCCATAAGAAATAATTTTATCAACGATAATATGGTTGATCTTTTCGTATGAAAAAAACTCCTAGTCTTTAGAATTTTTTTGTTTGTTGGAGTATTTGATTGTTTATTGACTGATAACATCGAGTTTAAAAATGTCATAAAAGCGAATTACAATAAAAAAATTTGACCGAGAAGAATTTGAAAAAGTGGGTATCGAAAAACTGTCAAGATTTTAGCTTCTCCTATTTTATTTTTTCCTTTCTACATCTTTATCCTATGTTTTTTTTAAAAGTAAATAATTTTACAATAGCGTTTCTTCTAGTTCCTGACGGATTCGGTATCGTTGTTCGGCGCCTTGGCAAACTGTTACGATGACGATTCCGGCGAAAGCACGTCGGCCACTCACGACAGCATCCAGCACAAGATCGACATGGCCGAAGCCATCTCCATTGATTATTATAAGGTTTTTTTATATTTAAAGGAAATTAGAACAATTATTTTTTTATTCAAAAAAACCTTAAGGACTGATCAATTTAGTGAAACTTGCATTTTTTCAGATCGTTCGTAATTTGGACAAATTCGTCCAAGAAGTCCGCAAATTGGCTCTGGAATTTGTCGCGCCTATGAAGGTTTTTTCGTCCAATCAATTCTCATTTCAAACTTTATTTCATCATAGGTATCTTTGGAGAAACATGTGCTGGAGAGCGGCGTAATCGACAAATTCGAAGTTGAGGAAGCTCAGGTGAGCTTGAAACATGGGGAAGAAGAAAAATAGTGGGATTTGGAGATAGAAGTAAGAAGGAAGAAAATGATGAAACGGGAGAGAATTTAGGGTTGTCTCTTCCAAAATTCATGAAATGTTTTTGATAACGACATAGATTCATTGAATAAAGAAAACAAAAAATAAGTTGAACTTTCTTTAAGAATATTTGAAACTCCGTTCATTAAATGGTCGGTTTTCTAGTCATTCGCTTTGTTTTTGGCTAGTTTTGACGGTTTGATGTACCTATATATGAGTTTGATCTTTTAAAAGCCAAATACTGAAATATTCAGGAGCATTCGCTGCACAACAACGCAAGAAATCCGCTGCAATTTTTTTGGAAGTTCATTTACATCTCACTTTTTCAGACGCCTGAAAACATGGAAGTTGGGGAGAGCGCGGCGAACGTCGGCGGAGACACAGACGACGAGGCGGACGGCGAGGAATCGGAATTGGTGGCTCCTGTCGAGACGGCGCAACCCGCTGTCGGTCGGAACAGCGAGGAGAACGTCCGCGAAGGATACGAGCGTCAAGTGTTGGTATTTCAGTCTCCTAAGTCTCCTTATTTAGCTGGCTCCTAGCATGTTGAATTAAACTTCTAACCCCACTAATTGCTAGCAAAGACTCAAAAATTTATTTAATATAAGTTTTAAATTTGATTTTTTTCGGTTTTCTTTCAAAATTTAAAATTTGACAACAGAATAGAAAAAAATGGATATTTTTTTATATTTTTTTAGTATAAAAAAATTTTTTTCGCTTATTTTTTTCTCAACTCGCGTTCAATATCGCCTGTATCATAATTCTATGTTTCAAAGAGTTTGTTCTGTCGTGTCCGCTGTTGTTCTTCTATTAGCACCAGAACGCCTCTATGTTGTTATGTTCGTTTTAGTTTCTCATAAACTTGTTGTTCGCCCAATTTTATTTTGCACCGCTCTAAATCATGTAGCTTAGTTCAAGATTTGAGTCAAATTGCGTCGAAGAAGTCACTCAAGGGCTCTTAGCAGTCCTCCGCAGAAGAATTGTGCACGTTTCATAACTTTCAGCTTATATGCTCCGCCCAAAAGATTCTCTAATGATTTATACGTTCTGTGCTTTTACATATTTGTGAATATAATTCCAATATTCTCACACCTGCAACGCACAACCAGCCATTCACATTTATTTGCTTTCTTCTTTCAGAAAAAAAAACTCGTGTAAAATAAAGAAAAATTGACGATTTAAGGGCACACAGACGGCAGCTCCAATGGCGACGTATGAAGAAGCTCGAAGAACGTCGTAATGCTCAACGAGCAGCTCGGGATGCCGAAGTCCAGCAAAGAGTACGGACTTTCTTCGAGAAAGAGTCACGGCTGGAAACAGTCTGACGTGTCTGTGCTCACTCCTCTCCCACTGGCGCTCCAAATAGTAGAAACAGCTGAACAAAAAAGGACGCAGACACGTCTGACGGATCTGAATCATGAATTAATACTACTTTCAAGGGTTCAGAATAAAAAATCTTTTAAAAACTCTAATGGTTCAGCTTCCATACGCTTTTTCTGTCTAAACTTCAATTATTTGTTTTTACAGAGAAACTAAAACACTACAGTAGAATCTTTAGAAAAAGAAGCGGAGGATGTTTTTTTCGAAGGCGAAAAATAAATGTTTGCAGCTTGAATATTGGAAACCGATTTTGAGAACACATTTTTTATGTAGTTAGTTTTGTATTTGGTTCTTAAACTACGAAGAGAATCACTTTTCGATTTCTGAGGTCCTTTTGATATCCTTCAAAAACTTCCGTCGTATAGGGAGAAAGGAAAAGAAATGCTTTAGGTCAGTTTGCTTTTTGTTTTTAGTCATCCAGACGAAAAGGTCAAAATGGAGGGACAGTGTGAGTCGGAAAACGTTCAATCGAAAAATTTAGCACTGTTGCATGTGGAAAACGGGTCAATTTTCAGAGAGAAGCGGCCGGTCGTGCTCAGCAGAACAACCAGCCATTGAATCCACGACATCCAGACTACTTTCTGCAGCTGCAAGCTCAGCTTCATCAAGCGCAGCAAAATTATCAAGCGGCTCAGCAGCATGTCCAACAGCAGGCGCAGCAACAAGCTCAGCAGCAGGCTCAACATCAGCAACAAGTTCAACATCAGCAACACGTTCAACATCAGCAGCAAGTCCAACAGCAGCCTGTTCAACAGCAGCCCCAAGTTCAACATCAACAAGTCCAGCCAGCACATCTGCAACAGTTCCAGCAGCATCTCCAAAACGCCCAGATCCTGCAGCAGCAAATCGCACAGGTCGTCGGAAATCCGCCTCTGCCGCCCCCGCCTCCGCAACTCATGCAGGACTTGCCCCGTCAGCGACTCCCTCTGCCGGTTAGTTTCCGGCCAGAAATGGGCGGCAACCAGAAATCCCCAAAACTTTTGGCTCGTTACTTGTTCCGTTGACTGATTAGAAACCAGCCTTATTCTCTTAAATGTTTACTTTCCCCACACTGAGAGAGCAAGCATCGCTGAAGGGGCAATTTAATGGCGCGTTTGCAAAGGCTACAGTTCGAAGTTGTTGGTACTCTATCACACTATAGAATAGTATAACCGTTTATTGATCCAAAATTATTTTCGGTTCGTAAAGCTTGATGAGCAATCAGCAAACTTTTCAATTTTACACATTTATGAAGTTCATTGAAAAATCATCTCAAAAACTAAAAGTCTTCTATCAGGAATTTTCACTTGGACTTTCAAAGAATGTTTTTTTCATACAAATTCATGGGAACTTAAAATTAAAAGAACATCTTTTGTGAGAGAAGAGAGGAAAAGGATGATACAAACAACTTTGAAAATGTGGTAAGGAAAGTTAGCAATAGTTCGAAAAAAAATTCCCTCTGTTTTAAGCTTCGGTTGCTCCTCACACTCCGAAGCTTTCAGATCATACAGCAGCAAGTGGACTTTGGACCCGTCCTCCGGCAATACAACCGTGCGGAAATGATTTACGGGGTAAGTTTTAAAACATGGTTTTTTGGTGGGACGGCTTCGAGTGTTTCACCAGAAAAAAATTAGAGCTTTCCCGAAAAGAAAACTATCACTTCGAAATAAATTTTTTTGGTGAAGTGCTTGATATTGCGGAACTGTCGATGAATAGCCTAGTCAAAAGGGATGAATATTTGCTTTTTTTTTATTCGAAAATGTAAGCCACGTCTGATTTTGAATTACATATTTCAAAACTTATGGGAAAACACAATATTTTTTTTTTTTGCTATTTTGTGATATGAGCTCAATCTAAACTAATTAAAACGGCGTGTACCATTTTCCCTCAAAAAGCTCAGTATCTGCATAAAGACCGCTTTACGGCACAATTTAATTCGTTTGTAACTCTTTTTGATAATCGAAATGATGGTGGTGGTTGGTCTGTCGTTTTGTGGCTGTGATTCGAGAAAGATCTATCCTCCTCCTCGTGTGCTGGTCCTCTGTTGTTGTTTTCGTACTCGTAAACATACCAAGTTTCACTGGCTCTTCCCCTGATTTTTCGGTGTCGTGCTCAGTGAGACTAAAATCGAGTTTACAGCAGGAATACCTACAAGAGGAGGTGGTTGCACAGGCACCGCTTTTAGACCAATATCCATTCTTGCCGATACATGGTCTCGAGGGCCTGGGTCTGGCTGAAGAATTCGTGAGTAGCCTTGCTTACAAGGAGTTCATTCTACTCCAAACATGAAACTTAGTCCAAAAACTCCAAAAACTAGGTGAAAGACTTGAACAGAGATATACTATTTCTGAGAGTAGACACCTCATAAGGGAAGTCATTACACTTTAATATTAAGGTTTTCTCTAAACTTGCCTACCTTTCAGGCTTGTATAAAGATTTCTGATATCTCCTTGCGCAAGAAATCCTTAGATTTCGTGGTTAATTGAAAATCGCGCCTAAAACCATTTTAGACTTTGAAAAATTAAATCCCTAAAAAGTTAGAATTTTCAGGAAGGATTTTCATCTAGGCATCCAGTTAGTGTTTGAGAAAAATTTATAAAATTTTCCAAACTTCGTACTAAAATTGAATTCGTTGTCAAAGAATTTCATGATCTTTACCTAGAACAGGCGAAAAGGTTTGTAGTTTCCGAAAAATTGCAAATATTGGAGTAGAAGAGCCTTCCTTGTTAGAATAGCTTTTTCTGAGGATCAAATCGGATCTTTCTCTTTCGAACGAAATCGTAGAAACATATCGAAAAAGTCTGAGCTTATGAAGTAATTGAAGTTTTTAGTTTGAAGAAAGTAATTAAACCACCTCTCGGCTTCGACTGAATGTAATGTTAAATTTATCTTATCCTATACTTATTGATAAGACTAATTAATGTCTCATACTCCGAAGAGATATACAACTTTGAAATTTCTTTTGGGTTTTTTTTGCATATCAGTTGAGAAGGTCGTTGAATTCATAAGTAGTCGCGGTTTTCATCCGGTCAGAAAAGGACTTTCACAAAATTTGGTATTTTTTTCGCGTTTGGGCGTTTGAATGGTTTTGGAAATAAAGTTTTGAAGTTTGATGTGAGAAGATGAACAAAAGTCCTTCTGAGTGAACTTTTTTTCTCGTCCAGCAGTTCATTCAAAAAAGAAAATTATATTTTTTTATTTCTTCCGCTTGAGCAAAATAGGGCATTTTCTAAGGTACAGATTTGGCTGCCGTTTTCTTCCCAAAGAGGTTCTCATTCACATTGTTATATCAGACTATCAGACTAAAACAATAACAATGTATTGAAAACACTCTTAGTCTTGGAAAGTAGATCGTGTATTACTGATTTGATTTAAAATGGAATATCTACAGAGAGGCGCCGATCCACGCTACCAAGCCATCGAGTACGCGCATCGTCAGCAGCAGCAACAGCAACAGCAACCCCAGCAGCAGCAGCAGCAAAGAGTCGCCAGATACTTGCCTCCGATGCGGCAGCAGGAGCCTCAGCCGCAAGTTGCAGTCGAGATCCAAGTGAACCCTCCAGCGGCCGGACCGCGGACTCCGCCCATTAACGACATGGTCCACGGCGTGATGCGTCTTGCCGTCAACCGCATGGCTCCGCCGCCGGAAGCCCCCGCTGAGATCCCTCAACTCAACGCCGAAACTCTTGCCCAGGTGCCCACACTCGTACCTTTGTATCTACTTTGGTTTGTCCAGGTCAACGCTATTCTGAATGACCAAAATGCCGCAGTTGCTGCTGCGGCTGAGGAAGTCGCCGCCGTAGAGAACGCTGCCCTTATGGAGATGCGTCCACTAGACGTGAGCTTACAATAAAAAAATATAAGAAACCACCTTAGGAATCAGAATTATAAGAAAATATTCGAAAATTCACAGAGAAATTGGAAAAGCCTGGATCTTGAAGTCATAAGCTCATATAAAGATGAGGACCGTCAGGAGTGTAAGAGTTATTTTTGAAGGCTTATTTAAAAATCCAAGTGTCCGCCGAATTTTCTTTACCATGTTTTTCTCTGAAACTTTTTCATGTTCAAAAAAGTCTTTTTCAGCCTGATCTCAACGCCCAGCAACCGGTTCAGGGGAACAGACGTCCGCGAAACGAACCTGAGACTCCGAGGCGATACAGAAGGTGCTCTCATTTCCCCAAGACTCTTCCCTCAATCCAGACGTTTTAGGGAGGGAACGGACGAGGTGCAACAATTGGAAGAACCTCAGAATCAAGAACCGCCGAGGAAGATCCGTTTGACGTCAGTTTGATTGAATTTCGGATAATTAAAAGTTTGATCATATGGAGTATTGTTGTGAGATTTGAACAATGAGGGAGAAAATGTTCAGAAAAAAAAATGAAAAGAAAGGTTTTCAAGAAAAGTTGGGATATTTTTCAACTATCAATCACCTAGTTTTGGTAATTTTTTGATCAAGATGAACAAATTTGTTTCTAGAATGACGATAAAAAACTGTTTTGAAGCTCATAATTTTCGAAGATATTCAGGAACTTTCAAGGGGAAATTACCCTGCAGAGAGACGAGATTTTCGCTCTCTTCAAAAGACTTATCACAACTTTTCAAGCAAATTGAAGCATTTAATGAACATTTTCAATCTTGAGATACCTTAGCTGTTTGATCAATCAAATAATTTTTATAGTTTTTCTTCAGTCATTTACGCGATATACTAAACAATGAAGATCAGAATTTTCACCAACAAGAAAGTGAAAAAATACTTACTTCTAGTGAGAACCCGGCGGATTCTGAAGCGTCGACTTCTACGGAGGCGAGCCGCAGGGAGCTTCTCGGGCGCATCACCCGCGCAACGGCCCGTGCCACCGCACGTATCCGTCCCGAACAAGACCCTCCTGCGCCGGCTTCCAGCACAGGAGTCCAACCAGTTGGCGTTATTCAGCCGAAAATCGAGGAGCCCGACTCTCAATGACTCATGGCTTTATTCGGCTATTGTTTCCTCTTCGTTTTTTCCTTTGTTTTCTTCAGCTTCATGTTCTCCTTGATTAATAAGTTCCAGTTGTTCCAATGATACCCGATACTTTGGGAAGTCATGCCTAATCATGTACTTAATTACTTCTTATTTATTTGAATGCCCTTTTCTCCTTCTTTCGCCAAACTCGTGATGATCTCCAGGTCCGTAAAAATAAATAAAAGTCACATCTCTTTCTAGGAATTTCCGGTGGTTTTCTTTTTTCGTCTCTTTTTCTCGTTCTGATGGTTTTTAATACCTTTCACCAGTCTCCGCTTCATCTACTATATCAATGAATTATCTCAATATTTATCACTTTTCGACCCGTTTAACCATCTTTAATACTTATTATTTGCGCCTCATCTGAGTTTTCTTATGTCAAAAATTTCTAATACTCTACATTTTCCTCCTCTTTTTTTCAATCACACTACTTCTAAACTTACTGAAAACTTCACATTTACCATTTCTTCTTTTTTCATATTATCGGTGGAGCCCCCTTACAACTATATATTTCTTCGGATTTCCTTCCTTCTATTCATGATAGCTCTGGGTTTAGATTTTCTCTTCTTGAGTCATTTCCTCGGTCTACTACGGAACCAAACTTTGAAACGGATTTCTTCTTCTTGAATATGTACATTTTCTCTTCTCTTTCATCACAAACTTAGGGTATTTCCTACTATAATTACTTTTTCTTTCCGGCTGTAGTATTAAATAATTTCGTCGCCTTCTCGGTACTCTTGTCAAAAATAATCTTTTGAACCAGTTGCTTACTTGTTTCATTCATTAAAGTATTCTTGTTATATGGGCGGACCTGTTTTTATTTTTTTGGAAGCTTCTTCTCTTTGACGTCTGAAACCTAGAAAAATTGTTGAGTGTTGTTCGTAATAACTGTTCTTTTTTTTTCTTGGAGTGAAGCAATTGATCGGCATTCTTGATTGAGCATTTTATGTTTGGACCTAATTTTTACCTTTCTTAAAAAAACAGGGGAAAGTTGACAAAAATAAGGCTTTTTTATTCATGGGTTGGCGAGTTGCCCCGCACAAAAATAAAGCCTATTACCCTAAACAATTTTGACCGTATTTTTTCCATCTTATTAAGATGATTCAAGCTTCGGTTGCCTCTCTGTGCTCAACTTTTGAAATTGTCTCTTAAAGATTGACAATAATCACTTTTATTTCAAGTTCCAAGGTGTAATAAGGTGCACTAACTAGTGAGATCCTTTTGTTTTTAGGCGTATTTATCCAGAAAATGGCTGCAGAGCAAAAACGCGAAATTCTTGCTGAAGAACTCGTCCAAGAGGAAGTGGCCCCTTTAGTGCTCTCGAGCTTCACCTCGGTCAAGCACAAACACGCAGAAGAACATATAGGGCACGTGGTGGCGAGCCGGGCGGCAGTCGACGGTTCTGAAGACTGTTTGCTTAGCGACCGACGAGGCAGCGGCGTCGGCCGAGGAGACGCCGACGCGCCGCCCGAGGCTCTCCCCGCCTCCTCCCTCGGCCGTCGCTCGGCCCGTTGTCATCGGGACCACCTCTGATTTGCTTGTCTCTTTTTGTACCCTCATTGCCTTTCTTGCTATGCGCCCATGGAGAACAAGCTGAAGCTCGTCGTCGTCGGCGACAGTTATACCGGCAAAACCAGGCGAGTTCCTCCTATTTCTGCATTTTTCATTATCTCTAGTTCTTTGCTGTCCTGAAAATCCGATTTTTAGCTTTTTGGAGTTTTAATTATGGCCTTCTTTAGATAGAAGCATCTTGAAAAGTTCTAAGAAACTGCTTGTGCAGAAACTTTTGTTAAAAACATATTTTTCATATTTCTTCATAAAGCTTGTGTGTTGATTGTATTAGGAGAAGCTCAAACTGATCTTGTTATTATTTAAAAATATTCGCGGAATTAAGAAATTCATAAGCTCTGCCTTTATTGCGAGTCTCAAGAGTTGATTATTTTTTCAAAGTTGTCTATGCACCATTTTACATTTGAAACTGATGAATAGCATATTTTGAAGTGAATAAATGGCTCAGTTTTTGAACCTCAACTTTAATTTGTTTCCAGAAAAACTTTAAACTCCAATTTCCAGCGAAAAAATTATCTCCATCGATGAAGAATTTTCTTTCCATAGAGACCCATTTATGATGTAGCAATTGCGAAATTTCTTGAAATTTTTCGGAAGTCTTAGTCACTATTTTCTCATTTTTCAGATCTCTAGACGTTACTTAGGGGAATTCTAGCTTTCATAAGTCAAATTTTAACTATTTTATCTATTTTCAAGTTTCATAGGACGAGAAAGCCTATTATTTAAGTGTCAAATTTGATTTTTCCAATCCTCATTATTTTAAATTGATTTTGTCTTTTTTTGAGAAATTGTTCTCTTCCAAGAAATCGATCATTCTTGATCGTTTTTCTGTGTTTGAAAATCAATTATTATCAGCTCAACTGTTTGTATTGCTGATAACAACTCTCGCTTTTTGCTTTTTTTTCGAACCTTTTGGGCACTAAAAGTGAAAATTTTTCGGAACAAAGAGATTGAAAGGCTTGAAAGGTCTCATAAAAATGTGCAAGTGAAATTTGCCTCAAATTTTTGGAGTAAATGTTTTTTTTTGCAGCACTTTGGGATGAGAATGATGTAAATATAAATGTACATTTTTTTTTTCTCAGTGAGATCAAATTAATTTTTTCCTAAAATTCTTTTTAGAAAGTATCATATGTGTCAAACCTGAAAAACTAAAAAAATTTGAAAACAAAATTGATATTTCTTCTAGAAAGCGCGTGTTTGCAACGGCTCTAGATTTTCAAATAGCTTTTATAAAAAAATCTTAAAATCATTATTTTTGAGTTTTCAACCTCACTTCTGACTAATTCAATAAATTGCAACGTTCCAGCCGAACCCAAAACGTAGAAAATGACCGGTAGGCCAGCAGAAATCGCCATACTTCACAGCGAAAAAACCCGAGTGGCGGCTTGCCAATTATGGCGCAATTACGAATTACGCGCGTCTAAGCCGAAGAATTTGACATAAAATGCTTCAGTTGATTCACGCCTGGCTTGAATTACCTTCCCAAAGAATCATTGGATTATCAGAAAATGCAAAAATTTTCTTATGCATGACTTGAAATCTTTCGGAAGATGCAAAAATTAAATATTAACTAATTTTCTCCTTGGGAGAAAAACATTTTTCTGAAAACTTCCAGTCAGGTTATAGATTAAAGATCATTTGAAGGTTTTTCATCAAAAATTATTTTCTCAAATCTCACCTCTCCGTTCAAAAAAGTATTTCGGTTTTGTTGACCTACCGACGTAGTTTGGCCTCAATTTTCGGGTTGCGGAGTTTTCTTTACAAACTTCAACAAGTTTTTCTGTAGTTTATACCCTTTTCTCTAAAGTTATTGACACTTTCAGTCTGTTGTTCGCCTACACGAAAAAGCAGTTTCTGGACAACTACGCGACGACGGTTTTCGACAATTGGGCCATCTCCGTCAACATCGACAACAAGAACTTCACCGTCAACCTCTTCGACACCGCCGGACAGGCGAGTTTCTCCTCATTTCCGATATTTTGGGCAGTTTTTCAACAGCTTGAACTATTTCATATTTGTGAACTATCCCAATTATAGCTGACCATGGCTCCAGATTATTTGGAAGTTGAAACTCGAAGTAGTGGATAGAAATTAGGGACATTTCAGATATACGAAATCTCTTTTTTTTTTTTGAGAAAATAGCTTTCAAAAGAAGCTTCTTTGAACCCTCTTCAAAAACTAGTCTTTCTCGAAAATTTAGATTTGTCTAGGTTGCAAAATTTAGATTTTTCATTCACTACAACTAAGTGGACCTAGACAAGTTTAACATTTCTTAAATTTTAAGGTGGAAAAACCTCCTTTTAAGTACTGATAAATTTCCTTAAGTGACTTCTTCATTTACTAACGAGTCTCATTGAACGCGTCGAAACTAAAGTTGGTTCACTTTTATTTTAAAAAAATTCATCTTCTTTTCCTTTCTATTTTTTTTTTCTCTCACAGTTCATTCAGATCTTTTTTTTCTTCGTTCCTTCATTTATTGGTCGGAATTTCTCATGAAGAGGAAAAAAATTATCTACAATCTAACTTTTCAATCTAAAGTTTCAAAATGGTTAAAGAAAAAACTTGCCTTTTCGTCTATTGAAGAAAAATTGATTAGTTTCTCGAATGGAACATCTTTTTTGAAGGTTCAATTAACTGGTTCAAGAGTCCACCTCACTTCAAAATGTTTTTTTTTTTCACGAAACGTTTCGCTCTTTCTTTTTTTTTTCTTTTTACGAGTGAGCGAAATGTCCAACTGGAGTGGTTGGAGGACAGGCGTCTTTTGGGACTTTTTTTCAAGCTCATCAAAACAGAGAAATCGGGAAAACATTTCAATACCGAAAAAAATTTGAAAATAAACGGAAATTTTCATCTTAAGTATTTTTTTAAAAAATCGGCTCGCTTCATTCAAAATTTTCTGCTCCACCTATGATCATTTTCATGATGTTTAAAAAGAGGCTTGAGAAGCGTCAATTTGTGGTTTTTTTTAGTCGTTCAAAACGTGCTTTCCAAGCGATGAATTACTTGCGCTTTTAAAAGTCGAGTTTTCCAAAAGACGCTGTTTCAATTCATTCCATTTCTCGTTTCAGGAAGACTACGAGCACTTGAGATGTCTCAGCTACCCGCACACGGACGTCTTTTTGCTGTGTTTCTCGTTGGCCGATAGAAAAACATTGGTGAGTCCAATCGTGCGTGACTAAAATTCCTTATTTGTTTCGACCCGTTAAATATGATAAAATTTTGTTTTGCCAACACATTTCCCCTCCGTCCGACGGAAAACAAACGAAAGAGATATTGTCAGCATCATGAATAAAACATGTCGGATTATGTTGCGCCATGGCACAAAATCTTTCTCGTTTTTTTTGTTTAGTTTGACTCGTTGCCATCGAGCGGGATCCAGCTATGGGTTTTTTTTAGAAATATCAAAGACTTCATTGCAAACTTAAGAGAAATTTACTCCGAAATTTTAAAACTTGGGAGAAGGAAAATTTCAAATTAATTTTTTTTGCTTTTGTGAGAGCCATTTTCGCCCTGCAGCATACAAAAAAATAGGTAAAAAAACGGACTTTTATATAATTTTTTTAAGGAAAAACTTGGTGAGTTATTTGAAGTCATCCGAAGTTTTTTTAAGATATATATTTTTTCATATAATACAAATTTCACGACCTTTTAAAAATTTTCTGCACCTTCATGAACCAAAGAAAGCTTCCTTGAATAATTGATCAATCCCAGGATTCGTGCCGAACAGTCTGGGTCCCAGAACTGAGAAAGTACGCCGGCGACAACATCCCGATCGTCTTGGTCGGCACGAAAGAAGACGTCGTCGAGTCGTCGCCGGCGCCAAAAGACGCCGTCAGCCACGATCTCGCTCGTCGCGTGGCTCTCGAGGTTTTTTTTTCCAGAAAAATCTTGTTTTTTTTTGTGGCGGTCATTCCGAAATGATAGTGCGAGAATGGGTCACCATTCTGTTGACTCAAAGCTTAACAAAGGATTTTCGAGCCGGAAAAGCAACCGAGTTTCTTTTTCTTCTTTTGATCTTCCATAAAGCGAACCTCACGACGAAAAAATTAATGACCGAGCTCAAAAACTTTGAGGATCAGCTTGGAAACTAAAGTTTCAGTTTCATATAAACGCCATGATTCTATAAATAACACATAATGATTCCTCCAAAAAATTTGACCTTTTTTTGATACATTAAAAGTTTCTTTTTTTTTTACTCAAGGGAGGTTTCAAAACACTTGGGACTTATATCGAAATCGAAAAAAATAACATGACCCATGGTCATGGACAGTACGAAGATGCTCAGGGTTTCGAATTTTCTCTATATTATATTTTTTTCTTAAAAATAAGAGGCTCAAATTTAGCAAAAAAAGCTTATTTTTAAAAAAAGTGTGAGCCAATTTCTCAAAAATATTCCATAAAAGTTAAGAAGAATACCTTGTCAGTTTTTTTTCTTTCGTCAAATTAAAAAAAGCCCATGAATAGACTTCGTTTTGAGATCGGCTGCGTCAAGTACTTGGCGTGTTCGGCGCTGACACACAAAGGCCTGAAACGGGTGTTCGACGAAAGTCTCCTGGCGGCGGTCGGCGTCAAGATCGAAGAGGAATCGCCATCTCCCTGCTGCTGCCTTTCCTGAGTGTGTCTTGCCTTTTCCCTGTAAATATCACCCTCCATTTACTCTTTTGAACTTTCCTCAGTTCCGAGTCATTCTTCTCCAAACGCTCAAAAACCAACACTACAACTACTTAAAAATAACCTTGGCCAAATTATTTCTCACCTTGTGCCTTTTTTCTCACATTCCCATCCGTAGAAAAATTTTTCGAAACTTACTGAGAGCGGGACCAAAGATTTTTTTTTCTCTTTCATGTCCTAGAATTGTGATAAAACAAGAAGATCCTGGGTATCAGATTATCATGCTTTAGCCTATTTTTGTAGGTTATAATTTATTAACACCATTTTGTCAAAATGAAATGAATATAGGAGTTTCGTAACAAGCCTTTCAACAAAAACAAGAAAAAGATAACAGAACAAGAGGGAGAAACAAAACAAAGAGAGAAATTCAAATGACCCGACTGCCTTTCTTCACATCTCTCACGGAGCGCTTCTCGATTACTTTGGCCTGGAAATAGTAAGCTGGATTTCCGGAAAGTATTAGTTATGTAATTATCATATCAGATTACGAAATATTCGAAACTTTAGCTATTTTCACACAAAGAAAAACATATTTAAAACCATACGAATGAAGATAATGATTTATCGATCTAAAAGAAAAATAATGAATAAATAATTTTTTAGATTGAGGACACTTCAAACGAGTTGAAGCTACAAGTACGATGTTTTACCCGGTATACCTGAACATTTTTTCAGAAGGACTATTCTAAGTTTCATGAAGTAATTCCACAAAAAGACGACAATGATGCCATTTTATAAAGCTTTCGCAATGTATAACAGTGTATGATTTTTCAAGTATAATTTTTTTTTTTACATAATCAGCTTTTGCTTCTTTTTGATTATATAGTTTTCAAACTATCTTGTGGTTTTTTTTTCGAATTTTTCTTCAAAAAAATTAGAGCCACGATAAACGGAACTTAAGTATAAAAAAACTAAAGGCAGAGCTATTTGCCAAATTCGAAGATGAAAAGACATACCTTCAAACTCTTCTTCAATTTCCGCTTGTTCTTGTCGCCAGCGATAGGAAGGATGTTTCGGAGTTGCATACTCTTCACACGGTCTTCGAGGATGCTTCCCTGCGGTTTCACCTGTCGAAGAGACCCCGTCAGCTCTTCCTGAAAAACCTTGTCCGTGAAACAATTCCTTCTACAAACTTTCATTGAGCTTCAATTCAACGTTTTTCCGAATGAGGACGCAGATCTGGTCAAGAAATGACATAGTTTCTCCGTATTCATGAATAAAGGGTATTTTAAATCAATAATTACATTGTCCAGTGAAATAAAACATTCTCCAAATTTTTTTGGTTCAACTTTAGATTGAAAATCACTTTTTCCGAATAACTTTATGAACTTGATAGCTTGTCCTTTGAAAATCACGGTTAATTTGAAGATTCTTTAATTAAAATGAAAGATCAACTCGAGGAAAGAAAAAAATATGGAAGACATTCTTTCTGCCCGTGATGATGTGGATCGATTTGAATTGAGATAATAAACAATATTATTTTAAACTTTTCCTTCCGAGTCCGTTTATTCTTCCTATCGATGCCCCATTCGTGACATAAGTTGATCTTTCATAAGAAAGTAGATTTGACTCTTTTTTTTGAAAAAAAGATCCAAGGCACAAGCAAAATTATAAATTGGATGTTCGTCAAACTTTTAGTTTCGATTCTAAACTAACTAGAGAATCAAACTGTGAAGTCCATGTGAACTTTCCAATAAACGAAAAATTGAAATATCCATTCTGAAAGTGGTACAGCACATCTTTTTGATACTCCTGAATGGTCTTTTTTCCAGGTTCAGTTGAAAACTTGAACTTGTACTGATTTTGAGAATGATTGATCCTTCAAGCTGCTTTGGAAGATATTGCGCTGTGCTAGGGTGAAAAGAACTACCTGAAGCAAGAAAGGTTCCTCTTCTTCCTGGAACTTTCCGCGTCCGAGCCGTTGGCGCTTCGTTAGCTGGAAAATATCGATAAGAATCAACATCCCTGGATAAAGTACAAAATCACCTTGTTCATAACTTTTCTAGTTTTTCGCTCCTGGGCCTCCTTATCACGTTCGGCCTCCTCAGCGGCCAGTTCCTTGTTTATTTGCTTGGATCTGAAGGTAATTTCTCGAAATTTTCCAAAATTTCCAGGAAAACGGACTTGAAAATATTCTGTTCATCGAGCATCTTGGCCTTCTTTTCCAGCCGTTCTTTCTCCTCTTTGGCGAGTTCGGCGGCGCGCGCTTTCTGCTTCTTCGTCAACGTTTTGGGCAATTCTCAACGATGAATATTGAAACGGGTTGAAAATCTGAAAGAGAACCTTTCTTTTCTTCTGGACTTTCGGCTGAATCCTTCTCAACGACTTCTTCTTCTTCTTCCTCTGCGGGCTTGTACCGGGGATCGATCGGGAGTCCCTCAGTCAGTTCCATCGCAACCTCGCCCTGAAACTCGGATTCTACAGAGAAAAATAATTAGATTCAAAATTTCGTAGTTAGGAAAACCAAAATTTTGATTTTCTGGAAACAGCAAAAAGTAGAAAGTAATTGGAATGTTTACACTGTAAAAGTTATTGAGAACGGGGAAAAAAAGATTTCGTCTCGAATACATTTTTTTTTCTTCAATTCCTCTAGGAAAATTCGTCTCCTGTTTTGGATACAGTATCCAAAAACGATGATCTCGACTTACATTGGTGACCATTTTCTCGTGTTTTGGCCTGACTCCAGCCTGAATTTTCTTCTCGTTCGCCACGACTTTCTCCTCGTCGGCTGCGATCTTGTTGACGTAGTCGAGATACTCGCCGGCCTCCGGGTTGTACGACGCTCCGCCTGACGGCACATTCACCGCCGGCAGCAGACTAGTCAACTTTTTCGCTGGCGTGTTCGGCATCTGCAAGGAGAATTCTACGAACTTTCCGCTCTTTCTTCCAAATTGTCAGACGGCCGTCAAAAATGAGTTTGATTGAAAACTCTTCTTTTAAATCAGAAATTTTCCTTTCAAGTTGAAAATCGCGACAAACATAAGGGCAACATCATGCTCAACAGCAAAATTTTTTTTAGAAAACCCATGAAAACGAGTTGAAAATCATAAAAACATAAGATGTGATTTCTATGCCGAAAAGCAAAATCCATATCAAAAATACCTTTTTCTTCGTATAACGCAGGAAATGTTCGGCCGCTTGAGGAATATCAAGATTCACTTTTGGCGTGAAATCTGAAAGTCGAATAAAGTCGTCGTTTGCTGCTTCATTGAACTGAAAACCTTTCTGCCAGAGGTCAACAGATGATGCATTTTTGGCCGGCGCCGTCTTCCCGCGCAGAATTTTCTCCTGTCGCTGTTTGATGGCGTTCCCACGGGGCAACTTCGCTACCGACTTTTTCGACGGCGCTTTTGGCTTTGGCAACGAGACGTCGAGGTCCAAGCTAGAAATTTCGAGATGTTGGAACGTTGAAAGGGAATTCAGGTGAAAATGTTCGATTTGATGTGTAAGACTTAAGAGAAAAAACAGTTCGAAAAAATTCAACAACTTCCCTTTTTTTAAACTTATTTTGTTCTCAACTTTTAACAGTTAGAAAATTTTATTATTGTCTTCCATTTTAAACTTATAATCCCTAACCGTACCCTAACTCAAAACATGTTTCTAGACTTTTCCTGAAAAAAACCACTAAAAATTTACATTTTTTTATGTACAAAATGTCTCACTATTTAGGGAGAAAAAGGAACAAAAACAGACTCGATGGATCGGGTAATCTTGTCAAGAGCGGCTTGCTGCCTCTTCGTGACTTTCTTCAGAGTCTTGGCTGGAGAGCGGTCGATCTGAGAATGATATATTGACAGCTTCTACAGCTTCAGCGAAGGAATTTGTATGAAACGAACGCTGAAAAGCTGCTCGTCGGAGAAATCGGCAATGAGTCCACCGGCGGCCTTTTGCTGGCTGATTGAGGCTGAAGAACTGAATTTAGTAATAACCCTTTAATCGGATTCAAACCAATGGAGTCTTCAATGTCATCGACGTTGACTCCTTTTCTCCAGTACTTTTTCTTATGGCGAGAAGTTTTGGCAGCCGCAGGCCGTTTCGCTGTTATCGCCATTTCTGAGACAGTCATTTTTCCAACTCATCATGAAACTCCAAAGTCATTAAAGCATGAGAAGTGAAATAAACAAAATACTAACTTTTTAAAAAAACAGTGTTGTTCTTTTCCGAGCATTTGTAATGGTAATGTTGAAAAACATCAGTATTTCTACAACTCGCCGTCGAGGAAAAAACAACACCTTAACAGTACATCAAGACAACTGCAGGCTGTTCCGGGACATAACAGATGCGGGCGAGGGGGATGTCAACAAGTAATCAAACAAGTAGAGTTTGTAGAGTTGTAGAAAAGACAAGGTACGAAAACACCCACAAAAGAAATATCAACCAAAATAGGTGTCGTACCTTCACCCTAGCCATTTTATGATATCACTAACCCATTCCCCATTAGTTTCTTAATTAATCCCTTCGTGACTCATGTTTATTTTATCCCTGTTCTTTTCTCATGAATTTTATGGCATTAAAATCATTCATCACAGTCACCCGTGCATACCACCAACGCCCTCCTAATACTCCAACATGATCCAGTTCAAACATCTCGAACATCCCAACAAACAACTCAAAACCAAGAACAACAACTTTATGTGACAAATGCCGAAATCACAACTCCAGAATCGCTGGAGCTGTCGGAGCACGAGTGGTCCGATCCGGATCGTACCACTCTCGTCCCACGTTCGGAAGTCGCGAATACGAACATCGCCACCAGAGCCATGTAACCGCCGCAGTCAATGTGTTCGTCGTGGGCAACCATTCCAACGCCTCCATCGTCGTCGTCATCTCTTCACTCTCCGACAGCAAGCAGTCTGGACCCCCATGTCCGCCGTAGCACTCGCATCGCGGACGGTCATCTCGTAACACACACCATCCGTTACCACCCCCTCGGCCAGGACAGAGACGCGACCGCACCCGCATCACCGCTGAATCAGTCTCCGAAATTCACCATCAATCCCACCAAACAATCTCACCTGGCGCTCTGAAGAGCTCCTTGCGACACAATGACTATTTCACACGTAGTGTCCACATCATTATTTTCTTTAAAATTATTTCATCCTATTCTTTGAATTCTCTAACTAGGGAACTACTCGGACTCGGGTACGCGCTTCGAGTTCAAACTTTAGGGGTTTATAGACCTAAGTGAGAACACTTGAAAACAAGTGAGGATATCTGCTAAAACCAGTAGAGAACTGAGAAAAAATTAGTAGAAAATGTGAAAATTAGGCCTGAAAATTTTCAGAATATTGTTTTTTACCTCATTTTATATTTTAATACAATCGCCTTGAATGATCCGGCTATGATAAACTCTAAAAAACTTTTTCCCGCCAAAAGAAGGAGGAAAGCAAAAATTTGATAATTTCCAAGCCTAAACGGTTCATTTTCAAAAAGCTTCTTTTCAGAAGCCTATGGGGTTTAGCAGATAATCTCTCTTGTTTCCGAGTACTCTTACCCGGGTCTATAAGCCACCAAAGTTTCAACTCGAAACGCGTACCCGAGTCCGAGTAGTTCCCTAGTTAGTATTCTCATTCATTTCTTTCAAGCTTCGAGGACGGAGCGTCTTCCGGGGCCGTATGGGATGTAATGGTAATGTTGTAAAGGATCCTATGTCTAACACCGTCCATCGCTCACTCGTCTCTCGGGAAGCTTAACTAACCTGGGCTTAAAGATCAAAAAATGGACATGGTCAACAAATCAGGATCATATTCACTGGAGCACATTTTTAGTTCCAAAAAGCTTCCTCTTTTTGAAAAAAGATTGATGTGAAGTTTAAAGAAACACAAAGGTCGTTTTTGCGTCGAAACTCTCTCTTCGTTTTTTCAAAAGGTTCTTTAAAAGACGATCAAGAAGTCAGGGAATTAATCAGCAATGTAAAATCGATTTTCAATCCCCCAAAATAAATTCAAGAACTGAATGGTATTGAAAATCCTAGGCAAAAGCTTTATAGTTAGATGTTTTCCCCTTTAAAAGCGTACATAAAAATAATGTCATCACAACGTAAGTTTAGAGAAATATAAACCGTTTGTGGAACGGATACAAAAGCTAAAAAAAAGGACGACTAAACGATAACAAAGAAGTTTATTGTGGTTCAAAACAGCAAACTATAACAAAAGGAACTGTACACTATCTAGAAACAACAAATAAAGCGCCTGAAAAGTCATCGCTTCAACAGCCGCACGAATCTGACGACGTTGACTTTCAGGGCGGGCCATATTAAAGCCAAATTCCGGCAGTACCATTCTCTGAAAATAAATGATTCCATCATTTCTTGCCCCAAAATCGAAAATTAAGGAACTAACTTATTATAGGCCATCATTGCAGGATGTCTTTCGTTGAGAAAATCCCGGTAAAACCTCGAAAGTTCGTTCGCTGAAACTGTTTCCAACGGTCCTAGCTGCGCTTTTTTCTGAAACTTCTTTTTTGATACATTCCAGGAATAAAAAAGAACCATTTCAATAAATCGACTCTTCTTGTCGTCAAACAGCGTGTTGTGACGAGTCCAAAAATCTGAGTTCCATCTGAAATTTTTTTTTTGTTGCTAAAGTAAAGTGCATAATAAAATTGAAACAATACTGAAATTCCTTTTGTTTTTTGAAGGCTTATAAAGTTTTCAAAAACCACTAAATCAAAAAATGCGATGTATAAACTGCCATATTACGTTTCCACTAAAAATTTTCCAAACTCGTACAATTCGCCTTATAAAGTTTTCTTTAAATTCTTTTTCTTTCCATCTTCTAAACTTAATTTATCAGTTTTTTTTTCATAAGTCTTAAAATTATTTTCAAAGTCTATCACGATCCATTCAATTGTTATCAGAGAAGAAAGAACGAGGAACTTGTTGAGCTGCTCTCGGGCCTCTCGATAATCTCTTTCCAAGGCCGTTTCGTTGTCCACTCTTCTCAGTCTGAATCAAAACTCCTTTTTTTTGCACGAAATGATATGAAGCTCACAAAATAGATCGAATTTTTGAGGTTCGATCTGGCGGACCGACCCAGTCAAAGCGGCGGTCTACACGAACGCGGCCCTCCATGTTTTTCTTCTCAAAGACATTTTTAAAATTAAAAAATTTCAAAAAAGGACTGTGTAAAATAAGGCAAACTTTAATGAAAAAGGTAAGCAGAGTCTTACGTAACCCTCAAAAAAAAAATAATCAAAAAGCGAAAAATAAGCTCGAAACCTGTTTTTATTCACATGAAAAACAACGACTTTTCAACAAAATCACACAAAACAAATGATAACAACGTAACAGGAAAAATCTGATTTCAGAAGTGCGATTTCCATATTTTCATTGATCGTCTGAAATCGACAAGGCAGCTCGGATCAATTGGAACATCCGATCGTACTCCGTCATGTTGTGGCTGAAAAAGTCATCTCAAAAAAGATGAAATTCGGATCATATGCATGATTTTCGATGAAAACGTACATCACAAGAAGAATCGAAGCTAAAAGTTCCTTGGTGTTGACCAAATGCTGCAAATATCCTTTCGTGTAATTCTGACAAGTGTAGCAACTGCAGTCTTCGAAAGGTTTCGTGAAATCGTCGGCGTATCTGCAGAAGCTATCTTTAATCTTTTTCTTATTCTTTTTCCACTAAACAGGTTTTTTTTCACTTGCTATCTTTGGAGCGGTGAAAAAACTTATCCAGGTAATTTTTCAACGGTTTTTTCAGGTTTGTTCTTCAAACCTCTCATTCCGAGAACTAAAAATATATCATTTCGTACTAGTGAGAAATCTTTACACAAAAAAAAACCAACTTTTCGTCCTCAAAATTCGTCAGAACAAACGATGAAGATGCGGGGTAGTCGTCAGCCAAACGAAACGCCGAATTCTACAAAAAGTTTCGAATTTTGAAGAAAATCCAACATAAACTAAACTTTTTCGGCGAGTGAGACGGCATAAGAAGAATCAAAGAGGTCCAAGCCTTGCTCAACCAAAAACTTCACCATTTTTGGATCGAAAGGCCCAGAAGTACATCGGACTTTTCCAGGCGGCAATGGGTCCTCAAAAACATTGTGAAGACGATTTTTTCCGGAAGGAAAGCTATGAAATATATTGACTTGTATTTTTACAAAAACATTGAAAATTTATTTGGAATGCCGACTTCGAAATAAAAAATGACAAAAACAGTCAACTAGGTGAAAAAAAGATGCCTCCGATCAACTGTTCTTAATTTTTTAGAAAAAAAAACGGAATATACTTTTCCTCAATATTTTTGCCCGGCTTCGTCTTGCGGAACGTTATTTTTGAGGCGAAGAAGGAATGAGAATGGTACTCACGAAGGTCTCCTCTAAAATCTTCTTGATCTCATCCAAATTAGGCTCTTCGGATCCGACGAACGCGTGCAACTCGACCGTGTACCCGGCGGCCTCCTTTCTCAGTCCAATATCGACGGAACATTTCCTCCGATAGAACGCATTGAAACCGCCACCAAGAGCAAAAATCGCAGAGCCCTAAATGCTTTTTTAAAATTTTTCAGATGAAAGGCCTAATTTCACCTTAACAACTTCGTCCTGGTCGAAGAGCTGCTGGCAGAAAACGACGGTTCTGTCGGAGACCTTGGCGAGCTTCTTGAAGGTGACGTCACGCGGCATGTCGTAGTCGACGAGGGTTTCGAAGGAGTCGCACTCGAAGGAGTTCACGAGACTCCGCAACATCCTCACGTCTATCTGAAGCTCCTTTGAGAGAACCACCAGAAAGTATCCGCTATAAATCTTCTATGAATAATGAATATTTAACGGAAAAAAAAACTGGATTCGATTAAAAATGTTGTTTGACGTAAAATTCAATTGAAATGACGTTTGGGCAGACCAAAACTGTTTTGAACAATCGCCCCGGGGCGCCACGCCCCGCTGAGTAGATAAGTCGAAATGAATTAAATTCGAAATAGGTAGAAATGATCACATAGCTCAGAGGTAGATAAATGGCGCCCCTAAGCGTTTTCAAACGTTTACATTTCTTAACCGACGTAGACCGCCATGGCCATTTCTTGATAAGTCGCTGCCCAGGGCGCCCGGGGCCAAAACCGCGAAGCTCATTTCTTCTCAGAGGCCTGATGGCTGAGGCGGGCATGTTGCGCCCGGGAGGGCCTTCTTCCACCTCTGACATAGCTTAACCCAGCTTGCTTTTATGGACTGAACTTTAAATCCGGCGTAGACGTGATCTTATCAGATCGCGTCAGCCGATCTCACGAGCTCTGCGGAGTGAGATTCATTCCAACCAGTTCAAGCTCGACAGACAACACGACAACAGCAAGTGAGTTGTCGGGGAGCATGCCTATCCAACAGAGGCAAGATCCCGATGCGAGATGAGGAGGTCTAGAAGTAGCATCCAGCTCAAACCAAACCGGAAACGTTCGGAAGTTTCCACGGTCGGGCACAGGTCGGAACTAGACAGCACCCTTGCTTAAACCATTGGAAACAGTCAATCCGAAAATTAAGCGACAGACAAGTTCCGAGGAACGTAAACACGGAGAGTCTAAAGACCAGGCATAAAGTCAAGTTCACGATGAAAAAATTTCAGAAGAATGGAAGAGATCGAACAGCCACTACTCGGCATACGAGGTTCGGATCGTTCGTCCTCGAAATCATCGCTCTCCGATGAGGAGGACGAGACCAGAGATTTATCTCTAGATGAAGCAGGCCCCCAGGTCCCAAGAGCTCTTATCCGGGGACAGAATCCCGAAGTACACAGACTTCAGGGACGCAGGTATGTCGATAGATATCTGGAACCCATCAAAACAGCGTACACAGGCATTACGATTCCGCCACCACCGCAGTCCACGCGGAGACACCGCATTCGCCTCTCGGGAGCAATCGCGGTAGAGGCAAAAGGATGGCTCGAAGGCATCTTCAAGCCGTTCGCAGAAAAAGAGGCGGCATTTAAGGCTGTAAGGGACATCATAATCGTACAGAAAGAATATGAACCTTCAGATCCCGCTTATAGCCGAGGTCACGGCTACAGCACACAAACTAGACGTCGACTTTTGGACCACGATCCACGTCGGCGAGAACATCCTTATGGGCCTCAACGAGGCGTTGACAAACGCAACTCGTACCATCTGCCGCAGATGCGCAACCTACCAGTGAAGTCGGCCGCGAACCAGTCAGAAGGCCACACGGAGGTTACGCCCAACCTTTTCGGACCGAAGATCTTGGACCTGTTCAAGACCAAGTCAGAGTTTGCATCGGCGTTGAAGGGATCCAAGAAGACCCAAGAAACCCAAGAACAGGAAGTCAGTTTCTAAATTGCTCAGACCCACAGTAGCCTCGCCAAGTAATATCGGGCAAAGAAATTGGCTCGAAAAGTGGATAATAATCAAGAACGGTCCATGGGTGTTCGAGACACTGACGGGTTAACTCGTGTTCTCTAGGCAAAGACCAGATCTCGAGCCACGCAGGGCAAGAGGAAATGTGGCGTATTTTACTTCAACAACTACGTTGTCTAGTAAAATATAACAGTATAAGTGAAAGAATCCGAGAGAAACGATTAATGAAAAAATCTATTAGTGGTAGAAAATGGAAATTCATTCGTATTATTGAGGAATTGTGGAGAAATCTTATAGCAGTGATCACGATTCGCGGGGCGGGGCGCCCTGGAGCGTTTCGGTCGCCCCGGTCTGGTCAGCTGCTCTGGGCCAGAATATTTTTCAAGGTCGTCGACCCTTCCTCCCAAAATTCCATGACTGACTCCTGATGTTGAAAATACTTTTATTTTTGCCAATACTACCTTCCTGGGATTAAAACTAATATTTATACCCTACTTTTAAATATTTTTATGACGCATTGAGTTGTTCAATTGCCCATGTATAAATGGGCAACGAAAATTTGAAAAATTAAATTCTTCCAAGCCCTTGAGAATTTTAATAAACTTTTTTTTATAATTTACACATGACCAAAACTAACCGAACATTTGCCATTCTTGGTCCAAATAGCCACCGATTTAGTTGTATTGTATCCACTAGGATAGTCCTTCAAAGGATCGTGAACCGCTAAATGTACTGCGGAACCTTTCTAAACACACATGATCAACTAATTTCAAAGTTTTCATGATTACCGGCATTCCGCAGAACTTCGGCGCTCCTTTCCCGAACTTCTTGATGACTTCCGCCATGTTCACTCTAAAAATAATGGCTTGAAAATAGGCAAAATACTTCGAGAAAAGCGAGTATAACTGAGAAACAAATGAAAAAAATAAAATGAGACGAACAGAGAAGGTAGAGTGAGCTGATAAATGGGAGTTTGGCTGAGACTGAGGCGTTTTTCGGCGACGTCCCACGTCAAGTGCGGAATGTGGCCGCCACGGAGATAGGTCATGTAGCTCGGCGTCGCGTGGCTCAGCGGCACATCGCCTGAAAAGAAACAGAAATAAAATATTCGTGCTATACTTCTCTTCTCATGTTTCCTTGATGATACTATCAGGAGCTGAATGATTCACAAAATATTAAGTTTTTGAAGAAGCACGAGGAAAATCTATTCAATTTCCAATCATTCATTCATTTCCATTCATTCCATTTCACTTCGTACGTTCTATATTTCCATAAATTCATTTTATTCCTTTTTTTCTATCGGAAAAAGAGGTTTACATGATACTGAAGAAGCTAAACTTTTTGCAAAAGCAGTTTTAAAACTTTTAGAAACAGGAAGCAAAGAAATCGATTTACCCCACTCTTCGACTTTTCCCAGACGACCGAGTTTCGTCTTCTTCTCCACCGCAAACTTGACCATTCTCCGAATCTTCCAAGAGTAATTACAGGAGCTCAACCAAAAATCAAAAAAATTTTCGACGTTTGATCAACGAATGAACTAAACTTTCGCAAAATAATCATCCCGTTTTTTTTTATCGAACATAGATAAATAACACCGTTTCTGCAGATTTACATAGAAATCAAGGATTGGAAGAAGAAGGATTAATGCTGTAATTGCGATATTCGGGCTTCAGTTCCCACATGCTCTTATGTGGTGGCGAGGTGTTGTAGACGGCGATTTCCTGTGGAATTTCAATTTTTTTTTTCTGCACAAAGTCTTTCTTAATTTGGGTTCTAGAGAAAAATGCGAGAATTCTGAATACCTGGAGAAGTTCCTTGACGTAAGAGGCGGGCTGTTGTGTGAGTTGTTGAAGATCTTGAAGCCTGCAAAGCGAAAAAAATGCGAAAAGTTTGGATAAAGTTACATCAAAAATAGAAAATGTGAATTTGAACGGCTCCAGGCTTCCGAAAAGACCTTCGAAAGCGCTTAATTAGAAAATCTTTGTTTAAATAATTAAAAGCCAAACTTTATGAATCTTGAAAAACCTGAAGCTCGGTTTCTAAGCAATATATACAAACTTTTCACTGTGTTTCCAAAAAAACTGTGATGAACGTCGAAAATAGATCACATGAAAAATAAAACCACTATATAAAGGTCTGTTCTTACAGACTCTGTCGAAGTCCCGGCCCCGACTGACAACGACAGCGACGGCGACGAAGATTCCGCGTCGCCGCTTTACGACAACGACTCATGATCTTCTTTTTTCTACCTCCATCGTTTTTTTTAAACATTTCATTTCCATTTTTCAAAAAACATTTCCATTTTAGACTTGGAAAACTTTCGCGAGAGCAAATTTAGATTTCGCCGATTATTCTGCTTTGAAAAATTTATACTACTTTCTCCTTCGAGTTTATCGAGAAAAAAAACTTTGCTTCATTGTTTTTTTTCTCCTAAAAAAAGCCCACCGATAGTATTGATGTTTCTCGAAGGCGTTGAAAATGGCTTGTCTGAGGAGATCGCGATCTGCCCGATAAGTCTTGGCGCCTTCTTTCTTCTGCTTGATCCGGACCATGTCCTCGGCGTGAGCCGAGACCGGCTTGTACTTGACGGCCGCCTTCAAACATTTCGTTTCTCTCCATTCACGAATAAAAAGACACCTTCTCGATCTGAACGACTTGTTTCTTCGGCTGGGTGCTTTTCACGATGTGCTGCAGCTTCATTCTCATGTAGCTCGTCGTGGCGGGAGGCCGACACTCGGCTTTCTTCACTATGCGACCTTCGATCGCCAAGCGGCCGGTTCTGAAACTTTCTTTTTCGATTTCAGAAGTAATTTACGCTAAAACGAACGTCAGATCCTTATAAAAATAATATGATGCGTTTAATAGAAAACATTGTTTCCCAAAAGTTTCATTAAAGCGAGTAATACAGAATATTAATTCAATTACCGATAATTTCGCAAAAAGTGCTAATTAAGCAATAGTATAAACAGCTTTAAACTTCAAGATTTTCAAAACAAAAAAAACTTTCCTTTTGAAAATTCTCTGCCAAAAAGCGCAAAAAGGCTCATTCTGTGAAAACTAACCAAAGGAAGCGCTTTTTCAATTTATAACTTTTCAGCATCCTTAGAAGGTTGCTCTCAGAAACACACAATCTGTAAAATGAAAACCTAAAGCTTCTGATCTTTATTAATAAAAATAAAAACTAGAGTGATGTTTTACTTTGTTTCTGGTTTTGCAACTTTTTTTTCTGTAGAACTATTCTTCACTTGCCTATTTCCAGAGTTTATTTTTCCAACCTAGAGAAAGAGACTCAAACCTTGAAAACTTCAGAAAAGAAGATTCAAAAAATGAGGAATCTCTCTCTCATCTACCCACCTTATCGCGGCATCCTCTTTGAGGCCAGTTTTGTCTTCAGTCAAGACGGCCATCGTCTGGTTCATGATATCGTGCAGAATGAAGGAATATTCATCGGGAATGTCGATTTTTGCGGGCGGAGCCTTCGCAGAGCCTTCAAAATCAACATGGTTTCCAGTGAAGTCAGAAAAAGACGACTTGGTCCTGGAGTATCTTCTGTTTTCTTCGGCTGAGCCAATCCCTGACCGGACTGGAACTTGACCACGTCGTTAACGATCACCAATTTGCCGACGTTGGCGCCTTTGTTGGCCTCCCAAAGTTCGGAGAGATATCGAGGCACCTCGAAATATCAACTTTTTCTCATAAATTAAGGATCAAAAGTTAATACCTTGACGAGCCAAAGTCCTCTTTTGGCCATATCCGTCTCAACGTCGTTTCCATGACGTTTTCGAGACATTTCTCTGAAAAATATCAATTTGAACAAAAAATATGATATATAGGTATTTCCAAGGGTTATGTGAACCCAAAACAAAAAATCGAGAAAAAACGTCAATTTTTAAGGCAATAAATAAATTTATGTAAAACTCTGCAGAGGAGTCATGTCACACTGAATACACGTAAAAGAAGTGGAATAGGGAATAATTTAGGATTTCTCTTTGAGAAAAGACTGAACGGCATCCAGGAACTTCTCGTCGCTCATGTTTTCCCAGCCAGGAGGAGGCGGCAACGTCATTCCTTGCATCGCCTTCGCCACTTTCTCCATTTTCTCTTAAATTTTACTGCCTTAAATGAAGAAAAAACACAATCTTACTGCAAATCCAAAGTTGAAAGTTACATTCAACATAACTCAAATTTACAGTAAAAATGAATTTTTATTACAAAATATCAACAAATTTTGATCAGATCATTTTTAAAAGTCTTCAGAAAAAAACTTTCCCCAAAACATGAAACGAAGACAAAAAAATATTTACGAGTGAACGGAACTTCGTGGATTTGTACTTTCATGCTAACTATTTTTTTCAGAAACGATTCTCAAGTTTTCAATATTTTTAATATGCAGGTTGAAATATGACCCTGACCTTTTTTTGTGGTTTTTCTAGTTTTCAATTTTTTAGTTTATAATAAAGTGAAGTAAAGAGAAAAATTGTAAACAAAAAACTATTTTTCCCACACAAAAATAGGGCTGCAAAACTTTGAAATAACTTATTAGTTAACCTGATAATTTAATCATATAGTTTTTTTAATACTCTGATATTGAACTCAGCCCTATTTCTAGAAAAAAAAACCAAGGAATCTAAAAATATCATGATCCGTAGCTCTTTCATCCTTATAGGACTTTTATAAGTACCTACCTTTTTCACTGAAGTATTTCTGGCGACGTTCTCTCCTCCAGTAGCCTTTCCCTCTCTGAACTGGCGGTGGCCTTGGTTTTGGAACGATATCTTCGGAGATACTCAAAACAACCTGGAACTGGTTATTTGTACCACCTCGTTTACATTTCGAAGCAATCTACCTTCGATTTCAGATCTTTTCTGCCCTCAGCTCTTTGGAGAGCCCATTCCTTACATCGAGTATGTTTCAGCATTGCTTCGTTCATATCTTTGCAAGCTTTGACGATACTTTTCTCAAGAAGTTTTCTCTTTACATTCGGTTCTTCCTTCTCCTCGATATCACCACTTTCTTCCACCTGATCTCCTAATTGATGATAAGTAGCATGCTGAATTTTTTTAATTCAGTGATCAATAAAATATCTTCAACTCACCTTATTTCTACCTTCTGTGTTTTCTGATGACGTGAACGACGATTCTGAACTGCTTTGTTCGGAATCACTGTCTTCGGCTGCATGAGACGGAATAGCTTTAAAAAAACATTCTGCTTGCAATAAAAAAAATCTGGAAAACCTTCAAAAACTATCTCTGTGTTTCCGCAACCATTATAATCTACGTCATAACCGACCGTCCAGCCATCTTTCAAGTACTGAGCCAAATCGTCAATATCCTTGTTTGATGGTTGTGAAGAACCTTCACTCGCACCATCCTCAGACATCTAAAACAAACAAAAAAACAACCCTTGTAACAAGTTTAAGAAAAAAACGCAGAAACAATTTTTAAAAAAAGTTTTGAAAACGAACAAAAAAATTCCATTTTTTTGTTAATGAATTTTTTTCTGCGCGTTAATGCACAGTTTGCGGCTAACTTGACGACCATTCTTCGATTCTTTTTTTCAGTCTTGAAACTTGTCATATCATATAATTTTTAGGATTTTTGCAATGGATATGCGTTTTTCACATACGTTTTTCTCTACTCTAATATGAAACTTTATTTTAGCGATTTTAAACTACTAAAATTTTCAGAATGGGAACGGAGGAGCTGGCGAAGAAACAATATTTTGCAAATGGAGATTTTGAAAAAGTTGCAGCCGACATTATCAGCAGTCCAAGACGGGTTAAACCAATAGAAGGTGATTCAATAGTAGCTAAATCAATGATTTAACAAATTTTCAGAAACACTTGATGATACACTCTTGACAATCAGCGAAAAACAACAAGAATACTACAGCAAATGCTTCAAACATTTATTAAAAACGACGCAGGTCAGTCAAAAATTAATTTTTTTTTTCAAACTCCAGTATTTAAGGGTTCCCAAGAAATGAATGGCGCGGTTTTCGGAGGCGACCAAAGAGTCGTTGAGTTTTTCAAACGCAGCGCTCTTGACTTTGCTTCTTTATCAAAGTACGTTGAGTTTTAGCGATTATTCACCCTTATTTAATTTCTTTAAGGATATGGTCTCTTTCCGATGTAAACGAAGATGGATGGCTGGATCTTGCCGAGTTTTCAATAGCCATGCATTTAGTTGTTCTGAAGGTTAAGGTATGTTGTTTACCGGTAATTTTTTTTGGTCTGATGAAAGAAAAGTTTTCTTTGGTTCAAGTTTTTTATTTTTATTTTTTCATAACTTTCCCAATCTTTGTTATACTCTACGATCAATAAAACCGTCTGAAAGAGCCACTGATTAAAAAAATAGTTGTTATATGATTTTCTGTTGCGATTCTCTCAGAAAAATTGCTTTGTGAATCTGTTATCACCTGTAATTTGTCGCTTTCCAGGGCGAAGTACCGATTCCGAACGTTCTGCCGGCAGCCGCCCGTCCACCTTACACGCCACCTAGAATTTCCTCGGGACTGCTCAGCGCCAGCCAATCGAGCCAATGCTCGGCGACCCCCTCGATTTCCAGTGAGTTCTCTCAATCGAGCCGGAAAACGGAAAATAGTTCAGGTATTTCCAAAATGAAGACGTCGCCCTCCTGGAATCCAGAGCCCTCTTCGACGATCGACGCCTTCACTTCTCCTCCCGCCATCAAACAGTTTTCCGACACTCCGCCATTACTGGTCGACAGTCGCCCCACTGCAATCAAGCATTGTTTTAGCTAGGAATACAAAAATTGTGGGAAATTTCCTTTTCAGCTGCTCTTCTTTCACTGAAAAGTCCCTCGGGACCTCCTCCAGCTCCGCCTCCGCGTCCTCAGCAACGAGGACACGCCAGAAGCGCCAGTCTCGACCTCAAACTCATTGCTCTCAATAATGGAAGGTTTGAGTTTCCGATGTCGAAATAAAAAAATTTTAAAAAAATATAAAAAAATATTTGAATGAAGAGTGGTTTAACGCTTTTCCTGAATTGGACTCTATTTCAGAAATTTTTTTGGTAAACATTTTCATCGAAATAATAAAAAGAATCTGTGTTCTTTTCCTTCAAAATGTTATCTTTTCTTATTTCCTATTCCCTTTGACCTCTCTTGTACCTGATGTTCTACGAGCGAAATTCACAACTTCTCTGCCTAAGCCACAGCTCCTGCCGCCGTTTAAACACAGTCAAATCAATGAAAGTCGATCGCACATGTACTCTTACATTGAAGATGCAATAAACAACAGTTTTGTCAATTTTTTCTCAATTTCTTTTATTCTTGTACAATGAGATTGAGACCAAATCGATTTTCTGTCATGCGATCGTTCTCATTTTTCCTAACTTTTAAACTCTCTATATCTATGCTGAAAAACATAGTAAGCTTGTTAAATTTTTTTTTGATACAGTCAGCCATCTAATTCTAATTCTTGATTTCTACGTGAAAAAAATGTCAAAGAGAGTATAGGAACTTCTCCATGTACAACTCCTACTGCTGGAAGTTTCGAAACTAAAAAATGTACATTTGAGAGTTTTATTAGCCTGAGGAACTCGTTTTTAGGGAGTATAAAAGACGAAACTTCGGAATTTCTTGGTCTCTTTGAAAACCATTTTAAGGACGTTCAAAAGAGGTTAAACTTCCAATCAAGTCGCGAGGCGGAAAGCCATTTTTTTCAGTTTCAATTTACGTTGCCAAATACTTTTTGGTATACTAGCAATGATTTTCAAGCAAACGGTTCCATTCAAAGTATTTTTGAAGGGTCTTGAACCAATCAACACTCGCTACGCCAACTGCGGCCTCTCGATCCAACATAGCGGGAGAAACTTCAGATTCCAACGGCCTTCTTTCTCCTCGATCACCAGTTCCGCCGTCTTCCAATTGTACCTAACTCGACAAGAACTTCTAATATTCAGACGGTTTCAGCGGTCGCTGAGGGGCCTCCACCAGTTCCTTTGCGGGCCTCGCCTCCCGAGAAAATATCTTCATTAATCCACGCCTCCACTCAAACCGAATCCCGAGTTTTCGACGAAGAAGACGTCCGGCGATTTATCCAAGGATTTGGTTGGTTTCTAAGCTTTTCCAGAAAAATAGGAGGCAAAGAAATCTAAGACACAAGTCCGATGGGTTCATTTCCTTTTTTGCCATTTTCGATTCGCTGAAAGTTTTTTTTATAAAAGTTAACTTTTAATAGTCTAGAGAGCGTGTGGGAAAGTTTTTGGAAAAAAAGTTTTTTTTATAGGATCTTTTTTTAAATAAAGAAAGCGAAGCTGAATGTTCATTTCTGATATCATTTTCTTGGCTTTATCATTGATTGCTTCCTTTTAAAGAAATATCTGAAGATGATTCAGGAGGCCAAATGGACGATTTATTGGGTGAAGACTTAGACGCAATAGATGGCGAAGGGCCTGATCGGTGGGGCAAAAGATGTTTAGGTACAGAATATCGCTAAAATATTTCTAATTTTTGAAAATTCAAGCTCTACGGAAGCAAAATGCGGAGATGGAAGCTGAACGGGCTCGGTTAGCGCAGGTAAAAGAATATCTTTGAAAAAATCTATGAAAAATGGAGAGAATTTTAGGTCCGTTTGCAGTTGGAAATCCGTTTGCAGGAGTTTGAAGAACGATCTAAAGCCAAATGTTAATAATTTTCTTGCATTATCCTTTTTATTTAGTCATTTAGACTCACATTTATCCGAATTTGCTCAATTTTTCTAACAAGTTTATTCAAATTGCATGACGATCTTCTTTTATGTGCAATGATTTATGTACGTTCCTGGTGAAATCGACTTGACATAATTTTTTTTGTTTTTGAAAGTGCTGTTTTCATTGACGGTGTGAGCATAATCTATAACAGATCTGTGATATTTTATGGCATGTGGTGATATTTCTAATAACGGCAAACATTTATTCATGCATTGAATAAAATTCATACATTTATATCCTGATCTCGTGTTTTTTGAAAATTTGCTAGTGAGGCTGAAAAAAACTGACTTTTTGATTTTCACTCACTTTTTATGAAGAAAAGATAATTCGGCGATTTTTTTTTCATTTTTGGTTTCTTGATTAACTAACACGTAAGATGAATTTTTGATGAAAAAAAAAATTTAACTCTTTTTTTTCGGTTTTTTTTTTGGTAATGCAAGACTACGTGCTTTCCTAGAAAGAACATTGACTGCTCGAAAAAAAAGCCGAAATGGCGATCTACAAGACGCGGTCTTTGATGACTCAACAAAAAAAACGAGAAAAAAGATCACAGATTTGCTCTAGTGTGAGAAAAAAGCGGGAAACGTCTCAAAAGGCCATTTTCTCTCGCTTTCTTTGACTTCAACCGTCGCCGCCGCCGTAGAAGACGATGATTGGGCTCCAACATTACGACAACCTGATCCGTCAGGTTGACTGCGAAACAATGTTATTTTTAATGACTCATTAATTTTCAGCTCCAAGAGCACCAAGCAAGAGTCTCATCACCCATACCAGAAGACCCGCAGCAGACTTTCATCCCCGGTTACGTCCGCGCAGCCACTCTTTCTGCGCTACATCCTCATAGTCATCATAGAGAGCACAGGTTTCACCAGTACTTGAAGATCGTTTAAAAATGAATTTTCTCAAGTTTAAAACGAGATTACAACTGGAATTTAATCGATCATCTTGAAAGACGCCTTCAAAAACTTTTTTCACATTGCCCAGATTAGCCAGTTTTGAGGCGTTATTTCCAAAAATATAGAGAGTTTTGTTTGGAACAACCACCATTCAGAAAAGTTTTCTTGTATGCAAATTTTTTTGAGAAAATGGTGCTTCCTTTAGTAATCTTATAACCACACATTTTAGAAAATTTCCTTGAAAAAAAGTTGTATCAGCTTGAAAATATTTGATCTTTGTCTTGATTTTTTTGAAAACCAAGATGTGAAAACAGTCTTACTGTTACCTTTTGATATCTGTCAGCTTGAAAATAATATTCTAATCGAGTTTTCAGACGCCGTCGACACGTCCCAACTGTTCAAAGAGACTGGCCGCCACCGGTGTACGAACAACTGAACGCGGAGGGAAGACCGGAAGAACAGCCGGTCGCTCAGGCCGAAGGAGAACGGCCTCTGTCGCCGACTCAGCTCCCTGGAGTGACCCCTCTGCCACTCTCTTTCAATTCGCGTTTCCAGGACTTCCTCACGCCCGGCAAGTACTACGCCAAGTTAGTTTCGAGCTTTTTGAATACTATTTACTATTATTACTTAGATCCTTCACGAGGTACATCGGCCCATTCGACAACATTCCGAGAGCCGCAGATTTGCCGGCGTCGGATCGATTTGTCATTTTTCAGGTGAACTTTTCTCAAAAATCTAAGAAAACAGTATAGAGAACTAAGAAAAATCATTTTGAAATAAGCTAGTTTCAACAAAGAAAAAAACGTCTTCATTAGAAATAAATTCATAGAGTCAAAGCTCAAAGCCCTAAATTTACATTTTATGATTTTTTGCGGATTTTTAGGACAGTAAGTTTATGAAAATGAGTTTAATGAAAGCGTTCCTGCGTCATCAAAAGTGAAAAAAAGCACTTTCCGATATTGAAATAATAACTTTTCAACTAGAGGAAGACTTCATGCTTCATCATCACTAGCTTGTGAAAAAAAAGAAACGTCCAATTCACTTCTTTCCGGCCACTGATCCGTTAAGCGTGTAGATAAGCTAATTTTTAACATTCTCTAGATAACTTCGAAGAAAGTACAGTTTCTGATATTTTTGATTTTTTCAGAGAATGGGGCGGCTACCTGGCAACACACGGAAAATCGTATTCAGACAGGTCGGCTCTGTCGAAACTTGAATCTTCTCGGTGCCCTAAACCCGTTACTATTTGAATATTTCTGGCCAGTACTTCAACTCATTTGTGTATGTTGATATGTCCCCACTGCTACGGGTCCTATTAATAATTAGAGATTAACTGGTTCCATCTAATAAGTTGTTTGGTCTATTTGTTTGAGAAACCGCTCCGGTTCATCTGCACCTTATATATTGCTATTCTTGCAATTCATTCCTTCCTTCACATCGTGGAAATAAAATTCTTGTCATTTTACACGTTGTTATCAAAAAAGACCTAATCAAGAGAACTCTGGAATATATAACAACGAACAGATCAACAACTGAGAAATCGAAACGGAATCACGGATGAGAAGATGGAGACGAGTTTTTGGGAAGACCCAGTAGTTCCTTCATCATCCGTCCGTATTCCCTAGTCGCTTCGGCCGATTCTTCCTGCAAGGAAGTTTTGTACCGATTTTTCTTTCAAAGAGGTATATTTACCGTGTTCCGGTAACGTTGCCACATTTTCGCGAATTTGGCAACTTTTTCATGTTCTGCGACGTCTTTTCCCTCTCCTTTCACCGCAGGATCCTAGAACATTAACAATTAATTAAAAAAAGGTTTTCATCAGATATGAGAATCGTATTAACCCCCCAGTTGTCGCCTAGAAACCTTACATGTTCGGAAACCCGAAAACGACCTTTGTTTTTGCAGTTCTGTAGAGCTAAAACGCAAACAAAAAAACTGTGTTCACGGTAGCTGTTTTTTTCAGCAGTGCTTTTTTTAACGTGACAATTTCGCGCGGAACATAAGGATGAAGAAAAATGTTCCTTTTTTTTTTTAAATGTACTTACAAGTTGTGGGACTTGAGAAATCTTGGAAAGAAGGTCGACGAGCTTTTCTTTGCTTCGAGACCCGTCGAACGAGACTTTCAGGTTGTCCAGCCGCTCTCGGCCTTTTTCCCAAGCTTCGACTTTCTGGAAATGTTCAGCACTATGAAGTTCAAGCTCAACCAGTTACATTGGCTTCGTGATAGAGAACCGTCAACAAATAATAGGCATAATCCAAATTCTGCTTTCGCGTGTGACATCTGGAAAATAATAAAAACATAAAAATGAAAATGGCTTCATTTCTTCTAGCGATTGAGTTTTTTTTTTTTGGCCTAAAAGTTCAAACCTTTGGTGAAACTTGGCTCAAATGTACTTTAAGATTTCCGAAATCACGAAAAGAAACATTTTTCACGCAACAGATCTTTTTTCGAGTCATGAAGCTGCGAACCACTCAAACAAAGTCTTTATTCGATTATTTTTGTAGTTTGCGGATTTAAAAGGCTCATAATTCGGAAAAAAAACGAATTCAGTCACACAAAAGTATGAAAAAGAAACTTCGCTCACATCAAATTTTTTTTTTCTTATTGCATAATCTGTCTATTCGAAATTACACGAAATTACACAAATTTCAATTGAGGAATTTCATAAAAGACGAGATCTTCTTCAGTTTTTTTTTTCGGTCATTAAACACAGCCTTTTATGTATTTTGAAAGAAAAGTGAACATATATCAAGGAAAAAAAGTTTTTAAACGTACGTACGAAAACTCTAAATTGAATTTTCACCCAAAAATTCCTTAGAAGTGAAGTTCATTTATTTCGGTTTACGCATTTTTTTTCCGTTTCAACGAATATTTGAGCGAAAAGGGAAAAAAATTCAATTACTCAGGTTCAAGAAAATGGCTACCTGTCGGTGATAATAGTCAAAATATTAGAGCTCTCGTCGAAGCGAGTTCCAGCCAGACGAATCAACTTTTCCTTGGCTTTTTCCTTCAGATTCAAAGCGCCGACGTCAATCTGAAACCACGCACAAGATAAGTGTTGAAATAAGGACTCTTACCTTGAAAGTGACAACTCTAGATCGCATATCCCTAATATTCGTGCCCTGATGAACGTAAGTGCTGTAGGAAACAGAAACAGGTAGTTCCGAGTCTACTAACTTTGCGTCATCTAGCAGTTCTTGTGGATAAGGAGTGCAGAACTCTGAAAACCTTATTTTGAAAAAAAAAACCTTTTTTTTAAACTTTGTAAAGCTTTGCAGTGCTTCTCAATGGCCGCTGGCGTCAAATGAAGGAAATTGGGAATTTTAACCAGTTCAAGATTTCCCTGAAAGAAATTTAATATTTTTATTGTATTCAAGTAGGGTAAATTTCACTTCTTTTTTGAAAGGAGCTCTTTTTTCGACGTTTGGTCTGGAGCCCATCCGAACAGGTAGCGGAACGACACTAGCGCTGAAAGATCGCGCCGCTGGCCACACGTTTGTCCAGTCCTTCAAAACCATTTATTGACTTCATTCGAACAGTAAATTGCATTTCAGAATAACGTTTCTGTTTGTTCCTCACCTGTTCAGGATTCATTTCTTCGCTTCTCGGCCTCCGAGCAGCCAGCCGGTCGTTCAAATCATTCCTACTTCTTTGCTTTATTTCAGCACGACCCGTAGACTGTTCCAATTGTAGCTGACCTCGCAATTTTCTTTTTGGCATCACAAACAATTCCCGAAAATCTTCTCCCTGAATATTTTGCGACTAACTCGGAGAGAAAGAAATAATTTACCTGTTCATCTTTAACTGCAATAGTCCCAACGACGCCCTTCTTCTTGCCTTCAGCCCCGCCAGTGACAGCTTGTCGCAATTTATCGGCTAAACTATACCCTTGACGTACCGAGGTTGTCCGATACATCTGAAATTTTGGTTTGTGCACAACTCCATCATGAAAGAAAACTCCCTAGAGAAAGTTTTATAAAAGCCTTTCACCGAAATAAATTGTCGTTTAATATATATGAGAGAAAAAACCGCAAAAAAATTATTATAAAAACTAATTAGATTGCGAAAAAAATGAGAGTTAAGTTTTAAAGCAATGCTAATTATGAAAAATTTGCGCGTGTCGAATGTTTCTAGTGTAATCAGCGACGCGCAAAAAAATTCATTAAAAAAATTGGAAAAAACTTTTTCGTGCATCTTCGAAGTAATTTTTCAAATCAATGAGAAATAAGAAGTGTTGTGTAAGCTGTTCAGGAAAAAAATACGTTGGATTTTCATCAAAAATTATAATTTTTTTTCGTTTTCTCTATATCCGCAAATCTCAGAAAAAGAATTGTCTTTACTTTCCAGCTTTCTGGTAAAAAAAAAAGCCAAAAAGCTTTTCCATATATCTACCTGTGTTTTTTGAAAAGTGATTTGAGCAAAATCACCATTAGAGGGAGCCAATAATCTTTCGAGATGTATAAGTTCTCGAATATATTAAAATTTAGTATGTAACAGTGTCCTTGTACGCGAAAAACGAAGCAAAATCGATGCAAATAACAATTTATTCGTTGATAAATAGTTCCACGTGGTCAGAGGAGACCTATAATACAAACAAAGAGGAATCTTAATCCAAAATCAAAGTTGCTTCGAGCAAGTAAGACAGCAGAAGTCTCCGTATCGTTTTCTGCCGCAAAGGCCATTGCGGACGATCAAAGAGCACGTCGCAGTGCTTCCGCGGTCGACGCAGGGCGGCTTTGTCGGCTCTGGGAGTTATAGGGTATTTTATTACTTGGTATCTTCGGTCTAACCTCTTTTCACGACTTCAACAAAGATTTCCTCGCTTTTTCCACCTCCAAGATCTGAGGAGCAGGAGTATGATCCAGAGTCGGAGAGGTCGGCTTTGGAAATGACGAGAGTTGAAGGATCTTCCTCTTTCTACAACGAGAAAAGAATATCTTCATACGAAAGTAGTAAAATTCACCGTGATCCTCAAGTCAAACTGCAACAAGTTGCCATCCTTGTACCAAATCTTCTCGCTTTCACTAGTCACGCAGCGGATTCGGATCTAAATTGGCTTGAACTTCATCCGTTTCCTAACAAGATAAACTTCTTCGCCAGCTTCGAAAGGCCCACGGGAGTCCATTTTAATAGTTGGAACAGTTGAAACAGAAATAATTCTTTGAACGGATCCACAAGCCATCAGACAATCGTGAACGGTGTCAAATCTTCAAATCTTTTTTTCCTTATCAATTTTATATAAGGATTAAAAGAAAATTAATAAAGTCTGTTTCTCCATGGAGCGCACAATGAAACCATGTCACGGCTTTATGCTCATGGTAGATCTCTTGGCCAATTTTCTTTGAAGGAAAACCTGTTCAAATTTCCTTCGCAGCCACTGTAGGAGAACTCTTTGCAGGTACCAGAGCTGGGGTCGAAGAAATACTTCGGAATCGTGAGGCCGCACGGTCCAGACTCGAAGGGGAGATTGCAAACCTCTCAAAAAATTTCATAGAGAAAGTCAGGCTTTTTTCACATTTACATATTTATTAAGTTTTCAGAGAAGATACTCTGCTGAATCGTGGAACATTTTTTTGATTTTGGGATATTTTTGCCTATTTTCGAACCTTTCAAAGCTCTCTTTTTCAGGAGGGCGGTCCTAATACCCGCAGATTTCGGAAAAAAAGACCAGAAATGCCTTCATCCTTTTGGTAGAAAAAACTCGCCTTCCTTGTCGACCATTTTCATCTCTTGCATTTTTGGCGCACACGACTTTTGGCACTGATTTTTCGACACAAACCTTCAAATAAAAATTCTAACAGATAAAACGGTTGAAAGTTGAACCTGTTGCCATTTCCTCGACATCCGCCATAGGTGAACTGCTTGCACTCGTTCTGAGAGCTGTCGAAGTACCACATCGAGATCGAGTCCATGCAGGGACCGGAAGATCGGGGAAGCTCACTGAACAAATGTTTTTTCGTCCTCATGGAATTCGAAATAACCAGAAGTTCTCGCTGTTCCAAGAGCTCTCCTCCGTGCAAAGCGATTCGCAGTCGGATTTCGCCGAGAATCTAGAAAATTATGACTTTTCGGTTTTTTCTTCTGAGTTTTTTCCACTGACCTATTCCCGTTTCCTGCACATCCGCCCCACATCATCATCTTACATTGTGCCGATTTCGGTTCGTAGTACCATCTTTAAATACAATTTCGAGTTATTTTTCAAAACAAATGGTAAGATTTTGAGACTTTGTGATCCCCATGTCGCAGGTTCCTTCATCTTTTGGTTGGTCGCAGATTTTAACGTCTCTGAAACGTCCGCAAGACCGTTCACAGAACTCCTAGAAGAGCATACTTGCATTAGAAAAAGAAAGAAAGAAAAAATCACCTCACTAGTGAAGTGATTCGCGTTTGCATTGCATCCGCTGTACATAAACGACACACAATTACCGTTCTCCGAGTTGTATCTTGAAAAATATATTCCTTCTATAGAAATTTTTTTTTAAATACAAACGAAGTCCATGGTAAGGAAATCATACCAACACAAGAAAATTGCAGAAGGAGAAGAGAAAAAGATTCAGAAAAGTTAGAAAATATCAAAAACAGGTGTATACAGGCGCAAATGTTTAAAAGAAATGTAACGCAGACTTTTTTTCTTATAATAAAATCTATGAAAGTAAAAAAACGCTAATGCGCTTCAGTTCATTCTTTTTTGTTTCGAACTGCACTTTCAAAAACGTTTGTAGCTGAATTTTCATGGATCTTTTTTTTTCATACCTCCACCGTAGAATCTCTCCGTAGCAAGATCCTCTCTCCTCGGGAAGGAGACAAAGTTCCGGGAGAGCCGAGCTTGAAGTATCCATCAGCACGTATTCTTTCTATACAATACCAAGCTCGAAAATTTCTCGCCTTGACTTTTCTGACCCCATCTTCTCCATCTTCGCTGTTATCCCTATCATCGTGAACTGTCAGAACCTGTTCATTAGCGTCAAGTCCGTTCACGTCATCTTTCAGCATCACCAAATTCTAAAGAAACATTTTTCTAAAGTTTTCAGGAGAGTTAAGCTGACTTGGTGCTTAGAGCACGCCGTGTTGCAATCCTGAATTGTGCTGAATCGGTTAGAATTTCCCCCGCAGCCTCCATAGGAGAAACTTTCGCAACTACCAATTGTAGGAGAGTAGTAGAACATCTTGGTGAATTTGCTTCAAACAATTATTTACGGGTTTAGAAAGTTTGATGTAATTTTTATTTTTAAAAGGTTGACAGCAGAACTTTATATCCCTAATACCTTTTCAGAAGCAAACTTCCCTACACTGAAAATTTCGGAGAAATTCCATATGACGGCTTTTTCTTCAAAAAAAAAATTTTTGACATTCATAAAACTATAATATTCTCGTAAACTAACAGCAAAACGCTCAAATCTCCAAAATACTTTTTCAGAGTTACATGATCGAAACATTTTTTTGAAAATGATACTCGGGTCTTCAAAGTGTCCCGCACTAACCGATCTCCTCATAAAAGTCCTTAAAATTTAATTTCCTTGAAATTATCAGGAATTTCTCCTATAACCTGTTATCAATGCTTTCCCTCTACCTAGGAAGAAAGGCTTAAAATAAATTAATTTCCAAGAAGCGCTTTATCTTTAACTTTTCTTGTGACGTTAAAGAGTGAAAATCAAGATCATGCAAAAATCAGAGCAGAAAACACTAACCGGCATTCGCCGGAGTCGGCGGGAGCGTGGCAGTCCACCTGATTTTCTTTTTTTTCTTCTTCTTCTTCAGAGCTTCGAGGCTCGTCGTGCTGCACGTCGTTGTGTTTGGGCGACCTCAAGGCAATCTGGTAGAGCTCCGTCGGCGCCTCTGAAACACACAACACTCCACACTTCAAATCACACTTTCAGAGATTTAGTTTTAAAAAGAGTTGTTGCACGAAAGATCACGGATCTTTTGAAACTTAGAACTTCTAACTGAAAACTTCTAATAAACTTTTAGAAAATGAAGAAGCTAATACAGTATAGAAAATAGAAAGAATTCTCAAAACTTTTTAAAACAGTTTTTCTTTTTTCATAATTTTTGCTGATTGAGGGCGTGGCCTGCCAATTATAAGGCTGGGACTATGAAAAGTGAATGAAACTTTGGAAAACTTGTTCTTTTTTTCGCTACTGATGGAAAAGCGGAATCAAGTTAATCGAATCAATCCAAAGCACACAATATGAGAAACACAGCACAATATGAAACATATTAGTGAGATTATTGGAACATGCACGAAGAAAGGGCCAGACGTTAACAAATCAAGTTCATTTCCATGTGATTATCAAAAAATGAATTCAATTTATTGGGTGGATTGCAACACTTGTCAAGACAATAAATGAAAAATGCAAATAATTGAAATAAAATGCGGGAAAGAGAAGCGGAACGGCAGTTCAGTAATAATTGAGAACCATTTGCGGGGAAAGATTTCTCAGAATGGAAACAAGAAGGGTACAGAAGAAAAGAGAATGGGAAAACTCGTTACTTTCACTTCAAAATGCTGGCTCAAAACAACGGAAATAAGGATTTTGGAGAGAACGAAGAGTAAAAAGAGAAGAAAATGGGTATAATGAAGAACAACAATGGTAAGAAGATCAGTGGGGTGAAAAGGGAAGTTTTTTGGGAATTCATTGACTGAGCCTTTCTCTTACTGGCCGGCACCGGAAAGCGAAAAGACGCTCACGGTTAAAAGACTACTTCAACGGAATACCCAGGAAGCCTCCTTTTTCAGAAGCAAGAAAAAGCGTGGAAAGAGGAGAAGGATTGCTTGAGGGATCACTTACGTGGCTGACACCTTTGCTGGCACTCCTCTACAGTGTTGAATCGGTTGGTGTTACCGAGGCAGCCGCCGTAGACGAACGTCTCGCATGCCTGCGAGGCTGCGTTGAAGTAGTAGTAAGTGTGTTTTCCGGAGCAAGGTCCCTGCACCTTTGGCAGAGTGCAGGCGTCTCAAAACATGAATTTGAGTAACGAATTGAATCAAGTTAGAATGGAATTCAAAAAAAATTTAATGGCCAGCCGTTTGGGTTCTTGAAAATTCACGGTATATAGGACTCATGGTCGGAACTTTCCCTCTTGCTTCGACTCAGAAAAAAAATATATTTACGGACTACACCTAGGCTCAATAAATTAGGCGAGAGAAGTGAAGAAAATGTGTGTTGGGGTAATTAACTTCGTAATCTTATTTTCGACTGATCTTTTTTGGCAAGAAACGAGCAAAATCTTTGTTTCTATCCCGTCTCTCACCTTTATGGTTGGCACAGGACGCCTTGCACTGCTGCTCATTGTCGAAACGATTGTTGGTTCCTTTGCAGCCACCGTAGTGGAATCGGTTGCAGGTTCCGTCAGTCTGAGAAATCCTTTTCGACTTGAACAAGATGAATTGCGCTCACCTTGTTGTAATACCACTTGGTCACAAACTCCAAGCACGGTCCGGTGTCCTTGGCTTCGTCACAAACCGAGTTTGTGCCAGCGGCTCCGTCTGAAATAATTGAGCGTGTGCACAGCAACTTATTCAGGACCTTATTTGAGAAGAAAAAGTTTGGATGGAATTCTAAAATTCTAATTCGAGATCAAAAGGGTTTTCCATAAGAAAAAATTTGCGACCGACTATTCTTTGTCGGTTTATTACCTGAATTCCCATGTTTGATTCATGATCCTGAAAAATCCAAGCTCGCCTCTATGAAGTGGGAAAGCGAAAATTGCAATGTGTAGTTCAAATTAACACAAGTTCTCCGAGATTTTCGATTAACCGTTGGTACAAAAATTTCAACTTTGTTCCTGAGAGCTCTTCTTGCTATCATAGATAGTGAACAACCTCTTGAATATTTAAAACCAGGTTTTATTAGGCTCCTCCCACTTTCAGGCTTACTGTAGAAAAAACACCGTAAAAACCAAACTTTTTTCCTAGTGGATCAAATTGGTCCAAACAAATTTTAAAACAAAATATGTTCTCATTTAAACATTTATAGTTCTAGAACTGACCCGGGAAAAATTTTCATCCAGAAGAAAAAAATTAAAGTTTTTTGAAAAATGACGATTTTCGCAGTCTTTGAGTCATAACTAGTACTAGAACCCCCGAATGCCTGGATTTTTATTTTTTCAATCGACGCATTAGGGTCTTGTGAGTAGAGGAAAAATGTCTAGAAACTCTGAATCCGGGTGATCCAGTTGACCTCCATGTCGGAGAACGCGGCCAACTTGAAAATCGCAAAACCTTTGAAAATTTCTATTTTTTGTGAAAGCCGGATTCCGTCTTGTTTCTTATTCTTGTTCAACATAACACAGCTCGCTGCAAAATTACAGCTCAAAAGTAGCGAGCTGGAGCCCTTTGAAAAAAAATTTCTGACGTTTTTCTAATTTTTCGTTTTTTCGGCATTTTCAAACTTTTCGCTCTAACTAGTACTAGAACCCCCGAATGCCTGGATTTTTATTTCTTTAATCGACGCATTAGGGTCTTGTGAGTAGAGAAAAAATGTCTAGAAACTCTGAATCCGGGTGATCCAGTTGACCTCCATCTCGGAGAACGCGGCCAACTTGAAAAATGACTAAATTTTTTTTAAAAAAATCAGTTAATTTCTTGGGAGCAGGATTTTCTCTCAATTATTTTTTTGCCAATCAGACACAATCCACTCAACACAAAAATCGGAACAAAAAGTTATGACTCTCAAGCATGAGGAAATTTTTTTCTTCTAATTTTTTTCACTTTTTTTCGGATTCATTTTTCTGTCCTTCCCAAGTATTGAGCTCTACTGGATTAGAATACCAGGGATGCTTAGAGATTTTTCGTTGTACTGATTCGTTACATCTTCCCAAGTTCTTTAAAAATATTCCCAAGTTCTGTTTCCGGGTTATCCAGTTGACCTCCAAGCAACCGAAGCGGTCGACCTCGAAATCGGGCGAAATTAAAAAAATTTTCCAAACCATATTTTTTACTTCCTAACCAGTAGTCCTCATTATCTGGAGGGTTTTCAGTGGAGTTTCGAAATTTTGTAATAGGAAAAAATTCAAAAAAACGCGTTTTTACTCGAGTAAATTTGTTCACAAGGAAAGGCATTTTACTTTGTAACCACATATTTCTCAGAAAGTTTGCCAGAATACTCATCGATGTACCATAAAAATATCCGGAAAGTTTTAACCTGAACAACTTTCTAGTTTTCAAAAAATGAGAACTCAGGATCGAAAAATGGCTTATTTTTGAAGACTAGGATTGTTTTATTCAGCGTTCAGAATTTTTTCTCGAAAACTAATAAGTTGTTCAGGTTAATTTTCTTGCAGGATCTCCATCTGGTACATTAAGGAGTATCCTGGCTGACTTACAGGAATTTCTCAACCACAAGTGAAATCAACTTCCTTGTAAAAAAAAAATAACTTGCCTCTTATGAGAATGAAGTTTAGACGCAGAAATCTTATTGTAATGAAATAACTTACCAGGGAACGTTTTTTATCCCCCGGTTGAACTTTTGCTGAAACTTTACTGAAGTGTACTTTAGGACCCCCTGATTGCAGATCAAGAAAAAAATTTCTTGCAATAGATCTTGTTTCCGAGTTATGGAGCTTCGATGTCCTCAAAATACGCAAATTATGACAAAAAAGCGCTATTTCGGGTTTTTGAAGTGTCCTAACTGGAAAACGGGATCTATTGCGAGAAATTTTCTTCTTGTTCTGGGATCGGGAAGTCCTAAAGTACAGTTCAGCAAAGTTTCAGCAAAAGTTCAAGGGGGGAGGGGTTATTTTTTTATTTTGATTATTTTCGGTTGAAATAGTTTTTTTTCTTTTTCTGTATGAGAAAAATTTGTTCAACCTCGAAAAATAGGAAAAACTTGAACATTTTTTTTCCGTGCGAAATCCAAAAAAATGATTCATCTTGAAAAAAACTCAAAAGAAAAAGCCAAACAATTGGTATCGACAAACAAGATTCTTACTTTTTCACGAAATAGTAATCACTATTTTTTTCGTAAGTAGTGGCTTTACGTAAGTTAGAACTTTTTTTAGGCGAAATACCAGGGAATTTCAGGTTATTCGACAAACAGGGGTATTGCTGGAGCTGCGTCCCAAAAAAATTCTGACAAAAAAATAAAAAAATAAGTTAAGAATAAATTCCCTGGTATTTCGCCTAAAAAAAGTTCTAACTTACGTAAAGCCACTACTTACGAAAAATAGTGATTACTATTTCGTGAAAAAGTAAGAATCTTGTTTGTCGATACCAATTGTTTGGCTTTTCTTTTGAGTTTTTCAAGATGAATCATTTTTTTGGATTTCGCACGGAAAAAAATGTTCAAGTTTTCCTATTTTCGAGGTTGAACAAATTTTCTCATACAGAAAAAAAGAAAAAAACTATTTCAACCGAAAATAATCAAAAATAAAAATAACCCCTCCCCCTTTGAACTTTTGCTGAAACTTTGCTGAACTGTACTTTAGGACTTCCCGATCCCAGAACAAGAAGAAAATTTCTCGCAATAGATCCCGTTTTCCAGTTAGGACACTTCAAAAACTCGAAATAGCGCTTTTTTGTCATAATTTGCGTATTTTGAGGACATCGAAGCTCCATAACTCGGAAACAAGATCTATTGCAAGAAATTTTTTTCTTGATCTGCAATCAGGGGGTCCTAAAGTACACTTCAGTAAAGTTTCAGCAAAAAGTTCAACTGGGGATAAAAAAACGTTCCCTGGTAAGTTATTTCATTACAATAAGATTTCTGCGTCTAAACTTCATTCTCATAAGAGGCAAGTTATTTTTTTTTTACAAGGAAGTTGATTTCACTTGTGGTTGAGAAATTCCTGTAAGTCAGCCAGGATACTCCTTAATGTACCAGATGGAGATCCTGCAAGAAAATTAACCTGAACAACTTATTAGTTTTCGAAAAAAAATTCTGAACGCTGAATAAAACAATCCTAGTCTTCAAAAAAATAAGCCATTTTTTTCGATCCTGAGTTCTCATTTTTTTGAAAAACTAGAAAGTTGTTCAGGTTAAAACTTTCCGGATATTTTTTTATGGTACATCGATGAGTATTCTGGCAAACTTTCTGAGAAATATGTGGTTACAAAAGTAAAAATGCCTTTCCTTGTGAACAAATTTACTCGAGTAAAAAAACGCGTTTTTGAATTTTTTTCCTATTACAAAAATTTCGAAACTCCACTGAAAAACCCTCCAGATAATGAGGACTACTGGTTAGGAAGTAAAAAAATGGTTTGGAAAATTTTTTTAATTTCGCCCGATTTCGAGGTCGACCGCTTCGGTTGCTTGGAGGTCAACTGGATAACCCGGAAACAGAACTTGGGAATATTTTTAAAGAACTTGGGAAGATGTAACGAATCAGTACAACGAAAAATCTCTAAGCATCCCTGGTATTCTAATCCAGTAGAGCTCAATACTTGGGAAGGACAGAAAAAAAAATGAATCCGAAAAAGTGAAAAATTAGAAGAAAAAAAATTTCCTCATGCTTGAGAGTCATAACTTTTTGTTCCGATTTTGTGTTGAGTGGATTGTGTCTGATTGGCAAAAATAATTGAGAGAAAATCCTGCTCCCAAGAAATTAACTGATTTTTAAAAATTTAGTCATTTTCAAGTTGGCCGCGTTCTCCGAGATGGAGGTCAACTGGATCACCCGGATTCAGAGTTTCTAGACATTTTTTCTCTACTCACAAGACCCTAATGCGTCGATTGAAAAAAATAAAAAAATCCAGGCATTCGGGGGTTCTAGTACTAGTTATGACTCAAAGACTGCGAAAATCGTCATTTTTTTCAAAAAAACTTTAATTTTTCTTCTGGATGAAAATTTTTTTCCCGGGTCAGTTCTAGAACTATAAATGTTTAAATGAGAACATATTTTGTTTTAAAAATTTGTTTGGACCAATTTGATCCACTAGGAAAAAAAGTTTGGTTTTTTTACGGTGTTTTTTTCTACAGTAAGCCTGAAAGTGGGAGGAGCCTAATAAAACCTGGTTTTAAATATTCAAGAGGTTGTTCACTATCTATGATAGCAAGAAGAGCTCTCAGGAACAAAGTTGAAATTTTTGTACCAAAATTTTTTGCATTTGTTCGATTTTCTGGGAGAACGCGTGTTAAACACTTCCATTAAAAGGTTTTGTTCTTTGAGTTTCGAAGCGAAATTCGCTCAATTCATGCTTCTATTTTATTTCGGTAACAAATCCTTCGATTTTTCAATGAATCAGTCTCAAGTTGATACTGATCGAATCGCATTTAGAATAGCTTATGACCTGTTTTCTGTTTTTTTTTTCGTTGCTGAATTAAATTCTCAACGTTTACTAATAGTTTTGAGCCATGTTAAATTTAAAATCTATTTGATCTCAATAAAGTTCAAACTGCATTCAAAGTGACCTTTTTCTGTCTTTTGCTTACTTTGGCTATGAACCACTTCAAAAATGTATTTCTCTTGTTTTTCCTACATAACGGTGAGAAGAGCAGTTTTCAAGTTGCAACAAAGGAGAAATGCCACACTCTCTCGATCTGACTATTATACTTGAACGGGATCTCCTAACTCTTGCCAAGAACCCATCCAAAAGACAACACACTTCAGGGACAGACCTGAGGCGGCCTGTTCGGCTGCGCTATGGACACAGAGGTCCTCGCACTGGTCGCGGGTCGGGAATCGGTTGGCGTTTCCGCCGCAGCCGGTGTACTTGAAGGAAACGCAGGTGCCGGTGGCGACCTCGTAGTACCAGGAGTCGAAGGCTCCCTTGCAGCGGCCCTTGTCCACGGCCAGATGACACGCCTCGCGGTTCTTTCCAGAAGCTGAAATCCTCGCTCACAACACTGCCATTCCGAAGGTGTCGACAAAAGGAAGAAAAACTTCTGGACACCATAACAAAGGGATTCTGTGCACAAACATTTTACCAGTAAAACGACTGGAAAGAGGAATTTGAAACGTGAGATGGAGTTAAGATAAGTATTGCTACAGAAAGCTTCTTCAGGCCTTTCCAATAAAGCGGAAAATGGCGTGATCTACCGGTATTTTCAAAAAACGTTTTTTTGATGATCCTTTTCAACAACAAAGAATGGAAAAAAACGCCTCGAAAGGTAAATGTCGACCACAAGTCTAGCGCCTTTGAAAACCGTATCAGAAAATTTCAGACTTACTAAACTACGCAACTTTGTAGCAGAATGGAAGAAAAGATAAATCCTAAAACTAATTGTTTTGAAAATTTTCAGTCTTCACCGTTGTTTATAATAAAATTTTCTATTTTCCTTTTTCCAAAAAAGATAAATAATTTCAGAAATACGCACAAGGAGAAGCCGGAGCTGGAGCGACTTGTTGAGTCTGAGGGACCTCGGGAGCTGGAGCAGGTTGTCCGGCCGACGGAATCGAAACGGCTTGCTGCTGGGACGCTACAAAAATCCTTCGTTTCTCTTTCAAAAGCTCGAGATCCCACGTTGCTGTCCATTGAGGAAACTACAGCGCTGTTCGCACTCCTCCTTGGTTCTGAATCGGTTCAGATTTCCGCCACATCCCCCATACACGAAGGTCTCGCATTGGCCTGTAATAACACAGTCAATGAAGAGAATGAGAAGATTGCGAACGAGAATAAGCGTTGTAGAACCACTGGTCGGAGTATTGTTCACACGGTCCGGCGTCCTGAGGCGAGCGGCAGACTTGCTCCATCGTTGCTGAATCATTCACTCTTTATTCTGAGCTTTTCCATTTTTTTTTAAAAATTTTCATCCTCTTAAAATAGAAATGAGAGTTGATTAGCAAACTTTAATAGACTCTACCTAAATAAAGCCAATCCAGTCTGTATTAAACAGTGCAAATAATGATCATTTCATCCAATTGTTCGCCTTTTTCAATATGTTTTCTAATGTTTGGTTTAAAATCATTCGATAGAAAACTGACGAGCTGGGGGTCGTTCCTGCAGTTGTTGAGGTTGTTGTTGTTGTTCAGGCTGTGGCTGAGGTTGTTGCTGAGGAGCTTGAGGCTCGATTTCGAACTGAAAATGGTGAGAAATTATTCATTTGTGATGGAAAGTAAGAAGAAAGGTCTCAGTTTTTCGGAATAAATATTGAAGAAAATGAGTCAATTTTTTTGTTTGGCTTATTTGCTCTACGGAGAGCAGCGATCAAGCTTGACGAAAAACTGAGATTTTGAAGCATTTTCCAGACGAATTCCAAAAAGCCACCTCAGAGGTGAGCGGATATTCAGGCCGGTACTGCTGCTGCTGCTGTGGAGGAGGAGCCGGAGTCGTGGGCTGATCGTAGGGTCCGACGTTCTTGCAAGTGGTCTGAAATGGAAAAAAGGTCTTCTTATGGCCATCATATCGTTTCGACTGACGCTGCACTCCTCCCAAGAAGCGAAGTTGTTGGCGTTTCCGAGACATCCGCGCCACCAGAAGGCGGCGCACTGCTTCGTCGTGTAGTCGTACCAATAGCGAGCCTGCGGCTGGTCGCATCGGAGCGGGCCTTCCACCTTCGGCAGGTAGCATCGGCCGGTGCCAGGCGGCTCCACGCAGATCGTCTCGCACATTTCCTTCGTCGTGAATCGGTTTTCGTTGCCGTCGCAGCCGCCGTACCAGAACTGGCTGCACCTTCCTTCCGCCGTGTCGTAGTACCAAACCTGGAAAAGACGGAGGCTTCGAGAGAATCAGAGTGGCTTTTTCAAATTGTTTCTTCAAAGCAGCTAAGCATTTTTCTAGCCGTTTCTTTAGCGAACTTATTATTTTTGAGACGACTTCTTTTTTGTAACTTTTTCGAGTGAAAATTTCAACGTTCATTCCACTGTTTAATGGAGAAACATGATGAAATTCAATATAAAGATGATTTTTAGAGTATCGTACTCTTTTCAAACTTACCAATTTGTAGCCAGAGCTGCAGACGGTTCCGATGTCCTGAGGCTGGCTGCAGGAGACGATCTTCGGAGGCGCGACGGTGCCTCCGAGCAGGAATGGAGCCAGGGTCGTTGAGGGACATCCGGCGTAGTCCGGTCCCAGGGCCTTGGTCTCGCCGTCGGGACAGCACTGATATCTGTCAAAATTGTTCTTTGAGTTGGATCCTTCTTGGTTTCACTTTTTCTTGCAAACTTTTTGTGGAAATTTTCTTTTGTCAATGTAATTGTGAACTATCAAAACTATGAAAACTTCGGGGATACGTGATGAAATGGGGTGCTCATGAGTGTTGAACCGAAGATTTAAAAAAAATTTCCGTTTTTGATTTTACTGTTGATTGACTAATGTTCAATAAAATTCTATCTTTTTTTTTTTTACTTTTTTCTATGGTTGATTTTGAGGAGGCTCATGAAAATGAAAAACACAGCTGGGGAATCGAGGACTATCTTCTCCATTTAAAAGAATACGATATTTTCTAGCTTCGCTAGCAAAAAAATTCAATTTGTGAGATCCTTTTTCTCAACCTTTGGGCTAAAACGGGGGATCTCAAACGTACTTTGCGTATCTGCAATCATCGCAGCCGTCGTTCCTCGGTCCCAAGGCGGTCGTCTCCCCGTCGGGACAGCATCCATAGCGCGTGTACTGGCAGGGACATCCTTCCTTGTGTTCGCCGCGAGCGCGCGTCTTTCCGTCGGGACAGCATCCGTACTGGCCTGAAACACAGTGTTTGCTGCTTTTCCAGGCTCTTCGACTCACTCTGAGCGCAGCTTTCAGGGCATCCGTAGAACCCGGCGCCCTTGGCCGGAGTCTTTCCATCCGGACAGCATCCGTACTGAGCGAATTCGCAGCCGCATCCTTCGTTGTGGTGTCCCTTGGCGGTAGTCTTCCCGTCAGGACAGCAGCCGAACTTGGTCGTCAGACAGTTCTCTCCACATCCAGTACCGTTCCTGCCAAGAGCGGCGGTCTCGCCGTCTGGGCAGCAGCCGAACTCGGAAAGTTCGCAAGGGAACGAAGATCTGAAGTTTTTAGGAATTCAAATGTCTGGAGGAGATTCTAACCGTTCACAACCGGCGTAGTGAGGTCCGAAGGCGATGGTTTTGCGATCTTTGCAGCAACCAAAGAGCGAAGCGGCGCAGGAAGGCTCTCCGCATCCTTCGAGGTTGGGTCCACGCGCCAGAGTGACGTCATCGTGGCAGCATCCGTATTTGGTCTCGTTACAAGCTCCTGCAAGGCAAGGAATGATATCTCAAGCTATGGTAGTCGAAGGCTTTTATAATCTGTTCTGAACTTTTCTTCTGCGAACGGCTAAAAACTTGTTTCGATTTTTTTTTTTCTACAACTTCCTTTTTTTGATTCTTCTGAAAACTATTCTCTGTGAGTAAATAAAACTTTTTTTCTTTCTAAAGACTTTTCGAAAATCTATGCTTTGTAAATTGATGGAAAAAAGTTTTATTTGTTGGAGGTCTTCCCGAAGCCGCATTTTGCAGTACTGTTGAATATTCAGAACTCCTCACCGAGCTCAAACTCAGGACATCCCTCCTTGTTCTTGCCCTCTGCCGGCGTGTACCAGTCAGGACAGCATCCGAACTCCGTCTTGGAGCAGTGGACGGTTCCGTTTGCGTCGGTGCCGTTTCCGAAGAGATCTCCTTCGAGAAGGGTCGCGTTGCCCTGCATAATGGCGCACTCGACGGAGGCCTCCTCGCCGTCGCCGCTGGTCACGTTGCAGAGGATGGCAGAGGAAGAGGTCGCCTCGGTGGTCGCAGCTTCTCCGGAGCCTTCGGCGTCGAGGAGAAGGGAGAGCGGAGTCTCGGAGAATTCGTCGCATCCGAGTCCGTTGGGTCCAGCGGCGGTCGTGTAGTTGTCTGCGCAGCAGCCGAATTCGGAGAGGGTGCAGTTGGAGCAGCCCTGAAGGCAGTTGATACTTCATTTAGTATTACTATTTCCAATGAATTGTCAAAAGGAAAAGTTATGGTCTGAAAATTAACTTCTCATTTCCACAAAATTTTTCGAAAGAACTTTCGGATTGAAAAAAAAAACAAGGTAACAAGAACTCTACACAGAACGAAATATTGCTCAGATACCAGAACCTGTCGTATAGATCTTTCAATGAAAAGACAATGTTTCATGATTTATGAAAAAGCATTAATTCTTTGTTGAGACCACTTTCGTTTATTCAAAATATAGTTTCAAAATTGTCTTTTTTTCCCAATTCTCTAACCTCATTGAAGTCGCCCTTGGCGAAGGTCGAGTTATCTGGACAGCATCCGAACTCAGAATCGAAGCAGTCTAAAAGTTGTCACATGATTGAAAATTAGTTTCTAGGTTTTCTGACTAGGGCACGGGTCAGTGTTGCAGTCCTGCTTCTCATCCGGCTTCTCGTCTTCGTCGCACCATTCCGGAACGGGTTTCCGGTCGTAGTTCAGACAGACGGCCACGCGTTCCTGGGTACCGCCGTCGCATCTGCAGAAAATGTTTTTTGAGGGAACTTTCCAGGTTTGAGCTCACTCAGCCGAGCATTTGCCCCAAGGCGCCGTGAACCAGGTTCCAGTGCATTTTTCTTCGTTCGTGCAATTCGTCTTTATTTCCGGCTTATCGGCCTGGCAGTGGCTCTCATCCACGACCTAGGAACTTTCTGATGCAAAATTGAAGTACATGGAATTTTAAATTTAATAGTTGGTGATCACTTTTACGCAGTTCGAAAATTTTCAACTTTTCAATGAAATCGAACAACTTCGGAAAGAACTAAAAACTTTTTGAAAGACTCGTTCGACCATCTGAGAGCACCTCAAGATCTCCCTCCTGATGGATGGCGCAAACGACGCGACGCGTCTTGTGGCCGTGGCCGCACTCGGTCGAGCACTTGCTCCATTCGCTGGCTGTCCATTCGTAGATGCACGGCGGCTGTGTGGCACACGATCTGAATCCACAACAGTTATAATGACATTCCATCATCCACGAGGTGGATTTTATGGAGAAACCAGGATTCAGTCACCCTCAGAAGTGACTTACCGGATGGGGTTGAAAGTTAGATCGTAGTTTCGTTTAAGTCCACTATATATTAAATTTTGGTTCTGATTGATTAAAAGAGTCGTCTAGGGATTCTGAAAAACGGTTCATGGGCTCCAGCTCCAATATACGTTACATTCTGAGCTCATCAAAAAAAACTGCATGAAGTACGCGAGGAAGAGCGAGACGAAGGACCGTAAGGCCATCCTTTCAACTTGATCAACTACACGTTTGGACTTCTAGTTCGCCAAAGGCGCTTGTTCGATAAAGCTTTGAAATTTCTTGTTCACCGCGTGCCTAGTCGATTATATCTATGACTAAACAACAAAATAAACTGAATGGAGAATTCAATTCAGAAGTTCTTCAACTGCTCCACCTCGTATCAGCCGGAATTTCAGTCGAGTTGTCGACAAGGCATTTCTCGAGAGGATAGGCGCGTCCCTGGGTATCTTTACAAGTCACTTCGCGCGTCTCCTCGGTATCGTTGCATTTCGTGCACTGAAGTAAACATTTCGATGAGTTTTCGGGTCGTTTCGGTTCTCTCACGAGTTTCCAGTCTCCGGTGACGAAGGTGAGTCCTTCGCAAGGGCCGAGGTTGCAGCTGCGCTCCGTCTCGTACTTGGACTTGTCCTCCGCTGGACACTGCTGAAATAGGGAAGTTTCGGGAGTCAGAAGGGTGAAGACAAGCCTCGGCTGACAGAAGTTTGCCCTCCTCGCCTTCTTTCTCAGATCTGCAGGTCACGGATCGGTACTGATGAGCGTCGCCGCAGTTCTGCGAACACGCCGACCACGGTCCTGCCTGCCATTCCGGGCAAGCGAATCTGAAGATTATTAGATTTCCTCATCAAGCAAAATTATATAAAGAATCGGAAGCGATAACGTTTTTTCAAACTTTTTTTTTGTATTTCAATGCAATAACTTTGAGATTTTTATTCAAAAAAAAAAATGAGATTTCGATTCATATTTTTATAGGAACACAAAAACAAAAAAGCTTTGTTTTGCTCAAATCAAAAATTTTTTTCTGGAAATGAATGTTTTTCTATTAAGTCTTTTTCAAAACTTTCAATATTTCCGTCTCCTTCAATTCGAAAAATTTTGAAGCCAGCCTCTTTTTTTCAACTCAGACTTCTTTCCATGTGTTTTCTAACTCTTGTTTCTGCGCATTCTCTGCATTTCAAAGCTCTCCAGAAACCACAAAAAGCACTGGTAAGTTGATTGATTTCACATGGCTCGACACACTACCAACACACGTGGCACATCTGGTCCCAATCCATAAACAAAACCGCGAAAATGCCAAACGGTCAACCAACACTATAAATAAGTCTTCGCTCGCGCCAACTTCTAACTTTTCCGATCTGAGAAGATTCGGTTTTTTTTCCTACATTGGAACAGAAATGTCAGTCGTAGAAAAGTATTGGGAAGCCGAGTTGTTAGCTTCATGTTAACTCTATAGATAGAAAACTTAAAAAAATGAAACTGAAACTCTTAAAAATTCTTCGAAGACAAAATGATTGATTACGTTTTAAAAGAAGGATTTGCATTTGTAAGCTCGGAAAATTACGAAGGGTGCGAAATGAATAATAAAAACAAAGCATTAAAAAAAAGGTTTTTTGTAAGTTTTAGCAATAGAGAACAGATGAATGGAAATGTTCGATCACTGCAAGGATTTCTTTTTTCTATTTTTTTATTCACTAAGTTATTTTTTTCGAATACGTTTATCATAGCTTCCATCTTATCCTTTTCCGAGCTATACTCACCGGTTGCAGTTCTGTCGGACGGCTGGCCGTGCAGAAGTGCAGTTTCCATCATCCACAGTAACCCGACGTCCGTTGGCAAATACCTGAAAGAAGATCTGCTTGAAAAAAAGCTCTTTTGTAAAGTTACAACGAAAGCGTTGTATCAGACATTAATCAGCCCACAACTTTGCATCGAAAAAAAGTTCTGAGCTTTTTGATCGTTTTTTTCCCTTCTCTCCGCCGCCAAGATGATCGAGAAGGTTCGGCCTATGAGCTATTAATCTCAAAAGTGTAAGGATCTTTGCAACAGACAGACACCTTCTTTTTATTTCGGGAATGTTTCGGGAAGGCTGTTCACCATTGATGAACTCGAATGATGGAAGGAAATTCCAATTTCAGAGTAGAGGAAAACACAGACTTCCCGAACTTTACGGAAGATCAAAAAAATATAAAAATAAAAATACAATAAATGAACAAAAATTATGCAGTAACTAGAAAGACTTGAAAAGAGTCACTTTGTAATTATTTATGGACTTTTTTTTTTACTGAAAACTTCAAAAAATTTTACTCCTTAAAATAAAATTGCAGGTTTTTCTAGAAACTTTTTTAGTGCAAGGAGTTCCAACCGAATATCATACAATAATCATTTTTTTAGCGCCTAGATATTTTTAGGATTTTTGAATCGGAATTATTCTAACTATGACATCATAGGCCATGCCTATGATGTCATAGTTAGAATAATTCCGATTCAAAAATAAAGTTAGATCTTCAATCTTGAGAAATTCCGTGTGAAAGAAACAAACGGAGGAAGTTTTGGCATTTAATGACGTCGCATTGTGTTTTTTTTTTTTCTCTAAGACATTTTTCTTGGATTCCTTTCACCTGGTGGCAGTAGACAACGCGGTACTGTTCTCCGCGGTCGCCACAAGTCGCCGAGCAATCTTCCCAGTCTCCGGTGAACCATTCGGCTTCGCAATCCACCGTCTCGCATGACTTTTCAAACTGGAAAAATGACTTTTTGTTTTTTGAAATATTTCAACTATTTTCTGATTCCTTCTTGTAATCAAACCTCAGGCTTGGTCGCGTTGTTTTCCTCGCAAAGGTCGTCTCCTACGCGGCCCTGTGATTTGCCGTCGACGCAATAAAGGTTACGAGTTTGCACTCCTGAAAACGTTCTCAATTGATTGACTTATTTACTTCTTGGAAAAGGTTCACCTTTCCCGCAGGTGACAGAGCACGGCGTCCAGGCGTCGAACTTGTAGAAGTAGTCGATTTCTTCGTCAAGAGGAATAGAGAATTCGTACTTGATGGCCGCGTCACGGTTTCCTTTGCGGAAAAGCAAAGCCACGGTAAGTTCTTCGTCCAGAGGACCTCGAGCAGAAAGAGTTTCCGGATCTGCGTCGTCGTACTCAAAAACTGTGCCGGCAACTTCCACATCCTTCTCAACTTGGATCAACGCATTGCCGTTCAGGTAAAAATGCTCCGAAGAGTTCTTCAAAGCTGAAAAAAACTGAATTATGCTAAAATTGAAATTTATAATAGTGTTAGGCAAAAAAAGCCCGAAAGCGTTTTAGAAGAAAATTTTATCATCAGTATTCTTTTTCTAACAGTTGAATTATTAACTCAAACACACATGTCAATACTTTCTTTCGACATAAAAATAATTGTTTACATGAAAAAAGCGAGAAAAATTTATGCCGTATTCAAAGTTATTCCGCGAAACTCAAAACAACCGTCAGAGAGTGAAAACGATAAATGAATTGGAAAGTCAGAGATGAGTTTGAATTTCGCGGAAATTACTTTGAAAACGGCATTAACCATGAAAAAAAAAAGGTTAATATTTGAAAATATATACACCTTTCAAATAATTTCAAAAACTGTTTAGTTACTGTAGCTTTGTGCAGAAAGAGGTGCTCACACCGGATGCTCCCACAGTGTTTTAAAAAAGGATAATATTAGGCGCAGACTTGTTCCGCGCCATTTGGGTTTAGGCTGGGTTTTGTCTTCGTTTTCGGTGAAGATAAAAAAAAAAAACTGACCCAGGTTGTTTGAGCTTTTGCGGGCCTCCTGGATCTTGATCGAAGTCGCTCCTTCAGGAAGTTTGATAATGTCATGGTAGCCGGGAGACAAGTTCCTCTCATCAAAGTGTCCTGTACGGAAAATCAGAGAGTTTTTTATTTGCTTTTTTCAAACCTTCGATGGTTTTGCAAGTGGATCCGTCACCGTCGCACTTTCCACACTTGTCGAATTTGACAGCTGTAATTTTATAAAAGAAATAAATTTTTTTCCAAATAAATTTTTACAAGAGCCAAGCTTTCCATCGCAACCAACGGACAAGCACTCGCCATCCACGCAAATGTCGTCGCTTTTTGAGTCACATCTGATGTTTGGAAGCTTTTATAAGAAGAACAGTTTTCATGACATACTTGGTTCCGTCGACGACCTTGTCGGCCCATTTGTAGTAGAAGTTTCCGATCTCAGGTTTGCAGACCAGCTCGCACCTACATTTGGAAGCAATTATTTCCGGTTATTTTCCAAGCTTGAAGAAGCTAAGTGTTAAAAGACTACACTCAAGTGAGGACAGCTGTCAAAAGTTTTGAAGGATGTTGAGAATTCTGTTTTTTTTTTTGCGTTCAAAAAAAAAACATCAGATGTGTAAGATAAATATTGTTCAAAGAGAGACTAACTTGTTCTTTCCCTTGTACGGCTTCCACTTGTGATAGTTGCCATCAAGTGGGTCGTCGTTATGGGCGGCGCACTGCTCGGCACGGTAGTCGGTACCGGCTGGACAGGCCTCCAAGTTGCAGGAGACGTACCGAACAGACGGACCCGTGCATGAGCCGCTGGAAAATGATGTTTCTAATCAAACTTCGGAGAAAAATTTAAAATGGAAACAAGTCTAATGAAAACTCCAAAAAACGAAATCTGAAGACAAGGTGCTATGCCGTTTCTGGACTGTATCAGTTCTGAAAATTGTTTAAAAAATAACTAGCACAACCTTTCTATTTTTCAAAACTGAAAGAAAGGGTCTTCTACAAAATCCCTTTGAATTTGGGTTAGAAAAAAAACTAGAGAAGAAGCAAAGAATACTTTTTTGAGGTTCAAGTTCAATTTTACCTGCACTGTCGCTTCTCGACCTGAACACCGCCACCACAGGTACGCGAACAGCCTTGTTCAGGTGTCCACGGACCCCAGTTGCCGGTCTCTTTCTGGCCTGACTTGTCGACGGTCACAGCTGTATCACCGTCAACGAACACCTACAGAAGAGCAGGTAATCATATAAAAAGGTGAAAAAATACCTGGTACGCCTGTCGTTTGGCTCGAGCCGACATCGGCTCCCGTTCTGGTGGTGATAATGGGTGCAGCCGCATGGTTGTGTCCTGTGAAGAAGACTTTTGAATAACACGAGAAATCTTTCCTCGCTAAGTAAGGAAATTTCTCAGCCGGTTTGGCAACTGATAAAGTCAATCTAACTCGTCTTTATTCCAAAGAGCTTATCTCCAACATTTTTTTCTGTTAATATACTATCCTTCAAAACATCTTCATTTCGAAAAAACTTCAGGCCTCTCATCAACAAAACTACCGATATTTGATTCCAAAAGTTCATACCTCACTGAAAGAAAAGAAATTGGAAAGAGAGAAGGCCCATGTCGGCGCGAACACGGCCGCTGCTAACAACAGCCACCGCATGTTCTTCTGCACCTTCAAAAAGAAACAGTAAATAAATTTAAAAACTGAAGGAATCACAAATGATAAATCGGAGCAGGAAGGTCTCATAAAAAGAAATGGGAGCTACTCATGGATGCAAAAAACGACAGAGAAATTGGGAGCAATTGAGATAAGGAAAATTCGAACCAATTTCGATGGACAAAAAATGATGGAAACGTGGGTTACTGTAATAATGTTCAGGCTATTAAAAACGCAGTAGATAATGCACTAAATAAACAGGAGAACAAGAGAACACAGCCCAGAAAACACGTAGAAGCACACCAGACGGTGTAATAAACTGAGCAGAAGTTGCCTTGTTGCCATCCGATTTCAAAACAATTTTTTGCCAGACCTCAAATAAACAATTCTTGCTTGGTTCTCTCAGTTATTTTTTCGGTACAAGAGGATCAGCTTCAAAATTATTTGGAAGAAAAAAGAAATAGTTTGCCAAAGGGAAGAGGTTAAGAAAGAAGAAATTGAAGTAGAAAACAAAAAAGACTTTTCATCCGACAAAAAAACTTTCTCTTTCTTGGAGAATATTTTTTTAGATTCAGAAAAAAATGTTTGAAAGAAAAAAATTTAATCTTTCAAAATAATGACCCAGAACAAATAGAATTTTAGAAATAAGATTTGAAAGGGATTCCGAAAGATGATTAGACTCTAGAAGATCCGGAGGTGTGAATACCGCGTTTTTTTTTTCGAAGATAACTCGGAAAAATCTATAGAAGATTGTTGTGCAAGAAGGCTTCAGAAGGTAACTCACAACCAAAATTAAAAAAGGACTGATTTACCGAAAAGTCTACCAAATTCATGAATTTAATGTGGAGTAGACAAGTTAGTAGGAAAATTCCAATTCAGATACCCACAGAGTTCAGAAACTTTGAAAAGACATCGGGATGGAAGAAAAGGGCAAGAAAAGGCTGCGCAGGTCGAGGTCATGCCTGATAAGCAGAAAGTGGAAAGATAAGGAGCGACGGTAGAAGCAGCTGAAGGTCCGACGGCAGTGGTCGAGGCGACGAATCGGCAGCTCCACGCCGAGGAGGCGGAGTCTGACGGTTCAAGCTCCGCCCACTCCTTCTTGCAGATGACTAATTGGGCGCTCGGCTCTCTTATCCCACCCTTGTAACCATACTTTTATTGAATTATTTATGACAATATTTGAGATACAACAATTAATGTACATACTCATAAGAAGACCTTCAGGCTGAGATGTGGAAAGTTAGAAATTGCGATCACAGCTCAAATGGATGGCTCAGATTTCTGATATCTGTTTTTAAAAAACTGACCTTGAACAAATTCCACAAAAACTCTGGATAATCTATCTAGACTAGATTCTGGTGTTCTAAGAGCATTTCAAAGACTTTATCTGAGCCTCGGTTCTAACCGACATTAGGACTCCAATTAACTTTGTGATACAATAAACCTCAATTGCTTTGAAGATAATGCTCTTCTTACAGAACCTTCCAAGAGCATTTTAAAAAAAATCGGAAAAAACTTGAAGCATACTCCTTTTATTTTCCCTTTGAGCTTTATTTAGCAAGAAATAATAATGCCAGATCCTGATCTCTTGCCTATTTTAATAAGGGTAGGCAAGCTGATAAGGAAAGAGAAAAATTTTGACTCTCTTTAAAACTCGATTCTCAAAAATGGTCCAGAAATTAGAGAATCGAAAAAGAAGCTCATCGAAAAGATCATCGAAGTGGGACCAAAAAACGTTCTAGCATTCCAAAGTGTAATACAAGAGATATCTTTCGATTGGCGCCACCTCGGATGAGTCACCACCGAAAGGGCAAGTGTGCCTTCGGCAGGTCTGGCTCTGAGAGAAAGTTCGGGAAGGTGGCAGAATCCGTCGAAAAGTCTCCGGCTCGGCAACGCAAAAAGATTTATGTCCGCGCCTGGGCATTTGAAACATGGGGGTCATCCGAGACCAGAGGCTTCTCCTCTCTACTGTAAACTAAGGATCGGCCGGCAGTGTACATGTCTCTCTGCTCTCGTCGCAACTCAGGTAGCACAGGGGTCAATGCCACGCCAACAGGTTCCAGTTCCGTCTTGAGGCTCTTTTTGCAAGGTTGAGCATACAGTGATGGGGCCAAAATCTCTAATGAGACTAAAATCCCAAAATACAACCAGGTCGAAATCTTGAGCTCAGAAAACCCGTTTTCACCATCTTTTTCTGACAAAGTTCAAAGAAGTATCTGTAAAGTGACGGAGCTACCGATTTCTAATCTGATAAGAAAAAGGTTCGATTCGAATAGCAAGAAAGCTTTCAAAATGGAGAGAATTTCAGAGTCGAAGTTATAATTTGATCAGAAAGCCTATTCGGAGGCGGAATGTCTGAGTAACAATATCAGAGGATCCACAGAAAAAGTGCTTGGGTTTTGGATTGAGAGCGTTTAGTTCTGTAACGTTATTTTCAAACCATTTCAGAAAGAAATGGCATTTCTCGTTTATTTTTTTCATACTCAAACACTATGTTTAAGTTTAATGCTTCAATTTTTCTAATCATGAAGAAGATCAAGTGGATCTACGGCAATGAACTGACAAGAACTTTTCAGAAAACTTTTTCAAAAATTGAAAACTGTGAATGCCTTGACCGAAACAGAACACGCTCAAAAAACTAGCAAAACAGTTATTTCTCGCCTCGAATTTCCTGACCGAAAAAAGGTTTAGTGGGCACTAAAACGACAAGCTGCGCGGGAATTCATTGCCTAAGATAATCTCCTTTTATGAACATAAGGGGTACTGTAACAGGTGTCTATTTGAAAAAAAGTGGAAAAGCGCGCACATGTTCTGGTTCCACGCAGCTGCACTGCCATAGCAACTTTTTGCTCAGACTTTTTTCTTCGAAGGGAGAGCGGCACGGACCGTCACCATTTCTTTTTGGATCTTTTGGGGCTTGAGCTTTTATTAATAAACTCTCGAGGTGGTAACTGTATCTCGTGTGAGATTATCATCCGAAGGCGCTTAACGAGAAAGAATCAACTTTTTTAAAAGTTCTATCCGACTTTCTAAATACTTAATGTAAAACTTTGAACGATTCTTTCAGGGATCTTTTTTCCACGATTTATTCAAAAAGCTTGCTTGAAGACGAAGAAGTTTTGTATGGCTCTAAAATAAATCCAAGAAAGGAGTTTTACATGAAGTTATCGAACTTCTCCGAACACCAAAGGAACAATTTTCCGACAAAGTTTATACTTGCGATTCCGTTATTTTGCGCCAGCTGCAACTTCCAACCAAACAGAGGAAGTTGGTGAACCTCGCTGTTTTATTATAAACATGAGGCTGCAACAAAACAAAGGCTCACTTCCAAATAAACAAAAGATGGGAGCCTGCAAAAAGAATCCGAACTAACTCGACCTCATAAAAACTTGTGACGTTGCAATAAAAGTTGTTGAAGAACAAGGGTTTTTGTGGCTCGACGGGTGGCCGAGCCAGAGCACATAAAGCATCGGCGCCGCCAAAAACCGCTTGGGGTCATCGGCCGAGCATTTACGACCTGCCGAAGAGGCTTTTCCTCGACAGATGATGCTCTTTTTGCTCTTCTTCTGGTCTCATAAAACACTTGAGTTGAACAAAACGCCAAGAGTTGCGCCAAAGTCTGAACTCATCTTTCAGGAATGTTCAAGATCTGGTTCTGTGGGAAGGAATCTTATTGTATATAAAGAAGCTGTACTCGGCTGACAACGTGGATAAATTGCTTTTTTTAAATTTATGTCTTGTTCTCCACAAAATATTCTTTAAATATTCATTGATGGGGGCGTCACCGGCATTCCATTTTTTTTTTTTGACTAGAAATTGATATTTAGAAAATATATTCGAACGGAAAATTAAAAACTCAAAAATTATCGAGTTTCAAAAAGAAGAAATTCATTCTATTGACTAGATATGATTATTTTTCGGTTTACAGAACAAGGAGAAAAAATTATTCTGAGTCGCGTTTGGAATGGCTTTTTGATCTTTTTTTGACAAAAAAGCCCTGCGAGTCAAAGCGATGAATTCGTCTTTTCGTTTTGAAAAAAGTTCACGAAAACTTTTCTGAGCACGGTCTCACTAAGCTGCGCAGAACAGTTGCCAACAGTTCATTTTAACTTCAACCAGTCTTGCTTGTCTACGCTCTCCTGTCTTTTCCTAGAAAGCGGAAGAAAATTTAGGAGAACGGGAAAATCGACTGTTTCAAGGAGAATAATTTAGGTCTTCTTGTCAAATGGAAAGTCACATTGACGATAAATAAAGTATACATGCTTGCAGAGTTTCGGTTTAGAGACAAATGTTGAACCCGCAGCCGGAGGGACAGCAAAGACGGGACGGCGTCGCCGCGCAGTCGCCGTCCTTTGTGCACCAGTCTGCCGCCTTCTCCACCACACATCTGCAACTCGTAAATCATCCTGCCGCACTGTTTTCCCAGCTCTCATCAACAAACTTTTAGAGCTTTTTATAAGTTCAGTGCGAGGTCAAAAGGTTGGATACGGAAAGGTTTTCTGAGAGGCAAAAAAAAACATAATTTTCTCTAAATTAAGCCAAAAAAAAGGAAAAACTCATACTCGATATATTAATGGTTCTTTAATGATATCTTTTTTACTTTTTTAGCTTTTGATTAGTTTGATACGAATTTAAAAGTATGGGGACGGAAGGTTTTGAGAAAGGCAGAAATGAATAGAATTTTGTCCAAGTTGAGACAAGACGAAAAAAGACTCCAGTTCGAAAAATAACTTATAGTTTATTCATTAGTAACTTCGGCAAACTCATGCCTTTTGGGCTTTTATCAAGTTCAGTGCTCAAAATTTGTGTGATAAGGAAGGACTAACAAAATTTTTCAACGCTTTCAAACTCACTCAAAATTCAACCATTTGGGCGGCGGACATTCTCTTTTCCATGGAGCGCAACATTCGCGGAACATCGTCATGTCGAGGCATCTCTGAACAACTCAATGCGCTTTCAAACATTACATACCAAAAAAGACCACAAAAACATATTCAAAATATTGAACCTTTTCTCCATCCCTACATTTCTCGTTCAAAGTGCAATGTTTATAAAGAGGCGAGCAGGTTGGAAGCTTCATGTTCGTCAGTTTTGTGGCTCCCTCTCCTGAAGTTACATCTTCGTAGCTAAATGAATTTGAAGGAAAGTTAGAAATTAGTAAGTGAAAAAGTCCGAGCTATTTTTTTACGAGAAAAGTTTTGAAAAAAATCTTTCTTTTAAGCAACAACTTATTTCCACGTGCACCAGGTCCAAGCAGAATCCGAATTTGCATTTTTAACGTTAAAAAAAAACGATCAGTCAAAAGTTACGACCGTTCAATTTGGTGAAATCGATCTTGAATAGTAGATGCCAGCTTGCTTCTGTGATCACAAAAGCTGATGTTTTCCAAAATGTTTTCAGGGAAGATCATCGCTAGAAACTGCACCTTTTAAAGTGAAAAATGGGCGAAGACCTTAATGATTAAGGTCTTTGTTCGTTTTTTACTAATGCTTAATGGTAAGGAAAACGTTGCTACTTGATAAATTTCGCCTGATCTTGTACATTACAAAGTCTTCACGAATATTTTCTCCTATCGATAAAAATTTCCAGCTGGAAAATATCTCACGGCTTCTCTTCCAACTGGGCGGAGTGTCGTAGAACTTGCATTCTGGCCGGTAGACGTTGCGGATCCGAAAGTAGAGGCACCAGTCGATGGACGGAGACAGTGCGGCCAGAGAGGAGACGCAGAGAAACAGGACGAGTGTCATCTGAGCCAACTGTTTATTGCACACTTGGAACGATATCTGGCGATGATCCAACTATTCCTGTGGTGGTTATAAATTGCATCGGATCCAATTCGAACTACAAGAAACTATTGGAGAGAGAGAAAAGTTACATCAAGCGGGGAAAAAGAGGGACCTGCTACCAAGAACATGGAAAAGAACAAAAAGAAGAAAAAAAAAATAGGCGGAAGCTGGTCAAGTGTCCAGCGGCGAAAACCACGCTGATTATTAGGCAAACATGCAAATACGCTTTTTTCCTGACGTAAACACGCACTCCAACTGATTTTGAAAAAAAAAGAGCTTCAGGTATTTTCCTTGTAAAAATTTCTGATCAAAATGAAATTTGGTTGAACTCTTACAGGGATTGTTAATTTTTTGGATATGCAAGTTCACAGAGGGAAGTATTTTTTAAATTCTTTGTATTCTTCGAAATGCTCATGATACTCAGGAAATGGTTTTTTTTTTTTCTCAAATCATTTCAAAATTTAACTACAAAACTGATGTGGAATGTTGAATTAGATTTAATTGGAAACTAATTTTGTAGTTTAAAAAGCAGAAAACTTTCAGCGAAATAAAAAATATTTTCCTATATCAACTTGCTGTGTTCAAAAAATCGAAAAATTTGTCGGAGCCGGTAATCTTTAATGTATTTACCAGAAAAAACACAAAAAAATTTTTTAGAAAGTATTTTCATCCAATTAGACAGTCCAGTTATTTGATCCTTCTGGCCGAGGCACTTAACAGGTGAGGAATATCCAGGAGTAAAACAACAGTCAGCCGATTGGGATTCGCTTCAGCGGATCGAGGGAGGAAAATAACGCCGTTTTTAATGGGAGAACCTTCCCACTCTTATTCCAATTCCCTTTTTCTATGTTTTGTTTTTCTCCTAGCTCTTCTTCATATTTCTCTGGCTAAAAAATATTGAAGTAGAGGACATGTAGAGTTCCGTCGAAAAAGATTTTTGATCAAAACTTTTTTGTAATGAGTTCAATCTTTCTGAAACTTTCGGGAGTGGTGACTGAGATTTGTAACATGAAAAAAAAAGTTGCATAAAAGTTTTTATAAAAATTAAACTCCATACAACCAAAATTCCGATCAAAAAACGTTTTCGCTCATTTTTGACTGTACTTTACATGAACATTTACGCAGCGAAATTTCTAGGGTTTAGATGAGTTTGAAGCAGATAAACTTAGAATTGGTATGCGGAAAGTGTTTAATAACAGTAAAACAGAAATACTTTCTCTTGGAATATCTTCTTCTTTTAGATTCGCGTCCTCGAATTTAGGCTGCGTAATGATTCATGCGAATGGACTCACTGTCAGATGTAGTCGAACTCTCCCGGCTTGAAAAGCGATATGAGTTGATTGGCAAAGGTGAAGCGTTGCGAACGCGAAGCGGCTTTTGACACAAAACTTGAACTCCAACGCGAGCCATCCGTTTTTCTATGTTTTTGACTATTTTTTCAATGGATTTCAATTTTTACTGGTTGGGAAAAATGTAGTTGAACTAATATACTTATTTTACGGGAAAATTGATAATGTATCTGGAAGATTTCTTGGTGAATAAATATCCATGAACATACAACAGATCCTTGGAATGCTTCTCCGATCCGCCTACCTGCTTCTGGTGTGTCTAACTGCGGGTGTTTGGACCCAGCGTCTGCGGCAAGGGCGTCGACGGTCCAAGTTCGTCCGACTTCCCAGCGGCTTCGTCTTTCCCGCCGATGCTGCCGCCAACTTCCAACGCGACGCCTACGTAGCTCCAACGGTTAGCTTTACTTTTTTTTTTTTAAATAAACTGCAAAGGTATGAAAAATAAAACTAAAAAGTCATTTCCAACCAGTAATTGCATCAAGTTACTATTTTTGAAATGAAGTTCAGGCAGAGCAAGCGGCAGCATCAAGTTCTGGTAGTGTTCTTGTAGCTCCGCCGAGAATGAACCCATCTCCCGAAGGCGAGTATCCGACAGGTACAGGTTTCAAGCAATTCCGTTAAAACTCAATATGAGGTCTCACAGAGATTAGAAAACTTAAAAAATTAAAATTTGCGTTCACTAAGCTTGAAAAGTTGAAGTTTCTGGAGGTAACGAAAAGGTTCTGGTTTCCTCAATGTCTCTCACCGAATCGGAAGTCGTTCCCGCGGAAAATCCTGCACAGTCACAGTCCTACGTTGAGGTTTTGGCTCTCATAATCGCTTTTGAAAAAATTGATGATTAAACAAGAGTGCAACGATCGAAGTGGCGACGGCGGGGCCAGCGGTGACAGTAAGTTACGCCACGACCGCCGAATCTTCAACTCTATCCTACACGGCCACGACTCATCGAATAAAAGCCAACAAGTGAGGCTTCTCTTCGTTTTGTTGAGTGAAGAGAAGTTCCAGAATCTTTAGATTGAGTATGAACTCCAATTAAGAGAAAAAAAATTTTTAAAAGAGCAAAAATCCCTTCGAACAGTGCTGCTGACCAGACAGGGCGCCACACCCCGCGAAGCGGTCTGTGTTAGATGATTTCTTCAAATTTAATCAATGATATGATTAAACTTTTAATAATAGATGTTTTATTAGGCTTTTCTCTGCGGATTCTTTCCCTTAAACTTTATTTCAACTAATCTACTACTCAGCGGGGCGAATGCTTCTAACAACAGGGCGCCCCGTCAGTAGCTTCGCTTTCGAAAAATATTAATTTGTACCCAACTAACTAGGGAGCCTTTTTTACCTCCCGATTAAACATTTGATGAAAATTTGCTCAAATGTATAAAAAGAGCTAATCCAAGCTTTTGAAGCCTTTCAACTCGAAAACCAGACCTATTGCGAGAACTTTTTTTCCTAAAACTTTCCCATGCGTTAAGAATCAACCCCCTATCAATCTTTCTTAATATTTCAAAACAGAATTTTGAGATCCTGAAGACGAGTTGAAAATTTATTTTCAAAATGAAATAATGTTCGATTTAAGTCGAAAAAAAGTGAGAAACTTTCGAGATCCGTAGGAATAACTTTTCAAAGCAACCAACGTCTGGAACTTCTAGTCATTCTTCTGAATTATTTATTTTCAAAATAAAACTTTGACTGATTTGTCCAGCACCGTCTCGTTTGTCAACGAGTTGAACCGTCGGAATCATGGAACAGAGGCTGAGAATATTGCTAAAGGGCACACTTACACGGCGCTCAGCGGCGGACAGTTCTACCAGAGCATTTTTGGAGGGGTGAGCTCAAAATTGATCATTTTTTCAGATGCGAGATGAATTTTTCAGAAAAACGGTTTCTCGCCTTTGTCGTTCTTCCTGAACCAAGGTGGCGGCGGCCACAATCCAAACAATTTCTTCGTTCCTGTACCGATCGTCGTTCCTCCGCCGCCGCCACCTCCACCTGGTCCTAAATGCTACACCAATCCCAGTGGTAAGAGGATAGTTACCTGATAAAGAACCCGGGGAGAATTCAGGTTACCTGTGCTGCAACGTCACCTTGGAAAAAACGATGGAAGAAGCTTTTAATGAAGCAAAAGCTGATGGGATTTCACTTTGTAACGTCCAGAAAATGGCCAGTGCTGTACAAGAGGTTCTTTTCAATTTCCAAAAACAAAAATTCTTGCGGTCTAATATTCATGAAAGCTCAGAAAATTTTGAAGTTTCAACTGAATTGTCAGGCCGCCGAGAAAAAGTTCAATACCTCATTCGAATCTGTAGCCGCTCATAAAGACTTTGTCGCCAAAATCAACTTTGCCGGCGATCTTAATTGCAAAATCGAGGTCGATGGAAAGTTCATACTGGCCTATGCAACGCCGATCGAAGAGAAGGAGGTAAAATTCCTGCATTTTTTCTGTAACATTCGATTTTTTCTCAAAATATCTTGATTGGAAAACCTAGGTGAATATCATCGACGCGAATTCCTTCTTTTCTGGAACCGCCGACGAACAACTCGACTCGGCCAATGGCACCAAACCGACATACATCGTTTATGGCCCCATCCGATGACCCCTTTTCTTATCAAGCTTGTTTATTATCACAACAAAATCGCAATGAAAGATTACTTCTTTTGGGGGGAAAGGTACAGAGAAAAAAGAAAAAAAAAGTACAGTATCAAAAAAGCCTATAAAATGAATAAAAAAACTGATTTCGACGTTTAAAGGCACACAAAGATGGGATTAATTAGAAAAATTTCATACAATTTGATTCTCTTAGAAATAGGAAGTGTCGTCAAGACCCAAAAAAAAAGGGTGAGAGGTCGGAAAAAAATTAGAAAAAATACAGGCATAAAAACAAAGAAATAAGTGATCAGCAAAGGTACTCGGGTGCAAAGCAATTATATAAGAGAAGGTCAAGTTTTCAAATGAGGGAGGATGTTTTGGATCATTTCGGGTGCAAGAAAAGGGCACCCGCGGCGTAGGAAACCGAAGAATCGCTTGCCGAACGGACCTGAACATCAACTTTTGAATTTTTTTAGATTAAAAAAATAACAACCTTGTTGGACTGAGAGTAGTTGAGGAATCGGAACTCGTGTGTATGATTGTTCATTTTACGATACTGATCAGCAGCCTGCAAAAAATAAATATAAGATGAGACAAACTTTTCAATCTATCAGAGATAATAATCAAATTTTCAGTTTGAAAAATGGACAATGAGAACTCAATAATAAAAAAACCCTCTTTCAAGTCATTACTAAAAGAATACGTAAAACATAAAATTTTAATAAAAAATGAGGTATCTTTTTATTTTTACAACGCTTTCGCAATCTTTAAGTTACGCTAACTTTTCTGTCCTAAAAGTCTACTCTTTTGGACAAATATTTATGATTTGGTTTAGCACTTTTATCCTCATGAAAAACCAACAACGCCAAAATATCCGTGGCGGTTACCCATTCTACCTTTTCCAAAATCTTTTGGAATTCCCAAATTCAAATCATCCAATGCACCTTTTCTCAGAAGAACTTGTGAAAAAAAATCCGTTTTTGAATAACACATTTTTTTCCTGCTTTTCTGAAAATTTTTTCTTTTTTCCTAATTCAACCTGAAGCATGACGAGAATAGGATTTCTTCCACAAATCGTGTTCTGCGTCTTTTTCAAGTATTCGTTGAAGACGCTCGGATTCAGGGACTCGATCGCCTTCATTCCCTGCAACTTCAAATTGCTATTTTTCCATTTTGGACTCTCACAGCATGGTCCAGTGATGAAATCTGCTCGAAAATGGGAACGCCACTGTTTCGGTCAAAAGGAGAAAAACTGAAGCGATCACCTAGAAATGATGTTTTTTCGTCAGGAGGAATACGGAAATTGAACCCCAATGGCAGAAATCAGAAGAGATGACGAAGAGATTCCGCGGATCCTCAAGGTAGTTGGCGAAGATTTTTCCGTAGGACAGTTGTTTGGAGCCTGGCAAAGAACCAACCAAAACGGGGACAATTGTGAATCTCCGACTTAAAAGGATGCGTCAGGTGGATTTTCTGTAGAAGTTTCAACCTTCCCATGACCTTGGCTATGAAAGGCAGCTGCATTTCAATGCTGTGTTCGGTTTCTTCATCCCTTCGGTCCATCGAATCAAATTGTCGCGTCGCTTTCAACTCGTCATTCACTGAACTTTCATTTTTCATTCAGGAAAACATATTATTTTGATCAATAAAATATCGAAGGTTTTCTGGGACAGTTTTTAGTTTTAGAATGTTTTTGAAAAAACTTTCAGAAAACGCAAAAAATTAAATGTATTATTCGTCAGATTCTACTCCGCATTTTTGATGCGCAAATGGAGTACACGTTTTGGAAGGTTCAGGATCCTCAGCGGTTTTTCAAAACTTTTTAAGAAGTAGTTTTATCTTTCTTAAAGCCTTCCTCATGATTTTTCGTATGAGCGAAACAATCAAACTATAACCAGTTTGATCGATGTGCAGGTCTGCAAGAGGTGTCCGATACAATGAGCAGGTGGTGAGAGCGCAGCCGCTGAGAGACACGACGTGTGAAGGTCCCAGCACGAAAATACGATTGCTGAAACGGTTATTTTAAGTTTTAACCAATGAAATCAGTCAACGTACATAGTATCAGGAACGATTTGCTTGAAGGCATAGGCCGCTGTCTCGCCGCAGTAAGAGTATCCAGCATGGCTGAAACCAAATGAAATTTTTTCAGTAATCAGAAATTTTGGATACTATTGGAATACGAAAAAAAATGATCTCAGTTATAAACTTGTAAAAATGGTTTGAAAATATAAGCACTCTTTATCCTCCATTACCACCAGTTCCGATATCCTAAGTTCATATATTTTCTACATTTATTCTGTCAAACTAATTCGTGTGTACCAAAAAAAGGAGAACTTTGATTTAACTTTATTTGAAAAAAAAAATGAACATGAAGAAAAAAATTGTTGAAGCCAGAAAGAAGAAAAAGGTTTTATTTCCAAAAATGAGTAAATACTTGGGGAAAAACCTTATTCCCTTCACAGAGAAACCCACTTTGTCTACGAGCAGCTGGTCAGCTCTTTAGTAACTTTTATTCCTCTTTGAAATAAAATGACTTCATATTCAGACTTAATGCATTGAAAAAAATTTTCTCGCCCACTGTGAAAGAAGTCCTATTTTGCCGGTAAATGTCAAACCCTATTTATGAGCAATTCAACGTTTTCCTGTCTTTTATAATTTTAATGAAAAAAAGTTTGAAAAAAAAAAGAAGCCTGAACAATTGATTTTAATACCATTTGTTCAGATAGGCTCGATTTCGCAATCAACACGGTCTTTCTTATATCAACAAGTGAGAAGCACAGTTATTGATTGCAAAGAGAATTGAGTTTGCTAAAAATTGCTGAATAGACAGGAAGAAATCAAGGTAAAAGCAATACGATGCCTTGATAGACCAAACAAACACGCACGGAGAGATGACGGCGCGAGCAACGCCGACGGACTCGCCGGCCTGGTCGAGCCACTTGGAGAGCTGTCGGTCGAGCTCCCGTTGGTTGCCGCTGTACCACGAGCCGGCGTGGGAGGCCGACCTGACCGGTCCGCTGTCGCCGTAACCGTTCGACGACATCTCACCTGCAAGGTCAATCAAGTTTAAACTGGAAAACACTCTGAAAAAAGCTAGTCTTCTCAAAGAGTAAATATTGTTCAAAAAAATTTTCTGGATAATTTCGAAAATTCCTGAAAAAAGGAAACCATCTTTTTTCGAATTTTAATTAGGCGTTTTTGAACAAAACAAAACAGGGCTCGCAAAAATTCAGAGAATTTCCTTTTTCAACTGAGAATGCCATTTTCAGCTTTTGGTACGATTTTCATGAAACGTGGTTGTTCGGTACGCTGCCACCACCCTAAGAATAAAAAAAAATATCTAAAACAATAAAACTTTGAATGAAGCTTTGCAAATGATTGATTTTCTGTTTCCGTTAGGAAGCAAGGAGAAAATGGCTCAATCTCCTGAAAATTCTGCCCTCAGAATAAACTTGCGGAAACGTGATGATATATCTCAGCTATGCTTACTCTCTCAAACATTACTGATAAAATGTGGGATATTTTCGCTTTTCGAAAACGAATATTCGCGATATATTCTGAATAATTACAGTTAATATGTAGAAAAATTAGAAGAAGCTGGAGTAGCAATGAGAGATGATGCCGATGGTTGGAATACCCGTAAAAAGTAGACAATGCTCTGTAACTGAAGCCGCTGATCCGGCTCCGAAGCTGGATTTTCGAGCCGAGGTCCGCTCCCAGTTGTAATTACCTGTAGAAAAATTTTTTTTTTTTTTTTTGAAAAAATTTTTTGCGAGCGAATAGCACGATTTAGAAGAAATTAATTATCAAAAGAGTACTAACTAAGGCAAATATGTCTTTCTTTTTATATTTTTTCGTTGAAAAACTTTAAAAAACAAGAAAAGTTGAGTTCAAGCTATGTGAGAACGAAAAAAAAGAAGAGAAAAACTAATGAGGATGTAAGAGACAGGAACTCGTTAAATAAGAGCGGTCATATGCGACTACAAATATCCGAAAAGGTAGTTTCTACGGTAAGCTCTATTCATCCGCCCACCTCCAGAAATTAATCACAGAATAAAACTTCTATAATCTAGTATTGCGCCGAGAAATGAGTCCAAAACCAAAACAGCACTAAATGTTCCTGTAAACTTCATTTTCACTTCAATATCCCTTTTTCTTCAAAAAGTATAAATATTCGAACAAATCTACAGTAGCGCTTTTTAGTCTTTGTCCTCCTTTTTTCAAATCCCTATATTTTTTTTTAAAATCAAACATCAAAAATCTTCTTATTTACAAGTGAGATTTCAGATAAAGTAAAAAGTTCATTTCTCAATGAACTAAGCAGTTTTATATTTTTGCTACGAACCGGCGAAAAAAAAATGTTGCGATCTGGACTCGCGACGATTCGCAACATAAAAATGGAGGAGGGCTCTTTGAAAAGCCCATCAATAAATCTTCTGAAGTTGGGTTTCCAACACAAAAACAACCTTTGTTTCACAATCTTTTCTAACGGTGTATTTCAGTTTATAAAAACGAAATTTTCTACTTTCAGAAAAAAATTCTTGTAGTCTGTGCAAAAATATTTTAAGAAGTATAGGTGGAGTTCCTGAAGTTATGGAGACACTTGAAAATTTTTTGAGCATTTTTGCTTCATTAAATTTTACGTCATTTTCAACTCAAACTTGAAAAAAGTTTTATATAGGCACTATATTATTCAGAAAAATTTCATTTCACAAAAAAATGGATAAATGGAACCACACCTTGAAAAATTTGTTGACGGAAAACGAGTGAAAGAACGGGGCGCCGAAAATGACTCTTTCACAAACACTAAGAATAACTGACGAGATAAACGCGAGGTCGGTGGCGGTACATTGACGAACTCGCAAAAATGTCGCTTTTTTCTAGGCGCGATCTCGCATTTCTCTCGGCGCGACCTAGCATTTTTCTCGGCGCCATCTCGCATTTATCTTGCACTTCGGAAATTTTCAAATTGCGAGAGAAATGCGAGCTCGCGCCCAGAAAAATGCGAGACCGGCGCGAGAAAAAAAAGCGAGATATTTGCGAGCTCGTCAATGTACCGCCAGTGTCTCGCGTTTATCTCGGCAGTTATTCTTAGTGAAGAAAACAACCTAATAATGTAGTCATTTCCGTCCGTGGAACTTTTGGGCAAAATACTTCGACTTCAAATAACTATTTCGAAAAAAGGTACAAGATCTTTTCAAAAACAGGTGAAATTTGTAAAAAAAAAAACTCATTTCCCACGATAAATGACGCTGACACGAATCATTCTCCAAAAAGATAAATGGAGAAAAAAGACACTGCGTGGTTTGAACTAAAAAAAAATTCTCTTAAATTCAGGAAAGAAGGTCTTTAAGAGAGCTCTTAGTTGGCTTGAATCCATTCAGCCTTTCCAATACAGCAGCACTTGTCAGTTTCATTTTTCCAAAATTAGAAATAAGAAAAAGCCACGTTGCTTTGGCCTGTTCGACACACGACGGTCTATTTCAGTTTAGATAGGTTTTTTTTTCGGTAATAAAATGAAAACTTGTTAACTTTTTGTTGCGTAACTTATTTTGTAACCTTGACAGGAAGATTCAAAACTAAGTGCAAAAAAAAGTAAATAAATTTCCTGGAACTCCGAATCTGACGGCGCAATATTCACCGGCCGCCGTAGCACTGTCATTCGTGTCGAAGTCATCGAAAACCAAAATGTGAGCAGATTTCTAAATTATGAGTTTTTTAGTTTTTTTTTTAAAACGAAAACGATTCATAAAAAATTCAAAGTATCACAGTTTTAACGGATGACTATATGTTTTTCTATCTAACGAATAACAACTCCAAAAAGTTCACGTCAAAAATTTGAAGACTAGGAAAATTTCAGTGCCTATTCTCTTGATAAGTCTCTAAGACTGAAGAATCGGAGGTTTTCTCAGGAGAGAACTCAACGCGTTTCAGCTTATTCACCCTTTTCTTGCTGGGGGTTTTTAAAGGAGCATAGACAAATTTTATAGTTATCGAGGCAAAAAGCCGTTTGAGCGTCGTTCGAAGTAGCTCAAGGCTTCTAAGCTTTGAAAACTTCAAAAAGCTTCCGGTTATTCGGCTAACGCAATGAACACGCGAAAAAAACTGATCCTTTTCCTTCGGATGCCGATGAAAAACGCGATGATAAAATAAGATTCCTTTGGGCACAATTTCCTGTCTAATCACTTCAGAAAAATTTTATGTTGGGCATCTCTTTTATCATTTCAAGGCTTGGAACAAAGTCGAGCCAATAATTAAGTCTCAACAAACCCAAATGATTCTTCGAAAAACTCAAAAATTAGGTAATCAGTGGGATGGTAGAGAATAAAAAGGTGGAACGGAAGGGTGAAAAAGGAAGGGAGACGACCCGTGAGCGGTCGGCCGCTCAGCTGACTGCCAGCCGCCTCGCTCACGGCGGCGCCAGTCGCTCACAGAAAACACTCCCGCTCCCTACCAAACATTCGTCCTTTCTCGCTCCCAGCCACACATTCAAAGCTGCAATTCTTATGCGAAAAACGAAAGTGACAGTTCTTTGAAATCTGAGCAGAAAAAAAAAATTATGAACATTCCAGGAGTCGAAAAATTTGAATCATAAACGTCTTATCTTTTTTTGAAGTCGCTTTATCATCAGAAATAGTCGTCTTACTATTGAAAGGTTTTTTATTCCCTTTTTTCCACTACTTCAAGAGCGTAGCTTGTTTTTTTTTTTTGGAGAACTGTCGTAGAAATTCAATTTTTACAACGAAATTTTGAATATACTTTTTTAATTCCAAGCCTTTGAAAGCGCCTTAAAAAACAAAATAAAAACTTTTCTCTAGGGTACCTTTAAAAAGAATAAAAATTTGAGCTTGACTCACATAAATAATCATTTGAGCCTTTCGAACTCATAGACTCACAGAGAAAGCAAAAACTGAAGCTCATTACTTTATTTCAGTTCATAACAATTTCTGCAAAGTGGTAATTAGTGTATTCAAAGTTTCAACAAAAAGAATAAAAGTAACAATAATTAACATTCCTACAAATATTAGTGTTCTTTGTACCTCAAAATCTTCGTATAGTAGTTTCTACGAAAGCGACAAGGGTGTTCAATAACAAGTTAAACACATAGTGCAACCCCTCATAAAACGATAACAAATAAGTGGGCATTATTAACAAAAAATATACATATATGAGGTTTTTGTACATACAAAAGGATGAAGATAAAAAAATTAAGACCGAATTTCAGTCAACCACTCGTCGATCAACGTCCAACAGGGCGTACGCCGGCACTCGTTGCAAACTTCTTTCAGACACGAATTGCAAAAAATTAGTCGCTTCACTGAAAATTTAAGTGAAGTTGCACAAGATTGTAGTCACATCAATTTTTATTTTTAAAAGAAATTGAGCAAAAAGTTCTTTTAAATTGCCTTTCCGTTTCTATCGCTGCCTTCATATTCGCTTTCGATCACAAGTTGATAAATAGCTTATAAAAATTCCAAGAAATATAAAAAAGCTCAAGAGCTAATTTCATTGTCAAGATATTCAATTCGGCAGCCGGAGGTTCATTTTATGATTTATTTCCTAAAAAAAAAGACGGTAGAACTATCGAAGAAATAACAAATTGCTTTCAGGTTTCGGGATCCCACTTTCCAAAATGAGAACAACGGTGTTTCAACTGCCACCTGATTTGAAGCTTCGTATCCGGCTACAACACTGGCACGTGAGCCCCTGGACTTCCTCTCTAAACGAAAGTCGGTGCGAAAACAATACATTTCTAAAAAAAAAAGTGTTTTTATAGAAATTCGAAAATACTCTCACCCCTTCAGGATGGCTTCGCAAATTTTGATCTTTCGTTCATCGTGAAGTTTTTGGCGAATTTCAGCAAGCCTTTCGACACTTCGATAACGAAGTAATTCATCCAAACAGTTGCGAACCTAGACATTTTTCAGGGTAAATATTAATTCGGATCAAGGTTATTGAACATTATTTCAAATTCAAAAAAACTGACAGCCTTCGAAACGATTTCCAACTCTTCAAAATTGCAGACATCCCATTTCATCGAGCAAATTTGGCAAAATAGTCGGAAAATGAGCTTTGTAGACCGCTCAGAAGCTCTCAAAGATAAAGCACTTGACTTCATTTTTTTTGAAACTGACTCGTAGTTTTGCAAATAGTCAAGACAATTTTCTTTCAAGTTGAGAAACAGATACTTATCACATAGTCTCAAAAGGCTGCAAACGTTGGACTCTGAAAGTTTTGCTAATTGAAACAAGGAAACATAAAGAAGATAAAACCGTCAACAGCGTCCGGATAGAGACCAAGGTAATTTGGTGAGATAGCTCGAATCAGCGTTAGAATGTCCTCCGGAGACTCGTCATTAATTTCGATTCGGCCCAGAGCTCCTAAAAACAATATAAATTATTTATGGTCAAAGTAATCAAAAAAATTAATTAAATAAAAAGCGAAAACCACAGCTCAAAAATCCATAATGATCTTGATACCTTCCAAAAAACGATCCGAATCCATCATCGCCTTGAAAAATTCTGAGTTTGCGGAAAAAATCGCCTTGTCGACGTAAAAAAGCTTTCCCCGAACGTAAAGAGGAAAGTTCCTACAATATGTGCTTGCTTCGAAGTTCACCTGAATCGGAAATCAATAACTTATGTTTGAAAAAGGGAGAAGTCATGACTGACTAGTCATCTAGAACTTTTTTAATAGATAACTGAAAAATGTTATTCCAACCTTGTCTGAATAGTCATTCAAAAAACATTCGTGCTCCCGCGTTGGTAGACTTAGTAAAACGTTCACGGGTAAAGTAATCAAGCTGGTTGGCCGATTTAACATTACGCTGAATAGAAGAAAAAAACTTTAAAAAAATAACCGAAAGTTCTATGGATCAATACGCAGAAAAATAGAAGATAAAAAACACAAAAATCTTGAAAGCTTGACATTTCTGATTATTTCTTTTCGAAAGGAATTTCAAGGAAAAAAAAAAGAAAAGTTAACTTTGAGTAATTTAGAAAAAAGTTTCATTTATTATTAAAATGAAAAACACGCGTTCCTCATGTTGTTATACTCAAAGACCTTGTTCTCCCAGTTGAAAAATACTGACCTATGGGATCAAAAAAATTTTGCATTCTACCTAGAGGTCATTCCGCGCCAGCTTGTCACGATTTCCAGTTTATTTGGAGCTCCAATAGCCTTTTCGGCGCTTCGCTTCGATGCTCTCGGTGTGCCCCCTTGCGTGCGCCTTTAATAAAACTCATTATTTCCAAACTTTGGAATTTTCTTATTCTACAAAAACAGTTGGAACATCAAATGTCATATCAAACTAACCCAAAAATTATATGCGAAAAAATCTCGAACAGTCGGTTTCTTTAATAACAATTGAAAAGTAAGAATTCAATCTTTTTGATTTTCTTTTTTTTTACAAATCCAGCACAGAATCTGAGTGTGTATAGTTAAAGCGAAAAATGAAATCAATCCATTGAAAACAACCTCGTAAATTAATAAAAGAGATAGAGGAAATTGAAGCAATATCTTAGGTGGTATGAAAAAAACACCAGCGAAAATTCAAACGGCGACTTTTCCGATTTTTTCATATTGCTAAGGACTTTCCGACGGCCACCTTTCCGACGAATCTTTTTCCGACTTTTTTTCTCAATAAACTTTTCATTTTAAATCTCCCTATATAAAGTAGGCAAGTTATTCATGTTTAAAACACAAAGAAATAGAAAAAAAAAACAATGTTTATAGATGTTTTATAAACCGAAAAACTTGAGAGAAAAAGTCGGAAAGGGATCCGTCGGAAAGGTGGCCGTCGGAAAGTTCCCTAGCGATATGAAAAAATCGGAAAAGTCGCCGTTTGAATTTTCGCTGGTGGTTTTTTCATACCACCATATCTTATGCCGTGTTCAAAGTAATTTCCGCGAAATGCAAAATGGTCTCTGACCCTCCAAAATTTAGTTATCTTTCTCTTTCTCTGACGGCTATTTTGAATTTCGCGGAATCACTTTGAACACGGCATTAATCAGAAATAATGTTTTATTAAAGGCGCACGCAAGGGGGAACACCGATAGCATCGAAGCGAAGCGCCGAAAGGGGTTCTCTAGCTCCGAGGAGAATTAAAATCGTGACAAGCTGGCGCGGAATGACCTATACCGATTGAGAGTTTGAACCTTAGCCTTTTATTGGAACTAGTTAACTCGGCCGATGTCTGGATACCACGCAACTTTGAAAAACTATTTTAAAAGGGTGATTTGAAGGAAGGTTGGTCAACTAAAACGTTTCATAATCTCTTTTTGTTTCTATTTCAGAACTAATGAACGAACTCAAACTCGGAAAGCGCTCTGTGTTAGAGTTTTTCGGCCAGTTAAAGCCGACTGGAAAAAGTCAGTTCATTTTTCGTTTATCGAAACATTTCTAAAGTTTTCAGATTTGAAAAAAGTTCGCGAGTCACAAAGTCCAACGTAACTTCAGATAACGCTGTGTAGCGCCGCTAAATCCAGACGTGGGGGCTTGCCTCACGCGCGCGCCAATTCAAAAAAGTGCGCTGGCGCACAGAACCCAATATCCCCCATTAATGTATATCCTTTTTTCAGTCAATCTTTCCGTTTATATTTTTGTCGAAAGATTTTTTTCGGTTAATTTCGCCATAAAAAGTGAATCAATAAAAAAATAATCGAGTTTTTTTAAAAATGAAAAATAGTTTTTTTCGCAAATTTTTTTCCACTGGTCAATCGTGATAGAGATACAAATAGTTACCGAGTAGCTACCTTTTTTTAACTAGCTCAGCAGGTCTTAGCACGGTTATAGGCCATTCCGCGCCAGCTTGTCACGTTTTTCTTTCCGCCAAAAGGCCAAATTTGACCAACTTCGCTTGAAGACCTTTGTTTCTTGCCGTTATAAAAGCAGAAATTTGATTTCATTTGGTATACGGTCTTTTTGGCGGAAAGAAAAACGTGACAAGCTGGCGCGGAATAGGCTATAACAAAAAAATGATTTAAATAAACGACCACTGATTAGCCTCGCGGTAGCCTTAGTGGCGCTGCTATCGTTTATTAGTTACAAAAAGAAGACCATCTACAGTTTACTTTTTGTGCAGGCAAAAAAACGAGAGCAGAAAAACTTTTCAAAAAAAGATGTTGCCGAAAAAAATGGGAATATTCACGATTATTATAAGGTATACCTGAGGTTATGCACTTCTTCAGCAAAGTTATAACGGTGAAAGACAAGGAATTATGAGAAACTATAGAATCTTTTTCATTCAATTCTTTCCTCTTTGAGCTTGCATTATTTTTGACGAAAGAGAAGAGATCTTGAAGCTTCAAAGCCAACTTCAGTGCTTCACTCACCTTCATAGTGATACCGGCAAGTAAATGTTGATCAAACGAACAATACCTCACTGTTCAACCGGCTTATCCAGTGCACGTTCCATCGAGATATGCTACATTTAATCAATGAATGAAATACAGAGGCTAAGTTTCTGCAATTTCATTACTACTACTGTTCCCACCACTAATATCCTAATGCTATTGCCATTTGCGATGGCTAAGGGGGCTTCAGAAAGTAAAAGTAAAAACTTCTGTGATAAATAGTCCTAGGTATGAGTACTCAAAAATGAAAAGAAATATCAGCTAAGCGCCATAGGGTACTGAGAAATAGCCTGTCAAGAATGTACAGTGATATCTCAAAAAAACTTAGTTGTTTTCTTTTTTTCGATTTTTTTAAAAAGTCTAGTGTTGTTCATTATATCATAAAAAAACGCGAGAAAGAAACTCTCTACGAAAAAAACCCAAAAGATAAATCGTTTTTTTAGCTTCTCCTGTACATTTTCGTAGGGCTGTTTCTCGGTACCTTAGGCTTAGCAGATCATTTTTTCTGTTTTCCAATACTCATACCTGGGACTACCTACCACAGAAGTTTGAACCATATCTGTGATGCTCACCTGACACACTGCCCTCGTCAGGCTTCTAAAAAAATATTTGTTTTTTTTTGTGTACTTCGAAAGTCTTCAAAAAACAAGAGCGTCTTGAAGGAAGCGTCGTCATTTCCATAGTAATGGTATCTGAGGAATGAAACTTCATAAACTATTTTATAGTGAAAAACAGTTTATGCGAAAAAATACAGAGGACATTAATCTGAAAAATGAACAGCAGTACTTTGAAATTTTTTGAAATTCTTTATGGGCACTTTGTATGCTTTCGAATAGCACTCCGATAGCTATCGCACCGTTTATTCTATACATTTACTGATTATATGGATACCTCGAGTGGCCTTTAAGTGTAAATGTGAACTACATTTATAGTCAAAAGGTGACATAAAGTACTAAATTGCGAAAAGAAAAAGAACCCCACTGACTATTTTTTTTATTTCAAATATTTTTATCGATTCACTTTTATGGCGAAATTAACCGAAAAAAATCTTTCGACAAAAATATAAACGGAAAGATTGACTGAAAAAAAGGATATACATTAATGGGAGATATTGGGTTCTGTGCGCCAGCGCACTTTTTTGAATTGGCGCGCGCGTGAGGCAAGCCCCCACGTCAGGCGCCGCTACTCTAACAAAAGTTGCGGTGCACCCCGCGTTGAACTCTCCTGTACACCCCGCAGTGTAACCAGGGGTGCACCGAAAAGTCCAACGCGGGGTGCACCGAATCCTCATTTTTTCAATTTTTGCTTCTTGCACTTTTTAAAAATACCTTTTATACTTCTATATCCCATATATATCATCAATTGAGACCACTTTTTCAATTTATATGTTTTATTAAATGATAAATCACATAATAAGACAATGAAACAAAAATAAAAACAAAAAAATTACAGCGAATAAATAGGGAATTTGAAACAATATTCGAGGATAGACAATTTCATTTACAAGATTTATAAAGAAAAAAATAACAACGTTTACAAAAATTTGAGAAAGAAAAAAAGGTCTCTAGAGCTGTTTTTCTGCGCCTTCTCCCCTTTTTTTCTAAGCATCTAGCCAACTTTAGACCAAAAATCGTGAGAGCATGTTAAAAAAAGTAGACATAAATCGAAAAAAATTGATAGAAACTGAAAAATTAAATCAGGAGAAAGAAATTGAATAATAAGAGAATACAACAGAAAGAGTGGATAGTACTGAAGAAAAATTAGGCAAAAAAACAGAACAGGCTTCATAACACTTACAAAGTTGACTGGTAATATTTAACACATGATTTCCGAGAAATTTTATGAACTGGGAAATTAATTGGTACAATAATTTTGAAAAATTATGATTTTTTTGAGCATAAATTCATATCACATACTATTAAACCTTTTTTTTATTTCAGGCACCGAAACGCTCCGCACACTTTTAGAGCTACTAAGACAAAATTACTGTAAGAAGCTAACTTTTTTCCTCGTAAAGCGTTTCGCTTCTAAAAATGTCCTTTGGAAACATCAATTGTGTTGGCAAAATGACGACTTCCGCAGTTGTTATAGCTCTATAAAAAAACCGGGACCTCAGATGGCCTTGATTTTTTTATACACTAAATTTTTTTATACGGAGCTTTTCGGTACTTGTTTACATGAGTTTAAAAAAATTTGCATAGTATCTTTGATATGAACTTCAGCTAAAAAAATCTTTAAAAATTATTCATCAAAAATTATCACCAACGTATATTCGAAAAATTTCGGAGAACGTGTGTTCAAATTTTTTTAAAAACATTGTCAGTATGTTTTCTCTTTTTTTCGAACGATACTTAAAGATGGAAATTATTTTCATAGCGAGCTAGATGTGAATAAAAAAACGTCGGAAAAAGCTGAAAAAAAGGATAAGTTGTCCAATTTGATCTTTTGACTTGTGCCAACTTCACGTTAAGCCTTCTCTAAACATATTCACTAAGAATAACTGCCAAGATAAACGCGATACACTGGCGGTTATCGACAAACTCGCAAAAAAATGTCGCATTTTTTTCTCGGCGCGACCTTGCATTTCGAACATTTTCAAATTGCGAGAGAAATGCGAGCTCGCGCCCAGAAAAATGCGAAACCGGCGAGAGAGTAGAACCTAGTGTTTGCGAGTTCGTCAATGTTGATTCCAAATGTGTTCTCAAAAACTATCGCGGATGTCTGGGAAAAAGTTACGGACCCTCAAAGCGGATAATTTCACTGTCTCCGCTTGAGCTTATTCTTGGAGGACATATAGATCTTGACCCTCTGGTCTCAAAAAAGCTTTTATTTTCGAAAAAAAAACTTTGGGCGTATTCTAAAGCTCCGCACATGATAAGAGAATGCGCGCGCGCGGTTTTCTCATATCTGGGCTTCAAAAATTTTTGAAAAAAACAGTAATTGGTTTTATGTTGTCAAAGGGACAAGATCTATAACCTCCAAAAATGAGCGCAATCGGGGAAAATGAAGTTTTCGACTTTTGAGGGTACATAACTTATTTCCCAAATTTCCGCGACCGTTTTCGAAACCAGATTTTTGATAAGCGTGAAAAACTATGTCTAGAAAACTTGGTCTCATTCCGATGCCCCACTGCGACTAGAGACCATTCCCTGGTATATTTCGACGAAATTCGCGAAGATTACTAGCATAGTCAGTTCAAAATGAATCAATTATTTTTTTCAAACTACGCGCTCTTAAAAAAATTTAATTTTTTTCGTCTGCTAAAAAAAGGACAAACTCTTCCAATGTCAACTATTCAAACTTTTCATCAGCTATTAAAGAACAAAAACAAAAAGAATAAAAAAAGTAACGGCTAAGTTACTCTGCTCCCCTTTATTCGACTGCACTCCTTCTGTTTGTCATGAATCAGGATCAAGTCGTACGGCTATCTGAAATTAATACAAAACTAAAATGCAAAGCTTTAAAAAAATTACCTTCATATTATATGCGTTTTCTCTCTCTTCCTCGATGGTCATAAATTTATTCTCTTCAAATGAACCTGAAACGCATTTTTTTTTTTCACAAATAATCGCGAAAAGTTAGCGAAACAAATAAGTTTAAAAAAATATTTACTTTTTAAGAACAAACCGTTTTTTTCAACTAAAATCTACAATAGTTTTTTTAATTTTGATAGTTTCTCAAAAAAATTGCTTGCTGGACTCGAAAAAAATTGAAAAAAATATGTCGAGGCAAAAATAATTTTGGCTTTGCAAGATTTCTGCACATTTGAAAGACTCAAAAAAAGCATTTTCCAGCGAACTATTTAGCAAAATCAATGCGCAAGCCTTGATTACCTGACAACTTAAAAAATGAAATGTTCAATACAGCTTTTTAGACTAAATTGAACAAAAAAACCTTCAAAAAAAGGTTGGAATAAAAAAACCGATTCGAAATGTTCAATTCAAAAAAGTTACATGAGCTTTTGGAAGCAAGATTACTTTTTTTATCCATCATTTCCAGAAGTTTGCGATCGAAAAAAATATAATTAAACAACGAATTTTGTATTTCAAAAAAATGTCTCAAAAACATTTGCCAATAAGAATAATAATAAGAAGAAGA